CCGCCCCGCCGCTCGCGCATATTCATCTTCGCCAGTGTCCTGCGCCGCACAACTCTTCCTTACACCCGCCACCTCAATGGCTCACCGTGCCACGACCCGGCCCAGCGAGCGCGAGCGGTGAGCGGCGCTTCGCGCCGCCCACCGCTCGCGCATATTCGACTTCGCCAGCGCTGCGCGCTGCCTCATGTGTGTCAAGCGCGTTTGATGCACTAGATGCGCCATGCCTCCGGCGCATCTGCTCGCGTGGCTGTAATTTACTTGCTCTTTTGTTCTCTCGGTATCCCATCCGTATATTACCCATAAAAAGTGGCTTCGCACATCTGTACTGCACTCAAGAGGGTGTACAATAAATTTCAGCGCGGCAGCGACGTTTGTGAGCGAGTAGTGTACAAGTCGAGCAAAACGCGCGAAAAAGACCCTTCGCGACCTTGACAGGTGGGGGTCTTGCCTAATATGGGCAGACCCTTTGGAGGTTGGTGTCCCGATCTCGGATCTCGCCCGCCTCTTGGTTCGTAGTTATCTTGCGAGGTGAAGTTGACGGTAGTAGTGGGCGGGATGATGAGCCGGGAGAAGAGATGTCCGGGAAGGGTGTAGTATGCGGTGTAGTCAAACCTCTTGAGCGTTGATGGAAGACGAATGGTGGGTTCGCGCGCAAAGAACGTGATGGCAGATGCGGTGTATGCTTCTCTACCTGGAACTCCTGGTGTCAGAGGGATAGCATCTTGAAGAGCCAGGTCCTCCAAGCACGGTGTCGAGTCTTGGAGGAGTACTCGAAGTTGTTCTTCTGGGATGGTCGGAGCGACACCAACGTAGCCGTAGTTGTCATCGTTGAATAAGAGCATGTCCGTTATGGTCGCGGGAAGCCGAGCTTCTTCGCCGGGCAGCCAGCTCAGGTAGCAGCTTCCGAGTCTGAATTTGCGTAGATTGGGAGCAAACGCTTTCACCCAGGAACCGGGGATTGGCTGTTGTTTATTCTCGTCGTCCATGGTGATGGATAGGTCCTCCAGATGCGGGAGTTGCGATGGGAGCTGCTCGCGAAGGTAGTCAATACTAGTATCCTGATTGATCTCGAGATGTAGCTGGCGAAGGCGGGCGACGTTTTGCGGGAGCAAAGCCAGCCTGATGAGAGACCATGGAATGTCCTCATCCGGGTAATCCTCAAGGGGAACGGTAAGATTGAAGGATGCAGCTCTCGCTGACCGCGGAAACATGACCTGTTCAATCCAAGTGCTTGACCAGACGGTGGCATCGATGTCTCTCCATAGCCTTGAGTCTTGGATCGCCATCTGTTGCCATGAGTACCTCGGCAGGTAACATGACTGAGAGTAGACTCGCCTCGCGCCATGAATGGCAGACATGCGTGATTCCTATCCATTGCCTAAACTCGTTACGCGGGTACCGAGGCCAGATGTCTTCGACAAGCAACAAGAATATAGCGAGCAGCATCTCGTTGGGTAAGGTGCTGATGGGAAGATGAGCGTTGTGGTATCGCCGAAGGGACAGTAGAACGTCCTCCATGGCCGATATACGTCCCTCTGAAACTCTGACAGCCATATCAGAGCCATGCAATGACTCGGGTGGCAGCGCTGAGTACACGAGTGATTTCAGTGTTTCCCTACACGACATGGCATCAGCATACGAAAGCGCAAGCATCAATCAGGCGTGGTAAGGATGGGCTCACTTGAACTGGTCACTAAGTGCGCTAAGATGTCCCTCATCTACGTCCATGTCGGATAGACCAAGCGAAGATTGTGACGCGTCGGGCTGGAATAGATAGAGCTGGGGACGGCGTGGATGGTGGTGGTCGAGTTCAACGTCGAGTTCGAGCGTGACGTCAGTCTAAGCAAGGGGAAATGATGTATTGATTCGGCAATCAGCGATAGAGTAAAAACATTTGATTTGTCCCTAGTACAACGACGACACAATTCGTCTGGCCCTTATTGCGGTTGTGACTCGCGTTGAACCCAAGTCTTCTTGGACCTGCAACTGATGGAGCTCGTGTTCACCAAATCTTGTAAATCGTCGCATGAACCCGCGGGGCGGTAGCGCCCATGAACCTGTGGGAGAAGCTGTGAGTATGGCGGAATGCCCCAGGATCAGAGACGCGTCCTCACCGCTTATCCCAAACGCACCATGTGCAAGGAGCGTCTGTTCCCAGCCAGTCCATCGCTCGCAACAGTTGCATCGGAAACTTCGCTCAAGTTGTGAGGGTCTGTGCAGACGAACTCCAACGTGCGAAGTTCTGGGAATAGTTCAGGATCGGCGGCCAGCACTCGCATTATACGCGCAACTAAACTCGAGCTGTGATCGAGTTTCAGCGTGTGCAACTGACGACCCCAGGCCACCGATTTGGAGAGGTCAAGGAATCTGCAGATGACGGTACACCATGATCTGGGCAGCGGTTTGAGTGGAGTATCTCCCTGAGTAGAAACGGGAAGTAGATGGTGCAGGGTGATGCGCAGAGGTACTGGTAGTTCGGGGGCATCTTGATCGTAGAAAGAGAGGATTGTCCGATCGAACTCGGATGATGATGAGAGGGTCATCGAATTCACAGAGCGAGTAATGGTATGAGAAAGCCATTCGGATATGACTCGCATAAATCCCATGCGGTCGGGTACAGGTAGGGAAGCGGCGTTGAGATTGGGAGGCAGGTGAAGATGCGGTTCGTAACGTTGCTGCGCCCTTCGCATCTCGATTGGGTGTAGTTCGAGGCAAGTATGCGACGGCAGGCTACCTTCTAAGACGGGTATTGCGAGAGTCAAACAGCGAAACCTGTCCACCAGTTGCACTGTTTGTAATGAGGAGGGGAACGATAGCCTCCGCTGCTCGCTCTTCAACTGCCCATGGCAGATGACAAGAGTCCTCAATCGAGATTTCTCCAGTAGGAGCTGAAGTATGTGGTTTCTTGGGTCTAACTGACAGTTCTCCAGATGCACGTGTGTCACGGCATTGAACGGACCACCTGAGTGGTTGGACGCAAGTTCAGGTCGCTGGGTATCGCCGGAAGGCACGAAAGAAGAGTTCGTGAATATAACGGTTCGGAGATTGCTGAAAACGCCGTTCAACAGTCCACCATTTGGAGTAGAAAGAGGTTGGATGGAGGCGTTATGAAGCCCCAGTAACCTCAGGGAGGCATTCGGTGATAGTATCTTCGCAATGTCCTCAGAAGGTATGCGGCTCGAACGGTCTCCGTAGTGAACATACTCCTCAACGCGAGAGAAATTGTTCAGTATATCATTGACTGAGAGCTTGCAGTCTTTGGAGTCGTTATAAAGGTCTTGCGAGAAGTAGACAACAACAGAAAGAGGTTGAGACCGCTCAAGAAAGGCGTTGCAAAGGGCTCTCGAGTACATTGGTATGTACTTCCACAGCGACTGGTGGTCGAGCATCACAGATCGCCAGTGCCGACATACGTGAGAGCTTGAGATCAAGGGAGACTCTTCGCATCGAGTGTGCGGCGGGACGTCGAACAACAGCTTTTGATAGAAGAGGAATAGCACATCGGAGGGGAGTGTAGCAACGAGAGGCTGTAGCTGCACGTCAGATGCGTCGGTCATCTGAGTCAAGAAAGCACAAGCGTGTCTGTAGATGTGGTGTAGCAAAGCACGTTTGACTGGGTTGCTTGTCGAAGCTCGGATTCAACTCGAGCATCGACGGGATGATCGCGATACGAACTGTCGGCAAATGCCGACTAACGTTTCCACGAGTCATTTTGGAACCGTATTCACCTTGTTTTCCTCCGCCATAGTCTCATAGCCTCGCGAACCTTTACTCGCTATGGATGACAGCCTTGAACAACCTCAAGCCCATGTAAAGGCACCCGATCCCGACCGCGAGGATGCCGACGACGCGTCCTCTGGAGACGAAGATGGTGGGCTGGATTGGTCAAAGCTTCCGTACGTATGCAACTCTTTGACGCGATTTTCACCTCATTGAGGCTCCGCAAGACAGCAAAGCGAACAGTGCAGCTAAACCTGTGATACCTAAGCGAGGGGAGAAGGACTTCGAGCCCACGGAAGGCTCGGGTCTGCAGTCGCATCAGCTACAGCGCGCGCGCACGGCGATGTTCGATGTACTGCGCGCTACTCGTTCGACCACCATGTACGTTGGCGTATACAACTCTTCTATGAATAAATCTGATTTGGCGGTAGTAAGTCGACGAGTTTCGCCGTCTGGCACCCCACGATCGCTCGTGCACACGTTACAACTGCGCGCGGCGGGCATTTCACGACTATGGGTCACTCTATTGCACGACCAACTGACATTGATCCAACCAAAGTTCATAAGCGTCTGGAGCTGCTGCCAGAAGAGGCTCTGTATCTCGTCGAGAAGGGCGCGTTGCAGTGTTGGCGGGCAGTGGAGAATCTCGAGCTCAAGGGAGATGAACCTGAAGGAGCTATGCTTGGCGCACCTATGAGCGTCCAGGAGGCATTCTCGGAGATGCTAGGGCGTGAAGACATGACGCTTGAGCGTTATCAAGTGCGGCTTCCGATTCGTTTCTGCGCTGTTTCATGTGCTCATCTCGTCAATCTAGGTATACTCGTACTTGAAGCGACTGGGATATACTGTGACGCGTGCAAACCCGCCATCAAACGCCTACCCGTCTTCGGCACCATATCCGTCGCTTGTCACTCCACATAATGGGTCATCTTTCCTGAGCCGTTTCGTGAGCCACGTTATATCGCCATTTCAGCGATTGTTCAAATCACTCTTCCTCCCCGCGCTGGATTGGTGGAAGCCGCTTGCCCATAGGAGATGGCTTCACCACAACATGGACTACGGTCAGTGGAATCTCCTTACAACCATTAGCGGACCTCGTGCTGACTTGATGTGGGCTGGTAGCTTCGGTGTATCGTTCACTCCGTCTCATCCCGGCCGGGCACAGCGTCCCTTTGCGAAGTGATCCACCGCCAATATCTTCACCTTACGAAGTCTTCTATCACCTATACAAACCGCCAACCCCATTCAAGAAGACGGCTCCGCCTCCTCCTGACTTTTGCATCGTGGTCGTCAAGTGAGTGGACAGCCTTTCCATAACGTGCGGTAAATTGATCATCTGCAGTGCGCGTACAACACCCATACCAACCTTGACCGAATTCGACAAGTTGCTGTCAGAACAACCCGAACTTCCCCCGCCAGTCCCGCGCTACCGCAAACCTCCCTCTCAGCAGCCTTCGAACGCAAACACTACGACAGCATCAAAACCATCGCTTTTCTCACGCTTGCTGTCGTGGTTACCGGGTCGACATACAACACCTACCGATACTCCTCGGCGTGTAAATCCCTTCATGTCTCTGCGCCAGGGCAAGAGGATAGTCGTTGTCGCCGCTGTCGACGCGGGGGTAGCGAGTTTCTTCCGATTTGGACAGGGAACATTTGAAGAATGGCCGATGGCATAGCTCTCGCATCTGTACGGTACGGATCGCAGGCGTGATGGGCGTCCTACTTTTTTGCCTGCGCTATATTACACCTTGCAACTGTGATACTAGACAAAACGACACTCATAAGTCAGCGGAAGACAGCCATTACAGCTTTGCCTTGACAGTCTCGTTTGCGAGTCTTTTCTCTGCCTTCTTCTTAGCCGTTACGAACAGAACGTCATGTTCGCAATACCAGTCCCCGCCGGGGGTTACTTCGCGTATGTACGCCTCGTGTTGCTCCGTTGGGATCAACCCACCGTGCCAGACGGGGTAGGCGGCGGTGATACTACCCAGCATTGCAGTGGTAAACTTGCGCAAAGCAGGATCTAGAGTCGCGCGTGTAAGTGGTGACGCGGACGTAGCAGATCCGTACGCAACGCACCATTGACGAGGGCTGGGTTCATTGGCAGTGTGACGGTCATGATATTGATCTCGTCAAATGCTTGTGTGGCGCGCAGAATGTTTCCCAACCGCGCAGGGAACCACGGGGCCATGCCATTTGCTTGCCACTTTTGTTCGAGCGTCTTGACAGCCGCACTTAGAATCGGTGCATGATGCGAGTGATTCGACCAGGCCACGTAATCTGCCACCAAGAGAAAGCCCCCTGGCGCGAGGAGGTTCAGGATGCGTTGCACCTGCTTCTCCGGCTCTGGAAGCTGTGAGATGTTAGTGCCAAGGCTTCTGATCGCTCATAACATTACTGACGTGGATGAGAAGAAAGCGCGCATGTATCACGTCAAACGACGCCGGCTCGAACGGAAAGCCCTCGAGTATGTCAATCTGTACGAACTTGAAGTTCTTCGGGGGTTCGCTGTCAAACACACGCATCAGCCCGCGTTATCTCGCCACTGATCAGATGCAATCTGACAACGAGGGGTGCAGTGGAGCCATATCGACGGCCACGACTTCTGCGTCGGGATACTCCATAGCAGCTTGGACTGCCCTACACCCAGTCAGTCATGCTTCAATCTGCGGAGATGCCAAGAAGGGGTCGGCTCACCACGCGCCGTTACCGGTACTGTGCGACGTTGTCGGGAGACTGTAGTGATTTCAGATGTATGGAGAGGACGCACCCTAGCTCCAATATGCGCTTGGGAGCTCCAAGGTCCGTGGTGAACAACTTTCCTCTCTGATACGCGAGGAATCCGTCATACAACAGTTGCAGGCTGCAGAGCCCGAGTCAAGTCAAGGACCCTTGATATCGTACAGGGCATACCGGTCCCACTCTGCAGCGGTTCTCTGTGTACACGGTCATTAATACAGTCGCAGTTGCTGGGAGAGTAACAGTTGGAATAGGACATGTCCGACATACCGGGATAGCATAGGCAGATTCGCCGTTCAGAGTAGGCCTCTTTGGCTCGGTAGCCATGCCGGGAATTGGCAGAAGGTACTCGACGTGCCATCGTGCCCGAGAGCTTTATGCCAGCACCCGAGTCGCGGCACGCAGATGCGAAAGAGTCTCAGCAGGCACTATCAGGAGCAATAGACCTGTCAGCCTTGCATGTATATCAGATACACTTTCCGGCCGCATTCAAGTCACTCTATGGCACATGCTCGACTTGGTATAGAGCGCCTGTTGAAGTCGCACGCACATCGTCTTGTGTCTACAGCTTTTTTCTCGTCCATGAGAATTTGGCTCCTTACTGGTGGCATGCCTTATCAGATGCTCTAGGAGGAAAAGTATGAGGTTGCACATGATAGAGTCGTGCTCGTGACTGCATCCCAGTTGCGCACTTCAGACCAAGCATCAAGTGAGAGGGCGTTTTAATGAGCTCTGGACGCGGAGTTCCGAGTCCTTGTGTGGGCAACATCGCAAATGTCATGGTGTAGAGTAACTCGCGTCTGTGCAGTGCATGGCGCGCCTTCCGAACCATGACGCGTGGGCGGGGGTCGGCCCGCGTTTCCGTACTCACCGCGCTTTGCTTCTCACCACCATCGCCGCCCAGCTCGAGGGAACATCCCAATCACCATCCAAACTGCGGGGTCTATACCTAGTTGCCAGTAGCGCTGATGCCTCACGCGTATGGCGCCTTGTGAGTCGAACTGTCCTTCGTCGTAAACGGGATGGTAAACGCGGCTTTCACAGATCGGCCGTCCCTCGGCCGGACCCTCTGATATCAGCCTATGAGGCTCGAATGGCTTCCTTGACGCAAGAGATCGAAAAACATACCGGCAGTGTCGCTGGTATATTCGACCGCACTGAGTCCATACTCGAGCTCCTCCTGCGCGACATCCGCTCCAAGAGAAACGCGACCCTGCCATACATCTCTCGATTACCACCCGAACTCATGTCCATCATATTCACCATCATAGCCGCTGAAAACCCCCCTCATCAACCAGCCGATAGTGACGCAAGAGACACTTTCCGCAATAGGATGATGCCCGCCCAAAGAGACGATAGCTCGTGGGATCAGGCTATCTTGGCTGAAGCCTTCGAACCCGGGTCACTTGGATGGATAAAACTCGCCCATGTATGCCAGAGCTGGCGGAACATGATACACGGGATGGCGTCTCTATGGGCAGGAGTTCTGGGAAGGCTTCCTATGGCCGATGAGGAGGCGCTGGAGCGCGCCGGCGATCGTGCATCGCTATCACTCACTACCGTCGACGCACCTTTCTGTCTCGAGACACCGCGCATCCTGCGTACTTTGGCTACTGGATACAAATATGAGCGGTTGCGCTCTTTGCGATTGATACAGATATCAGGGATCCTGGTATCAGGAGAGCCAGAACTTATCCGGGTACCGAGTGCATCCCGTACGCTCAATTGGACAACCCTGGAGATCCTGGAAGTGCTCTACTTCCAGCAGTTAGGGGGCTCCCGTGACTTCACACCACTCGAACCCATTCTCGCACCTTCGCTGCGTATCGCGCGCTTTATAGGTTACGTCCTTCCCTTCCGGTCGATATCTCTTGTAGAGCTATCGATCAAACGCGGCAATGGTCTGCCTCTCATGATCACAGCAGAGGCGCTTTTCGAGATACTCCAGGCAGCATCCAGTACTCTAGAGGTTCTCGAGATCCACAACGCGCTGTCTTACAACTTTCATGAAGAAGCGCACGCTGTCGTTGAACCGGTGAACTTACCACAATTGAAGATCTTGCGTTTTATGGACATTCAAGAGCGGTGCCATATCATATTCCTTGGCCTACTGATACTTCCTCCGACTATCCATCTCGATTCGGACGTACTCATAGGCATGGGCGACGAAACCATTCGCATGTCGTCGGAAGAGGTGTTGAAGCCTCTTATAAGTGCCATCTCCGCCTCCGGACATACGAACGAGTGCAGCTATCTAGTCATTTCTCCTGACAGCTACCCCGAAGCGATATGCTTCGGCATCTACCCCACGATCCTCGATGTACACTCAGAGTCGACCAACAGCGACCCTTTTCGGGTCAGAACAGAGGCCAAGCTCAAGCTTCGTATCGCCAATGAATCCTCATACATGGGTAGCCTTGCCATGACATTCGCCGAGACGGCGCGCTGGCTCGTGCCCACTCGTTTTGTCGCGCTGTCCTTCAGCACCTTTGATAACTGGTCTCACAATGATATATCGGAAGCCATGTCACAGTTTACGAGCCTCCGCATGCTGCAAGTCTTCGATCCCTTGCAGTACTGTAACCCTTCGCGATATCCGAACCCAGGCGCATTCCCATTCCTCAGCGCGCAGCTCTCTTCGCCCTCCCTCCAGCCAGGGATCGAAGCGAAGGCATCCGACGACATAGAGGGCCATGTACTAGATCTGTTGTCGTTGGTTCAGACCGAACACCCGAAGACCATTGACTGCGTGGCGTGGTGCAGTGTTCTAGTCAGGCGGTTGAAGTGCGTGTTCTCGGATAGGCACTCCGCCTACTATGCCGCCGGCAGTGCGAAGCCGATACGAGTCCTCCGGGTCAACTATCCATCCGTCGCTAGCAACAATGACAATGATGAGCGGGTGGCGCGAACTATCTTCGCTGACATTGCTGCCACGGTGGAATGGATAGTGCGTTGATGACACTTTACAACGTCTTGGAAGGGGTGTTATCTGGTGTTATAGTACAGTAGTAGGAGGTGTACGAGTACTCTTTGCATTGAGTACCATAGAATGCAAATAGAATAACCCAACAAAGTTGCAGTCTTTTGATACCAGGAAATTATATGAGATGTTGCAGACACCGCGATGCGGAAGCCGAACGACAGCACGGACAGGCTTAAGACCGGTGACAAACTCGAACAAAATAAATATTGAGACCCGTAGGTCTACCACTCTGGAGAAGCGTGTCATCCTTGTGCAGGGGCCATGCTAATCTTCTCTGTATCGTTCCAATTTTTTCGTATGCCACCCCGAAGGGGGCGAAGGGCTTTCGGATTTCGCGGACCGGTGCGACGCGCTTTTGCGAATCGGGTCAGCCGTGGGTTGTTGATGGCCGATATGCCAGCCACGGCATTGGCAGTTGTGTGTTTCTTGCCTGTTAAGCTATACTGATAACTGTACGTAGCTACTGTTTCTTTCGCGAGTAGGTAAAGACGATGTCATGCTCGCAATACCAGTCTTTTCCCGGTTGCGATATCTCGCGCAGAAACGTCTCTCGTTCCTCTGGTTTCACCAACTTACTGTCGTGCCATCCTGGTAAAGCGGCGACCAAGGATTGACGAAAGCCTTCGGTGAGCACCCGTAAGGTGGGTTCTACAGTATCATGGATGCCAGCATTCAGACGAGGCTCGTGCAGTCACGGGACGGACATACCAGATACAAGGGAGGGGTTGCATGGAACGGTCACGGTCTTCACCGTGATCTCGTCGAAGGCCTGAGTGGTGCGTAGAATGCCGTCAACCTTCGCGGCAAAGTGCGGCAGAAGACCCTTGACTGGCGCTAGTGATTCAAGTCGTCCCGCTACTGCAGCCAGTATAGGTGTGTTAAGAGCGTAGTCGCCTCGAACATCGTAGTCTGTGGCTATAAGATAGCCGCCAGGAGCGAGGAGAGGATGGATGCGAGCGATGTGCATCTCGGGATTGGGAAGCTGTTCTGGTCATGAGCGGCGTTCCGAGCATTTGCACATGTAGTACTGACGTGCATCAAGAAGAAGCGAGCGTGGATAACGTCGAACGTTGCAGCTTCCAAAGGTAAGCCTTGCGTGATGTCAAGTTGGAGGAACTTGAAGTTTGTTGGAGGGATGCTATTCGCAGGCGTCAATGGCAGATAGCATCAGCAGTTGTGCCAATGACACATACAATGAGGATGGCAACGGTGACATGTCTACGGCTATGACCTCAGCGTCGGGGTACTCCCGTGCGGCCTGGGCTGCCCTGGCCAGCCGTAAGTGCGTTGCGTTAAATGTCTATAGGATAACGGGTTACCAGGACCCTGTGCCCGCGCTATGGTGTCCCTTTTAAAGCCTAGTTCACAGAGGTAATCATCAAGGGCGACATACGCACCCGAGCTCCAGAATACGTCGTGGAGTCCGGAGGACTTCCGCAGGCACGGGCGTTAGTTTCCCGCCCATGTATCTCTGGACAGCGTCATGCTGAGCCTGCAGGCTACCGTCTCGTCAGTACGCTCAACGTCGAGAAGAAAAGGGGGACTGTACGTACCGAGCGTACTCTTCATCTGTTCTCTGGGGTGTTTGGATATCAGCGCGGTCGGAAACTTGAATCGTTGCACTCTCGAGAATCCGCACCTCGATACTATATGCCGTCGCCCCTGCACCTGATGTATAACGGCGAGCGCAAAGTCTCGCTGGTCGAGGTGCAAGCACGACACGAGAGTAGATCGCGATGGGGGAGCTGAGCAGGTTCAATGCGATGTTGAACATTTGCGGTTGTTTCGGATACCTCCATACGAGCTATGACCTACCGCATGTTCCGGAGGAGATGCAGCATTGCGGGGCGAAAGCACTTGTTCCCGTTTTTGTCAACGCCGTAGCGATATAAGTGATCAGGGGACGGGAACGGTATCAGACAGGGTGGGATTCATGATAGGGCAGTAGCATCCTCGGTCCGCACAATGTATGTGGGCCGGTATAACTTGGACCCATGAGGGTCAAGAAGTGGGAATGAAGCCGTGGATAGACTCAAGGGTCGCAGGCGAGTGGCGCAAGGTACACCTCGACACTTGAGAGTCAACAGGTACATTCGTTCCTACAGGGTAGTGCTTCGTCAGCGACGGCACGTCGGAAGTCCGGAGTCCGAAAGCCTTACCACTCCTCGCTGTCAGCCAAAGGCTCGCCACGAGCAACTTCGCTGATGGACGGCAGTCAGACGCGGTCGCGGCGTACATGTGCTACTGTTACTACCTGGCTACTTGATGTACAACTGGATGTCCTAATCACAGGACTCACAGTCTCTTCCGTGACCATGTGAATACGACGTCGTGCTCGCAGTACCAATCGTCGCCCGGCTGTGAGGTCTCGCGTAGAAAGGCTTCGTGTTCCTCCGGTGTTACCACTCCATCATGCCACACTGGGAAGACGGCTACCAAGGATTCGCGCAGGGCTTCAGTGAAAGCGCGTAAGGCAGGGTCTGTGACATCATAGATCTTGCTCAGTACACTACCCAGTCCACTGAAGCTCAGTGCGCACCGGATTTGACTCGGGATGGATTGAACGGGATGGTTACGGTCTTCACTGTGATCTCGTCGAAGGCCTGCGTGGCGCGTAGGATTCCACCAGCCTTCGTGGCAAAGTGGGGAAGGACACCTTTGGCTAGCAATTGTACTTCGAGTCGTTTCGCCACCTCAACCAGCATGGGCGCGTTGTGCGCGTAGTCGCCTCGTGTGTCGTAGTCTCCGGTAACGAGATGACCTCCGGGAGCAAGGAGGTGGTGAATACGAGCGAGGTGGCGCTCAGGTTCGGGGACCTGCTTAGTAGTCAGTGGCGACGTTACGCAGACTCGCAACTTGAGGGTGCAGAACTGACATGCATCAAAGTGGCGCGCGCATGGATCATGTCGAACGAGCCGGCTTCGAAAGGCAAGCCCTGCGTGATGTCGAGTTGCAAGAACTTCATATTCGGCGGAGAGGCGCTATAGAGAGATGTTAGAGGTGGTAGCATCAATGATATATGCAGCAATGGGACGTACAACGCAGGCGGGAGGGGCGCCATGTCTACAGCTATAACTTCGGCGTTAGGGTACTCTCGCGCGGCTTGCGATGCCCTGGAACTCGTTTAGTGCACCAAAAGCAAGTCCAGTCGGGAACGTACGTACCAATCCCCTGTACCCGCCCTTCAGAGTAGGGATCATCTCAGCTGTCACTTCCCTCAACGCACCAAGTCTGGTACACGCACCCAAGCTCAAGAATACGTCGCGGCGTCCCCAGCGTCCCCGGAGGCACGATCGTGAGCTTTCCGCCGAGATATTTCTGGATGTTATCGTACTGAACTTTCAAGCTGCATAGCTGTTGGTATGCAGGCTCAACTATGACAAAAGTAATAGCCACGTACCGAGCCCACTCCTCCTCCGTTCTCTGGCGAGGGATCGTTTGATCAGTGCATCGGGTTGGAAGCCATGTGTGCACAGGGTCCTCACTTCTATACCATATGCCTTTGCGCCGGAAGCCTGCCCATAGCGACGAACGGAAGGTACCCGGCGCAACGCAGCGGCATAGCACCCTACATGTGAGTAGGTGGCAATCGGGAAACCAGGCAAGTTCAAGCTAGGATGCAATTTCAGCACGAGAAAGTATGGTTTTCACAGGGTATATCTACCTCAGGCTCTTGGCAGCAACTTGCATAGCGGCCTGTAGAGAATGCTCGTCCGTGATATCCATACTCTGGGCATTTATACAGAGGTTAGCGAATGATGCAAGTGGCGCTCTGATCGCAAACACTGTAGTGTTACGGCATGGTGTTATCACTTGACGCTGTGGTTACTGAGGGCGCCGCCTAACCTAACGGGTCTCGCGGGCGCCTTGTCGCCGTGCTAGGCGCAGGCTGAGTGGCAAGTGGCGGGCTAGTAAGAATACTAGGGTCCCGCTGTGGCCCACAGTACGGCACGGGTGATTCGAAGTCGCAGAATGCACACCACTAGTCAAGAAGCGCTAATCTCGTGCGGAAGAGAGAAGGAATGATGTCGGGACAATACCGTATTCCGTCGCCAAGACGAGAAGCTGCACAAGATGTTGGATCGCGAGCTCGACACGATGGTAAGTGCACCAAACTGCAATGAGGCTGCAGACTCCGAGCTTTCGAAGAGCGATCAGTAACGATTCCGCACTCAGGGAGCATTGCGGGACGCTCACCAGCTACCAATTCTTGATCATGAAGCGAACACTGTCGAGCGGACATGAAAGTAACGAGATCTTGTGATAGTCAAGCTGCCCGTACTGACAGACAGCGTATGGAGAAATGATGACGGTAGGAAACTCGCACGAAGGGACTAACAGGACGATGATTGTGGGTTTCGTGTTGATCGTGACGATCGTAAGTGAGGACAGAGACAAGGGCGCGGAGTGAAAGGTGGAAGGTCATATGAGATGGAGTCGGGACAACAGCACTGTGACGAACATGGAGCGAACGGTAACGAAGTACGATTATACCAGAGCACATAGAGATGGGACACATCCAGGACACAGGAGACGAGAAAGACAGACAAAACGGTATGCATGGTCAACAGGCAAGGATATCAGAGAGAATGCATCATGAACGGGACGGAGATTCAGCAAACCACCAGCTACATCTTTTGCAGGCGATCAATCAAGATCGCCCATTCGACGACAGTAACGCCCTGCTTGAGGGCCTCCTCCTTGACTTCGCGGTCGCGTGTCTCGGCCCTCATCCTTCCGAGCGCACGCAAGTGTTCGTCCCTCCGCAGACCGAGATTGGCGAGAACAGGAGCGAGATGCACGAGCGGCGGGTCGCACGATGCCAGTACGCGCTCGAGAGAAGGTGCGGGTCCACCGCCTTCCGTAGGCCGCGTGGTCGCTGTTGAGCCACGACGTGGCGACTGCGGTTGAGATGGCGCGGACGTTTGGCCTGTCGTCTGGGTTCCGGGCGGCGAAGAGGCGTTTGAATTCGAGTGCGTCCTGTTGAGTGATGAACGCGAGCTTTGACTCTGCTAAACGTCAATCAGTACATCATCAAATGATAAAGCGGAAGAGACACGCTTACCGTTCCGCCCAGATCGACGCTTTTCCTCAACAGCCTATCGCGATGCCTCGCGGTCCCGCTGACACTGGCCATCCCTACCGCCATCGGCCCGTCCTCCCTGCTGATGCTCCCTGCCCTCCTCCTCGCTTCACGCCTATCCACCAAATCCGGCACTTCCTCATCAACACTCCCGCCCGCGCCGGAACTTGCCGCCACATCCTCCCTCCAGATCGAGATTGTGCGCTCTGGTCCGTCCTCAAGCACCTTGCGCTGAACGAGGTTATGGCTCGCGGCGGGCATCTTGCCCTTGCCCTTGTCCTTCACACTCAGCGCTCGTGTAGGAGGGGCTTTCTTCGACTTGTTCTCTGAGCCGAGTAGTGACATGGCCCGGTCGGCGCCGTATCCGAAACCGAGCTGGTCGAGCGAGCGCGGCGGCGAGGCGTGCCGCCTGCTCCTCGGACTTTCGAACTGCGACTGGGTCGGAGTCTTCGGCTTCCTCGGCGGGCTCATCATCTGCCTATCCCGCTCTTGGCGCTGCTGCTGCATCTGAATCTGTTGTGCCCTCCTCTGTTCACGTGCGAGTTCTGTAGGCGAAGGCGGGACATCCATGATGAGGTTGGGTGCAACGGTTAAATCGTCATAGTCCAAGTCGAGCTCGCTGTGTGCTGGGTTCAATACTGTAGGCGAGCCGCGGGTTTCGGTCAAGGCATCAAAGTCGTCGGGAAGGACTGTCGCTGTTGGTGGTGGGTGAGGGCGGCGAACGAGCTTCTTGCCGCGGCCGTCGCGGGTTGGGACGAGGTACAGCGCTGCATCTTGTACGAAGCGAGGTTCAGACGAAGTTCTGGCGAAGAAGACTACAAAAATACTTACCGCTCGTGCTAGCTGCGTCATTGTAGACACTCATGACGGATACAAAGCGAATTAAGGGAAAGAGGCCGAGTAAGCCCTGATGGTGGGCTAACGAGAACAAGAGAGGGCAACAACAAACGTGGGGCACTAAACCGCGGTCACATGACTTCCGTTTACTCGCCGATGCGCCTGTCGTTGATCGCGACGCGGCCGCGAACCTCACCGCATGCCTCGAATCGCTCCACCCGCGCTCGCGGGGTTATTCACGCACGTGTACCGGTTATAGAAGTGTATATGCAACGGGCGGGTACAGTAGCTAGTATGATACAGACAAGACAATGCGGGCAAGAACATGGCACATGAAAACCCAAGATGATGCGGTGGCAGCGAGAGCGGAGAACAAGCACTCTACGTGCGCTCGCCACGGAGGCGGCGGGCAAGGGCAAGGTCCTTGGGTTGGCTGTGGTTCATGTCAGTATGCATGTGGTTGACACGTTCGAGGGTGGAAGACATACATAGTGACACGCTTGGCGTGGATGGCGGCCAGGTTGGTGTCCTCGAACAGCGAGACGAGGTACGCCTCGGCAGCCTCCTGAAGAGCCATGACCGCGGACGACTGGAAGCGCAGGTCGGTCTATACGAGATAAATATCAGTACACACGCAGCGTATACGACTAAGCGGCAATGGAATATACCTTGAAGTCCTGCGCAATTTCACGGACCAGACGCTGGAACGGCAGCTTGCGGATGAGCAGCTCCGTGCTCTTCTGGTACCTACGGATCTCACGGAGAGCAACCGTACCCGGGCGGAAACGGTGAGGCTTCTTCACACCACCGGTAGCGGGAGTCTGGTAGTCATAGTCAGTACAGATGGTCCGAGCCGCCAACCACAACGTGACTCACGGTAGCGGTCTTGCGTGCGGCCTTGGTGGCCTGCTTGGAAGCGAGCTGAGAACATCGTCAGCGTCGAGCTCGGCGACGGCGGTCAAGTCTAATACACACCTGCTTACGGGGCGCCTTGCCACCGGTGGACTTGCGCGCGGTCTGCTTGGTACGGGCCATTGCTGATGATGTGGAGTGGTGAGGGTAGAGTTGGTTGAGAGCGGGCCGGCGCGGGGGTTTAGTAGTGGCGGTAAGGGGCGAGAAGCGACTGCTTCGTTGGAACTTGAACGCCGTGCATCTTATACGCCCTCCTCGCGTGGTTGCACGTGCACGAGTAAACCGGAACTTACCGAAGCCACAACGCGTTCAACGCGTTGATCGCGCGACGCGTCTTGCGTCCATCTGTCGTGAACCACCCTCCGCGCTGGTTGTGGACCTTCGATTGCACGCCTCATTATGGCTTTACTCCATGTACCACAATGACAACTGCGTTGATTTTACTGAACAATGGGCCGATGAACATTCCCTGACCGCGCCAGGCCTCTCTGGGCGCTGCGGTTGGTGCTCTGGACAGGAAGGGTCGACTGACGTTGCTTTCGATTCCAGATCACATCGAGATACATTGGCCGAGACAGAGGCGTCAAGCCGTACATTATACAATCTTCGCTCCTTGTCCTCATTCAGACACCAAAATGCACGAAAGGGACCCAGCGTGCGAAGTTATTCTCGCCAACCTCCTCCCTCAAACGCCGCGTTGCTTCATGGAGCGCGTAGGCCGCACCGGTCTCCCCTCTCTGGACCGCACCTGCGCTGCGCATGGCAAGCAACTCCCTGTAGAAGGTTTCGACGACAAGCGGCGCGTCATCGTCCAAGATTGACCACGTTGTCGCCACAACACCCTTGAAGCCCACTGCGAGCATCCCCGCCGCGAGATGTGCAGACTCCTCGGGATTATCGTACTCGCCCACGGCGGTCTGGCACGCTGAAAGGAAAGCAAGCTCCGCGTCGTCTGCCACCATGTTCATGAGTTTGGACAGCGTGAGCGGGCCATCGTGGAGTATGAAGGCGCTCTGGCTGGCATCGCTCTGGTCCTGCGTGCCGTGGCAAGCGAAGTGTACCCAGGGGTACTTATTCACGGCATCCCGGACTGCCTCCACTGTAGCGTCTTCATCGTCGAGGATCTCGGTGCCGATCGCGGACTGGGAGAGGACTTCCTTGAGGCGTGAGACTTCCTCCGCGATTCCGGGAAGAGGGCTATGGCCCGGTGTCGCTGGCTGTGTCACGGCGAGCAAACTAGGCCTCAGCCTTACTGAACACTCCTTGTCAAGACTCTCGCGACTGCGTGTGTACGCGGCGAGGGATGGCGTATACGAAGACACGACAAAGTCGTAGGCACGCGGGCCCTCGGGATCCGTGTAGATTCCAGCCGCATGTAAAGGAAGGTGAGCCAGTGGCCCCGTCGGACACCAAGTGATATGCGGCAGAAGATCGCCATTACACTGAAAGACACAGCATCAGACAGGCGCGAGTGGATGGACGATGGCGTCGACTTACCATGGAAACGAGGTCCAAGCTTTGTAGGATGGGTTCCACCACAGCGGTCCATAGTACCTCCAGCATGCGAACGAATGGGCTTGGAGCCAAGGACCCGCGCGTCAAGAGCGAGGAGATGGATCCTCGAGTTCGAGCGGAGTGATTATGAAGATTGGTTCGGAACGCCCACACTCTGAACAATCCGCTTGCCAGCCTCTCAGTGAGGCGCGGAAGAGGTACGTGTCCAACCTCTCGATTACCGGAGAGGATGAGCGCATCGCAGCGGCTTGAATGCACGTTGATGAATATCACAGGGCCGGATGTGAGGTGAGATGACAACCCCTTGAGAGGTGTTGGACGCAGGAAGTTTTCGAATCCCGGGCAAGCGCGAATCTTCCCGAGGAGAACCTCGTACTCCACGACCCGTCCTCGATGAACTTCCTCCGCACTGTCCCGGAAAAGGGCGTCCATGAATCCACCCATGGCGAATAAGATCGTGCCAACGAGTTCAATGTTAGCGGGCGGTTTGTGGCCGCTGCCGAAGACCCCTGCTAACTCAGAAGGGTGTCGGAGCTCACGCTGGGCAGCAACGAAGGCCTGTGCAAGCTCCGGCTGATGCTTCTCCAAGTCATCGAGAGGCGTGCGCAAGGACAAGATCTGTGACCAGACGAATGATCGTCCCGCCTCGAGCCACTCCATTGCTCGCAACAGGGCTCCTGCACGAATCGCGTCGGATACTGCAGCATTCACGTCGTCCTTCCCTTTCGAGGCCTCTTGATAACGTCGGTTTACGCTATATCCAAACCAGACAACCTCAGGAAGACGGTCCATGACGAGGGCATGCGCCGACAACAGGTTCTCCAGGGAACCATTGGGAGACTCGAAGGTCGGATACCTGTGGAACATCTCTACACATGCCTTCGCCATAGCGAACCGACCAAAGGGATTGCCATCCCCATGAGAAGATGCTCGCGAGAGTGAATATACGACTTCGTCGAACGTCATTTGACTTGGGCTGCGCTTGAACATCTCGTACCGAGCACGACTGAGAACAGACAAGAACTGCGATTTGGCAGGATCATGGTCTGGCGCCAGGTCCAGTGCGAGGTTAGACATGGAGATTGCCTGTGTGAGATCGTCGATGTTGTTTGTAGCCTTGTATCTGTCTATAAGCCCGCCAGCAGAGTTGTTGTAGACCGCTCGCTTGACATAATGGTCTTCGGGTGTGAGCTCACCCGCCAGACGAAGTGCAGACATAGACTCTTCAGAGTCGCGCGGCTCTGAAGACCCTGTCAAGAGGGCACGAGATCGCAAGGCACTGCTGAGGTTCATCAGTCGATGTGGTTTGTAGGGATCGCCGTCAGGTGTGATCTCCACCGCCTCGCGGTTCACCGAGATCGCAGCCTCGATATCGTAGAGCCGGTATGTGTTACCGAAACGGATCGTTAAAGAGGCGCCAAGGTTGTTGAGAAAGACAGCACGATGAGGGTGACCGGCAGGTACGAGGCTGAGTGCGCGCCGCTGTACCAAAACAGCGGTGTCAATGTCCAACGACTCCCCGGTGCGCTTGTAGCGTATGCACAGCGATGTTCCAAAATGCATGAGAGCATAGGGCTTCTCCGGTTGGTCATCCTTCATGAACATCGACGCTACACGATGGGCTCGGATTGCCTCTTCGATGTCCGGAAGTGCGCCAGTGCATTCGAAACGACGGGTCAACGCGGTGCCCTCGTTCATGCGATGCCTATACCGATCCGGGTGATCTTCGGGAATGAGTTTGGTGATGTGACGAAGCACTGAAACCCTGGCATCTATATCTCGAAGATCCCCGTCCCGCTCAAAACGAACGCTCAAAGACTCGCAAAGGTGATCCAACCGAGTCACGCGCTCAGAGTTCTTGATGGGAGTGAGCGCGACTGCGCGACCGCGTACGAATATCGCGGCATCCATGTATCCTCGATGACCGGTCTCGGCAACGTGAGTAGCCAGGCGCTTGCCGAGGTTGTCTAATAAGGACAACTTTCGAGGGCCATCGTCGGGCGTGAGTACTATAGCACGGCCATAATAGGCAGCCGCCTCGTCGAAGTCGAGTTGGGCGCCTATAAGCTTGAATCGAGAGAACAGTCGTTGCGCGAGTTCAACCAGCGTCGAAGGCTTTCGGTGATGACCGTCGGGCATGATACTGATTGCGTGGCGTTGTGCAGAGATGCCAGCATCGAGGTCGTGCCGCTGACCAGTGCGATTGAAGCGGTCCGTCAAGGCGACGCCGTAGTGGAAGAAGAAGAAAGGCCGAAACTGGCTCTCGTGGTCATTGGCCGCCAGCTGGCATGCACAGTAAAAGGCAAGTATAGCCTGTTCAAGCTCGTCCTGCGAGTGGCATATTGCGAGATGCCGCATATGGTAGGTACCGAGATCGTGAAGCCGTTCTGCCCGTTTAGCCTGATCGGTGTCAGCGGTAAACAGGATCGCACGCCGGGTTGCCCAGATCATACTCTCGAGATCCTTCAAGTCGTTGTTGATATCGTACCGGTCACCAAGTCTCTCGACTAGAGAAGAGAAGAGTGCTGGGTCCCCAAGCCCTGGCTCAGATCTGACAGCGTTCTGCGTCGCTGCTATAGCTTCGTCGAGGTAATCGGGGATACCGGACATCTTGTATAAGCGAGTCATGAAATCGCCTAGCTCCCTTGGATCATCGAGCGATATGAGGTGGTCGGGTACAGCGCCTCCCTGAAGATGACTGGCTGCGGCCAAATGAGCCCTGGTAACCACGCTGCCATCAGGCATCTTGCGCATAACTATCTCGTCCAGAGGATGGGGCTAAACATAACCAGTCAGCTTTACTCTGTTGTTTCTGTAGAAGCCTGCTTACCACGCTCATGATCAGCTTTGGAAAACTGGGGTCTAATCCTAAGGCCTTGGGAGCGATGGGGATACGAAGAGCGGGGTTCCAGTCTCCTGCAGGTCTCAAGACGGTTATAACCACTGTAATGCTGTACTCGGTCACCCACGCTTGCTGTGACGATCACAAGGCCCGAGACGCAGAAGACCTTCGTACGGTTATTGTGCCGAAACCCAATGGCGTTCAGTTGCTTTTCCCTATCCGGTGTACATTGGAACCTCTCATACATTGAGGCTTTGCGTCCCGTCATACGCACCGTCAGTGCGGTTCGCAGGGGACCAGAGACTGCATCACACCGTTCAGCATTAGATCGCGCGTGGGAAGTGGTTGCCGCACTGCATGCGCTATGCATACAGACCTGTGCGGCGCCCTGCGCAGCTGGTTGCGATGTGCCACAGAAAGGGCAGTATACCCAGTTGGGCAAGTGAATCACAAAACGCGAAGCGTATCCGGTAGTATTCAGACTTCTTTGCAGCTATATACCTGATGGTGACAGCACCCTACTGGTTGTGCCGTTACAGAAAGCAATGTGGACCAGAGTAGGAAACGTGACCGAGGCGGCGAGAGCCAAGCGCGCTTCGCGTCGCAGCGCGACGTGGTGCACAGCTGTTCAGTCTCTCACGACGCCCATCATGACGCGACTCGCGCCTGCCACCAACGCAATCCCAGTACATATCGACACCCCTAGCAATCAACAAGTACCTGTCAACGAGAATTGGGCTCAATCGTACGATCCAAAGGAAGGTTACCTGAAGTACACCCTCATCGACGCTGCGTACCACGGCAGCCTCGTGCACTTGAGTCCTTGTCCCTTTGTTGGATGGACCAATCAGTGCTTTCATATGACAAGGTCTTCGACATGCTGTCACAAATATTCAATACGCGCAGACAATGCTATTCTACACGTTAGATATTTGCTGCATCGATCTAACCGAGGGCTTCCAACTGCTTCCAGGCAATGTCTTCGAAAGTAACCACGTACTGCCTATCTTCGCCCACGTCTCTGGCCGGTTCCCTGTATCTGCAGCAATCGTGAAGCTCCCTCGAGGTATAAAGCCCACCTTGTGCTCTACATGGATATAGGACAAGGGAGCTTGGGGTTCGAAACCGACGACGAAGGACATCGTTATTTGGCGATGTTCGTGAACTTGATGGATGTTGTTGAAGGACGGATTGGGGAGCTTGGGACACTGGTAATGCGCCTACGATTCTGCATGGTCACAGTGTAGACGACTGGTCTGAGATTATACTTACCTTACAAAGCTATATCTTGAGAATCTAGTGTTCTTATTCAGTCAACGCACCTCATAGTCATCGCAACGCATCCATTGCTTACATATGTGCTCGGATCCAAGCTTGCTGGTTATGCATGCGATGTAAGATGGACTCCTTGAACTCTGTATGGATCTCGGTGGGCGGCAACTTTGTCGATCCTCGTCATTAGTCTGCCGAACTGGGCGACCGCTTCTGCCATCCGCGCCACACAGAAGCCCAATCTCGGAGATACACCCGACCAACGCGAATCCCGACCTCGGATCCATACGCATAAACGCATAAAGAAGCCCTTTCATCTGTACTGCGCAGCAGCACCCTGAACGTATGCGCATACATATGCATACTGGCAAGTACGCCATCCAAGCGGAGAGCCGGCCTGCCGGCATGAGGCACGCGCATGCGCGCGAATCCGCGCACCAACGCGCCGGAGCTTCTCGTAGCGCCACAGCGCCAGAATCACAACACCTAGCGGCGTACGCAGCTAAGGCGCTCGGACGGACCATCTGCGCAAAGCAGAGTTCATCGCGATGGATTGTATGCCATTGGGGTTGGTAAGCGCATGGGCACTATGGATGGATGCAGGTGCTTTCACCGGTAAGCCGCCGCGAGAGGACAATACATAGCCCCATCAAGATGAATGGGTGGGTTGTCCGCCTGTGACCGGTGCAAGGTGGATGAGAAGGTGGATTGAGAGCCGGAGCAGCCTTCTCGGAGTCCTGTAGTGAGTGGGGCTGGCTATACGCATAGCTATGCGTCTAGGCCTGCAAGAAATGCAGGCTGCAGCAGGAAGGGATGGACAGAAGAATGCACGTTCGTTGTCGTGGAAAGCTCGATGGGCGCGTCGCGCCGACGCGCGGGCGCGGTGGGCGCTTAGATGGTCTGATCATGCGCTCAGGCTGTGCGCAGCCCCCGACCAACACGGGCGGGCGCTTGGGCGCCTGCGGCAGGTCTACCGCGTTCAGGTCATGATCCTTATCTTTGTCTGCGGATATGCGGAATCCTCGGCGGGTGGACCTTGTTGTTCCAAAGTCGCTTTCCAGCGGGAGCAAGTCGTAGGAACGCGCACGGAAGGACACCGGAACGGGTAGAGGCCAAAACCGAACAAATGCAAACGACCTTTCATGTCGATACGTGTTAAGGCATACACGTTGTGCGAATAGCATGGTTGCTGTGTAAGAGGGTTGGAGAAGCTATGCGGGTTGGCTCTGCTCGAGAAGCGCGGGGAAGACAAAGGGGAGGAAGCTGTGCGGGCGTGGATGGCCGGGCGGGGGAAAGCGCTCCGGCCGCGACGGACCGTGAGCGAGTTGACAGCGAGGGTGCCTGTCAGCATGATGGCGGCAGCATCGAGTCAGAGCCTCGGCACCGGCAGCGTCGAGAGCAAAAACAGTCAGATATATTGTTACAGTACGCTTTGCAGGGAGGAGAGGGAGGACGAAGATGGGGAACGTAAGGAAGGCGCGGGCGATGAGGGCAGGGCGGGATTGTGGCGGGGAAGGATGCCATTTTGGGCGAGGCAGGGCGGGATCCGGGCATTGCCGCCGCGATCAAATTCGGCGCTGCCGAAAAGTTCATAAGGATGAGTCAGAAAATTGGACGGGATTCGTTACTCTCCTTTCCCCCACCACCTCTGACTCCCCGGACGGTCAGTTCGAGGCGTCAAACACAACAAACAAAGGAGCTTGTGAGTATTGTACTTGATCGTACATTTGTACTCGTCTACAACCTTTTTGGTTTCGCTCGCTGCTCGTGCCGCATCGTTATACGCCACAGTCGCGCGATTATCATTATCATGCCATCCCATTACCACGAGCAATCGCTCGAAAGCACGAGCACGAGCGCATCGGGCGTTGGCCACCGCGGCGAGCATAACCCGGCGATGTCGTCGACGGCCACATCGTCGAAATCAGATTCGCCGAGGAGCACGTTGCTGACTGGTCCCTCTTCGTCTAGTCCACGGTCGCACAAGTTGCTGCCGTACCAGCCGTCGAGCTCAGTCTCCCACCCACACCCCGACATTCCAGCTTCTAGTACACCACACAATAACCAAGACCGTCGGAATGTTCCGCCTCTTCCTCTGAACGGGTCCCCTGCGCCCAATAAGCCTGCAGCCGGTCGACAACCCAGTCTACCCTCTCAACACCACCTCGAAAGCATCGCGCTATCGGGTTATTCTCACCCCCAACATGTCTCGATAAACAACTACCTCGACTCCCGTCTCGGGACTCCCCACTCTCCGCTTAGGAACCCTTCGGACCTAGCCGCCCACCATGGCCTACCTCAGTCTTTCCCCAAAGCTCCATCGCTCGTACCAACTCGCTTCGCTCAACAGCAGCCCCAATCAGACCCAGTACAAGACTTCTTCGCCCTTTGCCAAAACTATTCTGCGATGCTCAACAAGGCTCCCGAAAACACGGACGGCCCTACCGCCTTCCCGGCGGTAGACCTCGGCCCTCCCCCGATCTCTCCCAAAGAGGCAGCGCTTGCCGTCTTTGACGTCCTGCAGCAAGGTGCTTCACCTTCACAGTCCCCGCGCGCTACGCCTCCCCTGACTCATAACCCAATAGGTTCCGCCTATGAGCAGACGCCTCTGGACGAGTTCCTCACGGGAGCGTTCGATGACTCGCCCGAGTCAGACATGCTCCCCACGCCCGGCCACAGCCCCATGGACTTCGGCGCCGATATATTCCAGGGTACCCCCCTCACCGGCATGATGGACTCATTCGACGACTTCCCGCCGACCAGCGCCTTTGACTTCACCTCCGCCATGGGCAAGCACCATCACATGCCCGCGCACCCGCAGTCGTTCGACACTCTCCTGACCATGACCCCGGAGTCGTCAATCGAGCCGTCATTCTTCAACACCCCCATGACGCCCGCGCTTCAGAACTTTCCCACATACGCGCCACAGCCAACATCCGCTCCTACGCCCGAGCCCACCGAGGCGGCGAAGGCGGCAGCGACGCGTCGCAAGTCCCAGCCAACAGGTACTCGCAAGAACGTGACGCCCGAGTCACTCGTACCAATCGACGCGCCCATCCAGCAGCGCAAGTACCTGGCCCCGTCCGCGACCTCGCGCAAGGAGGTCCCGGCGACGTTCGCGCGCAAGCGTGCACGGTCGCAGGCGTTTGGCGACGATGAGGAGGAGGTGCCACAGGGACCGACCATGTCCGAGGAGGAGGCCATCAAGGCGAAGCGGCTGCAGAACACGCTCGCCGCGCGTCGGTCACGGAAGCGCAAGCTCGAGCACCAGCAGCTTCTCGAGGAGACGATCGAGGCTGAGCGCAGCGCCAAGGAGCAGTGGCGTGCGCACGCGATGGTACTCGAGGCGCTCTTGCGCGACAAGGGCTACACGCCGCCTCCAGCGCCGCAAATATGAGCGACGAAGTAGATCTCTGGACTCTTCTCTGCTATGCGACTGTATATGTTTCTTGACTGTCTCTCGTTCTCATCTATCCTCTCGAGCGCCGCTGTCGGCCTTCGGCGCTGTACATTATTGCATCTCATCATCACCATTCCCCATCCACTTGCGCGCCGTCGTACCCCCTCCCCTCACGCATCTGACTGCTTGACTGCAATGTGACTCGTCTCATTACATACCGATACTCGTAGTACCCCTCTCCTCGTATGCCGTGACTCATCATCACCCCTCTTGCGCGTATGAACGGCCGCAGCTAGTGCGCGCCCGCTTTTGTCGTGCTCTGAAAGTATGCTCCTCACCCTTAGCTTTAGTCATCATCCGCTCTTGCTTGCATCCTCTCATCGTATATCTCTCTGGCTTGTAACCGTAGCGTACGAACATCGTGTTACGACGTATACGAAGCGTTCTTAGGAACGGATCGCTCTTACATTCCTGTGTGATCTTGCGCGAAGGAATCGGTGCAACATATTGTACAGTTAGTGGCACAAGGCAAGACCGATCATGATGCATGATGCATGATGCATAAACGGTCCCGGTATGTGTATGTGAGTGTGGGGTGTGGAATCCATATGGTCGAGTCTGGCGCAGTTGACACGAAACCATGTACGTTGATTTAGTCGAGTCAAAGGGTGTCGCTAGGCCATCGTAGTGGTGGATGCCGACTTAGCCTCACAGAAGACCAGATACTGTCAACCATTTATCAGACGTACAGGCGCAGGTGCAATAGTTCAAGGCGGGGGTACATAGCTCTTCTAGTCTACAAGTTGTTATAGTAAGTCTACAAGCCTGAGTCAAGGTAGTACAGCGGCACTTCAAGTTCCTTTACATGGGATACAAGGTCCTATCCATAGCTCATCCTGCCCTCCAATCTACGACGTCCGCTAACCGAATAAACATCTCCTGCGCCTTCTGTCCGTTTCGTGGGTTTGCAGCTGGCAGATAGTCGATTCGTAGGAACTGGATAGGTTTCGGAGCACCGGTGTCCTTTGACCATCCACACTCCCGAAGCGTGTGACGCAATTGATCATAGATGTGCTTGCACCACTGCGAGCAGCTCAGGTTGCTGGTGCCGCGTCTCTGAACTAGCCACAACGTGTCAAGGATCGGTACCGATGACCCAGTACCAACGGATTTGGTTGAAGATTTGGCCGAAGATTTGCGGGAGTTGGGGCGGGTAAGGGCGCTGAGGAAAGGGAACAGCTGGGGAATAGACGAATCTCCCCACTCGTCGTCCACGAGGCGCAGTGGATCGACAACATGGAGAGCGCGCATACTCGTATAGAGGGACATGGCTTTGAGCACGGTTGAATATCCCCAGAACGGCATGTCGATGGACACAGTTACAAAGCGTGTGGGGTCCATTGCATGGCTGATAGATTGAAGACAGACGTCCAGATACGCGTTGTGAGTCGCACTCGTCACCTTGGCGTTGTATACGTCTAGGATCAGCGGCGCGGGGTAACCTTCAAAAGGGCCTGCAGAAGCCCGAGCTCTGAGCGAGCGTATGGAGTTGAGGGAACTGCAGTACGCGCGCAGACTAAACTCATTCGATGCGTCAGTCTGTGTGTTGATGAGCTGTGTCACGATGAGTCCATCCAACGAGGTGTCGAATCCTCTGCATCTGAAGGCGGCCTGGATGTCAGAGTTGGCCGCGAGCTCCATGTCAGACGCGATGAATTGTCGATCAACTTCCATCGAGAGGTAGAGTGTCAGCGAGGTCGTGGCAGGAACCTTCAAGTGGTCCAATAAACTGTTGCAATGGCCGCCGTCCGTTTGCTGACATAACTCTTGTAAATGCGGTAGAATGATGTCCTTTGCATGGAGGCCGTCCTCAAGTATGCTTGTCATAGTAACGTCGATGAGTTCCAGGTAACGAAGTGTTCCAGCAGAGCGTTCAAGAAGGTCGTATAGGGTTTGGGAGGGTAATGTCGTGTGATCAGTGCCGGTGATGTTCAGTCGATTCAACGAGGCGGACTCCCAAGGCATAAAACACTTCTGAAACAAGATGGTTCGAAGTTTTGGCGCTCTGATGGGGTTGGCAGAGAGGCACTCAGAACGACTGGTGGCGTAAGGGGAGCAGCTGATCTCCAGCATCTCCAGGTTCGGCCAGGCTGCCGTGGGCATCCATTCAGCATCCCAGTCGATGGTTTCGTATATATCCACAAGCTGCAGGGACCGGATCTGGGACGCGAGAGGGTATGAAAGATGATCCGGAGGCGATGCAACCATGTCGAAGATTGGGGACTCGTCGGGATGAAATGCCGAATAGACACAAGAAATGTCGACTGGGCAATGGCCTCGAGCACGTTGTAAGATGACCTCCTCGCCAAGAGGAAGTCTTCCTAGTATGCTCGACCATAGACCAGACATGCCACAGATTATGTTTCGCCAATTTCTGCATACGTGCGCCAAACGCACCCAGCCTAAAGATCCGGGCTGTACAGCGTCGTTCCAGACACGATGCCCTTCTCCAACAACATCGAGGCAGAGCGACTCTAGATGCGCTTCCATCTCTTCAACGTCTATTGGCGGAGACGGGGCATCTACTTGTGCGCTGGCCTCGAAGATGAGTGACATGATCTCTGGAGGAAGGCTTGTTAATGCAGAGGCCGTCGCATTTCTCCGAGAGCGAACGTCGGACAGAAGTAGCTCCAGAATCTCCTCCGTGCGGTCGATCTCCTCCACAAGGCGGCCCGTCTCTCCAAGAGATGACTTGAAGGTCGCATTGACTGGGTGCGAAGATAGTTTCGCGAGCACATGTGCATCATAAGCCGATACAAGCGGGTTATCTCGCGGTATATCCGAACTGTCAAGGAGCTTGATTCAGTTCCATTACGCGAGACGGAGAGGAGACACAGCACACTCACATAGTGCTATATAGCCTATCTCTATCCATAATGCCTGCTGTCAGATACACAGCTCTCGTGTGGCGCAAACGATGGGAGATGCAGGTGGTCAAGTTGTGGTTTGCCCCGCGCGCCTCTGGTTTGATCTACGCGTTGCGGCAAACCCCGAATATTCTCACAGTATCTCACTTGCGACAGTACTGTAGCCAATCGCTGCAAATTCGAGGTAGACTGCGTGACGAGCAGGTTGCATACAGGTGCATAGTGCTCTGGTCCTACTATCTCCCCGCGCTCGCCAATCTTGTGATGGTGATGGTGGGAAGCAAGCGTACAACGCGACGAAGGCATCAACTCACGGGCCCGCGTCTCCGCGCCGCTCATGCGCGACTTGGATAGCGCTTCCACGACGTCCGGACTGACAGAAACCTTACACCGCCGCAACCCGACGCTCCCTTCGCTTTGTTTGACTCCTTCGGCATCGCCGGTCCCGTCCCGCGCGCCTTCGCCCGCGCCACCGGATATAACCACTCCGGCACCGCTGCCCAATCTGGCACCTCAGCGCCGATCCTCGAATCCTATGTCTCGTCTCACGGGTCTCTTCAAAACATCTTCACCACGGTCGCCTGTGTACGACCGCTTCGAGAACGGACTTGGGAGCCCGGGAGGAAGAGGAATGGCTCGCAGTGGAGCGTGGAAGAAATGGGCAGTCGGCCTATTTGTAGGCACCGTACTTCTATGGGCTGTAACACCAGCAGAAAGGCGACCAGGTAAGGACTTCTATCTCATCTCTCCTTTTGGGTGCGCTGTGATCCGCACGTCACTGTTGTGCACCGATGGGTCTGGCTTCCGTCACGGACAGGAAGCCCTACATCTATAACGATGCCGACTTCGCAAGCTATGCTCTCCCATCTTCGAGTCCCGCAGAGTATTGACCGTTGAATGCTGATATACTCCCTCCAGCATGGGCCGGTCCCGTCTCTGGTAACGTCGACAATTTCGACTCCGTCCCCTCGAACGCCATCTCGCCGCACCAGGACGATCTCAAAGTGACTCCGGGTGGTAGTGGCAACACTGGCGCTTCGCGCCCAGGCACGCCTACAGCGAAGCCTAGCGTGACAAAACCGACTTCCTTCGAAACGGATCCCAATCCCGCGGGCACGGTCTTCTGTGACGCACCCTACACGGCCGGCACACCGTTGGTTCAATATGCCCTGATGATCGACGCTGGCAGTACGGGTTCGCGTATCCACGTCTACAAGTTCAACAACTGTGGTCCCTCGGCTGCGTACGAATACGAGACCTTCGCCCAGCGCAAACCAGGACTGTCCGCGTACAAGGGCCAACCAGCGGAGGCAGCTGCCAGTTTGGACGAGCTTATGGCTGTTGCACTGCGAACTGTGCCTCAGAAACTGCACCCGTGTACGCCCGTCGCTGTCAAGGCTACTGCGGGTTTGCGTTTGCTCGGTGTGAGCGAGAGCGCGTCGATCCTCGCGGCCGTCAGGCAACACCTACACGACGCGTACCCCTTCCCCGTGGCACCCGGCACAGACGGTGTCGCGATCATGGATGGCTCGGACGAAGGTGTATTCGCATGGGTCACGGCAAACTACCTGCTCGATACCATTCGCGCGGATTCGCCTCCTTCCTCGGCGCCATATGCCGTTCTTGATCTCGGTGGCGCGAGCACGCAGATCGTCTTCGAGCCCGTGTTCCCATCTGGCAACGACAAGCTGGAGGAGGGCGAGCACAAGTACGAGTTGAGGTTCGGCGGGAAGGAGTACGAGCTGTACCAGCACTCGTACCTTGGCTATGGCCTCATGCGCGCTCGCAAGGCCGTGCACCGACTTGTTGAGTTCATGAACTCAGTTCGTGTCAAGCCGAGCGATCACGGCTCCGTCGGCAACCCGTGTCTTGCGCGCGGCACGAGCCGCCTTGTTGAGGTCGAGGATGAGCGGAGCGGCATGGTACATAACGTCACCATGCTTGGCGCGGATGTCGGCAGCTACGAGGCATGCGATCGCGTTGTTCAGCTCGTCATGGCGAAGGACTCAATCTGCGAGGTCAAGCCCTGCTCGTTTGACGGCGTGTACCAGCCTTCACTCCTGGAAACCTTCCCCCGCGGCAACATCCTTCTGCTCTCCTACTTCTACGACCGCATCGCACCTTTGGTTTCCTCCACCTCTGGCCTTACTGTCGGTTCCCTCGCTACCCTTGCGAAGGACGTCTGCGCCGGCGCCGATACCTGGAACAAGAAGTTCGCGAGTGTTCCGGGCGCACTTGAGGAGTTGAACGACAGGCCCGAGTATTGCCTCGACTTGACCTTTATGCACGCCTTATTGAGGTTGGGGTACGAGTTCGGTGATGAGAGGAAGGTGGAGATCGGGAAGCAGATCGAGGGTACGGAGCTCGGATGGGCGCTTGGTGCAGCTATCGCGTTAGTTGGTGGTGAGATCGTGTGCAAGGCGTAGATGACCGCTGGCTCGGACTGTGGATGTGTGCTGGTATATCGTACAGACATGGATCGGTTGTTTTAATTATGTATTCTTCTGGTACATTAGACATGGAAGGAGTGTTATCTTTATCAGTCGTTGAAAATTCGATTTGTGTCGCTATAATAGTGGCGGCTACACGCACAAGAGAGCGGACTCCATTTGACCGCGAGCCGGCAGTCGCCGTCACACGGGTTGAATCTGCGTTGCACGTTTGCGCGACTTGATTCCAACCACCATCCCCGCCATTGTACTGCGGCGTCTGTCGTGTTCGGAGACCTCATCATCATTCCGGCTCCCGCGGGAAACGCATCCTATATGCACAGGATGTATGCTACTCTGTGAGTGATATTGATGCCTATCATCATTATACCATAACTGAGTCTCTTATCTGATGACGGTATCGTCACCAGATCCGACATTCCTCGCCCTGACACCCTCATATCTGCGTACGAGGCTCGCTTGGCGCGCATATGCGTAGGAAGTAATGCGGATTTCCGTGAAACCCCGCCTTCCAGAGCTCGCGAGTTCGACGATATCTTGCGGACACTGGAATTGCTCATGCTCGACGCTCGAAGTCGGCGGAATATGGCTGTTCCGGCCATCTCTCGTCTACCCGAGGAAGTTATCACCATGATACTCAAGCTGGTGGCTGCGGAGGATGAACCCCGTCCGCAGATAGACAAATCGCTCGTCGAGAAACATGAAAATGGAGACCTCACTGATAGGGTGGCGGACCGTCAACTCTGGGACAAAACCTTCAATGAAGGCGGGTGTCTCGGTTGGATACGTTTGACGCACGTCTGTAGAAGCTGGCGTAGCTTGCTCCTCAGTATAGGTTCGCTCTGGTCAAACGCGCTCGGAAGGTTACCCTTGGCCGATGAAGAGCTCTTGCAGCGCATTGGGGAGCACTCGCTTCTCTCCGTCATGGCCACGGACACTCCCTTTCACCTCCATCGTCCACAGATCTTTCGAAAAATTGCTGCGCTAGATTTTGTCGGTCGTCTACGCTCTCTGCGATTAGTAGGCGTCGGCCCGACGCCTTGGTTCATACAACATGTCGAGGAACTCCATGCGATGATATGGGCGAGCCTCGAACTTCTTGAGGTCAACTACGCCGCCGAGCCCTGGACTGAAGACTTGGTTTCCCATTCAATCCTCCAAACACCGTCACTCCGTGTAGCGCGCTTCGAAGGCTACCTCATATCATTCGAGTCCAAGTCGCTCAGAGAGCTATCTTTAAACTTTTTCGTCAGCGGATCGGCTGGATTACCGACGGATGCGTTATTCGATATATTGCGAAAGAATGCGGAAACCTTAGAGTGTCTTGAACTCGTCGACCCATTCGCCCTTGAATTCGAACAGGAAGCGCCATCCCTTACTAAACTCTGTCTATCACGGTTACAGAGGGTTCGACTTGTCCAAAACTTTGCTGAGACTCAGTGCGCTTTCTTCAAGAGCATCCACTTGATGCCTTTCGTACAGTTCGACATTGAGCTGTATGTGGAGATTAGTGGGTCTAGGTCTCGCGAGGATTTCTCAGACGAAGTCAAGCCCCTGCTGGATGCGATCGCAGGATATAATCCGGGGATAAAATGGGACGGGGCTGCGATCTTTCCTCCGCCCGATGGTTATGACAACGTTCTCTGTTTCCAACTCTACGATCGCCCGCCTACTCCGACGTCTATGTCACCGATCGCAATGGCTGGCAGCGAGCCCTTCAACCCGGACAATGCCAAGCTGCAACTTCGAGTCACGAATGGAGCTGGTTACGATCCTCGTGATCAAACTATCACTTTCACGGGCATTTCCCATTTACTCAACCCGGACCATTTGGTGGCCCTTTCCTTCGGCGGTTTCACCATGTGGGAAGACACGGATATCGCAGAGGCTATCACTCAGTTCGCAAACCTGCGTATGTTGCATATTATCGATCCCCTTGACCACGGGCAGTCGTTATTCAATAATCAATCTAGGATTTCCAACAACTTTCCATTCCTGAGCTTCTCCGGACGTCACGATCGCGCGAGCAGACCCCTGGTCTCATCTGCCCTCGCGAATGACCATTTTGCACCTTCCTCCGCCCTCGATATGCTCTGGCTAGTCCAGAGTGCAGGCAAAAGCAGGTTCTCCTGCTCGACATGGTGCAATATCATAGCCGACCAATTGCGACAGACGTTCTGCGACGCCGAGGCGGTTTACGAGGCAAAGCCGATAAAGGTCCTCCGCATCAGCTATCTGGCCGAAGTCCTCGACGGAGACGAAGATGTGGCGAGGGCCGCTTTCGCGGAAGTTGCTGGCGTGGTGGAATGGATGACGGGATGACAAGACGCGCGCTCGCTTGACTCTCGCCATCATGTTCGAACAGGCACTGTGCGGGGGTTTTATCGCTGCTTACTTTCCAATCCTGTATCGCTTTGCTCTCAAGCTCTTACTATTCATAGCACCTCCCAAGTGATTGAATAGACCGACTCTCGTGATAACTTGTACAGGTCACATAGTAGGTCGACGGAGGACGTTACATGTGTCCCGAAGACGGCGTGGTTTTCGAGTGCATCGCTTCTGTGGGCGCTTACCGGGCCTTCCAGAGCGGCCGGCCCGCCTGTTAATGCCTCCGAACGCCGTCGGACGATGTTCTTCGGACGTTGAGAATACAGTGAACGCGGGCCGCACGTACTCGTCGTTCTGACGACTTTTCTTTCTCTTCGACTTCGACAAGGTTGACGACGAGCACGCCATCTTCGTCAACTGTCCTCGTTCTTGCGGCACTGCGACGCTATAAGAGATGGGGCTACGGTAGAGCGTTGAGGACCGTCTTCAGCCGGCATCGTTGCTATCATGGCGATCAAGTCTGTTGCGTTCGCTTTGCTCCTGTCGCGATTATGCTTGGCTGCTGGACCGTTCCTTCAAACGCTGAACGGCAGTTGGGTCATCGGCAATGACCTTTGGAATGTTACGCAGGGCACCGTATACGGCAAGCCGGCCTACTACAAAGGACAAGACATTGTCGGCGAGGCCGTAGGGCATTATACTGGCTACAGTAACGTGAATCCTCCCTCAATCGGCTCATCAAAGCTGACTTTTAATCAGACGGTGAAACCAACCTCAACTTCCAATCGGCCGACATTGTAGCGCAGGGCGACGACTACATCGACGTCAGTTTCAGCGCTTCTGAAGGCGATCTACACTGGGTCATCTTTGCAAACCTGTCTGGCGCGTACCAGTACTTCGTGAACCGCGATCTTCCCGTTCTCGGCGTCTATCGGACGCTTTGGCGCCTCGATAACGAGACCTTCCCGAACGGTCGCACCAACATCAAGGACGAACCTCTCCCTCCCTTCTCCCTCTACGGCAATGCCACGAAGGTCGAGGACGAGACTTGGCAGCTCGCCAATGGTACATACATTACCAAATACGATTGGAGCGACTTCATCCGCGGCATCGACTTCTACGGTGTATACGGTGATGGCTTCGGAAGCTGGTATATCAGACCAGGGACGGACTACTTCAATGGCGACCATCTGAAGCAGGAACTCATCGTACGGTAGCACGCTCTCATCCTGATCATGAATTGACACATAAGCAGGTCCATCGTGAATCTGCAACAGGAGACGCCGTGCAGCTCAACGTCGTACACGGTACGCACTTCCAGGCCGCATCGGCCGACGAGTTCCCTGTCGGCAAGATCTTCGGTCCCTGGCTTTGGTACTTGGTACGTATGCACCCTTGCCATCTTCCGCTTCCTTCAAGTAGCTAAGGCGCAGCGTAGAACGACGGCTCCAAGGAGGACGCTGCTACTCGTGGGAAGCAAGAGTTTGCTGCGTGGCCCTACTCCTGGCTTAATGATACCGGCTACCAGTCGCGCGCAGGCATAGTGTCGGGCAAGCTTGTCCTTTCAGATGGTCGCCCTGCCGCCGGCGCAGCGGTCTTCCTGGGCGAAAACAACTCAAATAAGACCACCCTCGACCAGGGCTCGTTCTACAACTACGCTGTGTACGCCGACGACGAAGGCGTCTTCAACTTCACCGACGTTCGTGCCGCGACATATGGCCTGTATGCGTGGTCCAATGGCGGTGATGTGCTTGGGAATGTCACGACTACGTTCGTCGTCAACGATGTAGTGATCGCCGCCGAGCCGACGGTCGCGCTCGAAAACTTGGGCGCCTGGGAGGTGCCGACGGGCCGCGATCAAATCTTCCAGATTGGCGCTGTGGATCGCAAGGCGCTCGGCTTCGCTCTCGGCGGGCATCCTTACCAGCATGCGCTGGTCGACCAGGTCCCCGCGAATCTCACCTTCACCGTCGGCCAGTCTGATCCCGCCACTGATTGGTACTTCGCACAATCCGCGATCGGGAGCTGGGATGTCGAGTTTGAGCTCGCCGGCGATGCGGTTGCGCTGAATAGGTCCGCCATCTTGACCGTCGCTCTCGCGGGCTTCAGCCGGGGGAGCAGTGCGGGAATCTACGTCAACGGAGCAACGAGGGTGGGCAACTTGACCACTGACGATGTTCCGACGGACCCGAGTCTCTACAGGAGCGCTACAGTGGCAGGGGAGTGGCATGTGTATGAGTTCGGTGTTGACGCAGGCGTGCTGCAAGAAGGCAACAACACGGTGAGCTTCGTGGGAGAGAGGTACACGCAGTGGCGAGGATGGTTGTGGGATAGCATCATCTTGGAATGGGCATGAGCGAAGAGCTATTAGGACCGCAATTTTCTGTATTAGCGAGTATCGGAGAACGTACACCGCTATATCCCACTGTATCTCTTGAATGTTTCGTCGTTGACTATGGAAGAAACAAGCTGAGTTTCGCTGCACGCTCTCAACGCTCAAAAGACTGGAGCGAGCTCGCATTCGGATTGATGGCAAACCGACGCTCCTTACGCAAATAGACTGGCAATGACGGTAAGGCATGCATGGAATTCAAAGTTTAATAGCATATGTGAAACTACTGGGGGAAGTTCTTGAAGTACTCAAGAGAGTCCTTGACCACGTCCGTCAGGGTGTAGTAGGTGATCCCGAGCACACGCGTCGCTTTTGCAGCATCATACTCGGACAGATGCTGCTTGCCCTTCGTAGCTCCCGGTACACCCTTGACCGGCAGACTCGGGTCAATGTCCTTTGCTATGTCAACTGCGGAGCTCGGTCAGCTCAAAATATACAAGAAGAGCTCAATGTCGAACACGCACCAATATCCTGCCAATAGTAGTGCCCGCCGACAATTAAGAAACGCTCGCCACAGGCCGCGGGAGTCTTGGCCGCAAGCACGTGCGCCTTTGCGACATCGCGTACGTCAACCCAGGCGCCACCCTCATTCGCAAGCTGCTCGTCGTTGCGCGCGCCCTTGATCAGAGTGTAGTACAGCCCGAGCTGGGAAGTGTTGAGTTGGTCGAGTGAGTGAACTTCGTGGATCGGCGGCTGATACGCAGGAGAAACATCAGTCTCGTGCAACCACATGCGCGGCGAAGGACACGTACACCGAAAACGAGCGGAGGGTTGATCGTCACCAAGTCCCACTCCGGCTTGTTGTCCTCCACGAACTTCCATGCCGCGCGCTCGGCCAGCGTCTTGCTTGCGCGGTAGATGCCGAGCGGGCTCGCGTTATCACCCTTCTCCTCGACCTCCTTCGGCGAGTTGATGTTCCAGTGGGTCTCATCCACAATGGTCCGCTCCGTGATCGGAGGGTTGAGAACAGCCGCTACAGAGGAGGTCACGACTACACGACGGACGGTCGATCTGAAGAGGTTGACTTGGAGTTATCCAGATAGAGCTCTCTGTGCGTACCCGTTCTTCTTGATCGAGTTGAGGATACCGGTAGTCCCACGCACAGCGGGATCAATAAGCTCAGCTGCGGTCTTCGCGTTCAGATGGAACGGGCTTGCTGTATGCTCGACGAGCTCAACGCCCTTCACAACCTCATCGAATGCGCCATCCTGTCCCGATGTGAGCACTTCAAGAGAACCTCATCAGAGGCAATATCCACGTACAGCCGTGATATCCGACACAACTGCCACCTCAAACTTGTCGCCGTACTCCGCGAACAACTTCGTCAGATGCTCGCCCTTGGCCGCAGAGCGCACAGTGCCAACAACCGTGTATCCGTCCTCAAGAAGTTTGCGCACGACCCAGACTGCAATGTATCCGTTCGCACCAGTGACGAGGGCTTTGGCAGGGGCTGTGACGGCAGGCATGATGAAGCGATGTTGAGGGACAGATCGTCGGAGAGTGAAGTGGCATCCAAAGCATCGGTCGGTCGCTTTATGAGCAGCGGTCTCAGCATGGCATATCGCAGGTGGATCATAGGCTATTGCGTGCTGGACACAGGAGAGTGGGTCAGGCCAACCGCGATAGCGCCGTCAGGCCGAGAGGCGAGGAGATAAACCAGATCGGATGTGTCGGACACAATCCCGCGGCGGCACGTCACGCATGGGAGCGTAATCCCTTCCATAAACAGGCAGCAGATATTTTATCGCAAACTGCCATGGTAGCGAACAGGTATACAACGCTACAGGAACGGACTCTTGCTCAGCGCCTACGCGCAGAAGAGGGATGGTGGCGGTCTCAGGTAGAACACGTCTTCGGCGAAAACCGTCCGAAGCGACCGCCGCGGTGGACCGGTCTCACGGCCCAAAGTTGGCGCTTCTTGCCTCCTGCTTCCACCACCCCTCGACACACCGAGCACTGCTTCCATTGCACCCATCTCTTTGTGAATTGCATAGACTGTGTAGCCATAGCATGAAATTGCAATATCATCATGATACTCTGCTGGTCTCGAACCATGACGAACGATGTGGACCAACCTAATTGCAAGTAGGCGAGACTCGTCTCTAGGCTGAGACCGACCTCAAGTATCAAGGAGCATGCTCGAGAAGCTATAAGCTGGTCCTTCTTTCACACTTTCTTCACTCTCTGTGAGAGTACCCGCTGCGCGGTTGCCACCTTCAGACGTGCTCCCTGTATCTTCACGCGAGCCGGACTCAGCCTCATATCAGATCTTCGAGCACCTAATCTCTCCGCGTATTCCTCTCAACCGAAGCTTGCACATTACAATGCTCTTTCAGAAAGCATTCCTGGATCTCATCCTTCGCAGTGAGGGGGACGACCCTGAGGTTGTGGAAGAAGAGTCGGCCTGCAATCCTCTCAGCCCATTGACGCCGGGATGCTCTGCCATGCTCGGGTTGGCGAGTGAGTATTTGCCCATTTCATTAGCGTCGCGCATATTGCTGATGCCGTCAAAGTAACTGGGATTCTCCTCGCTATATTGCTACTTTTCGGGCTGCCGCTCTATATGCGTTATCGAGCGCACCGCGCAAAGCAAGCCCGGCTCGACGCCCCCCAATCGCGCTTCACGACTGTTCCCATTCGCTCAAAGCACTCGCGTCCGCTTAACAACACATCTGCCAAGCGTAAGCAGCCCGAGTCCGCCGTTCGCTAGCCGCATAAACTTATGTTCTCTTTTGATGACATGTATAGACTCGGACGCTATGCCGCCGGGCTTTGGCTTCGGATCCGCGCAGCCGTACCTCGCAATCACTATCGAGAAGACGCAGGGCGGGCTGTCGCCGATGCTGACGAGCCAGCATACTGGCCAGCTAGCCGCGCCGCCTGCGGCCCAGGTGCGCGACGGGTTTCCTACGGCACCTTCGTACGACAACCTTGCGTACTACAACGAGAAGTTGCCTGGATATGTTGTCGAGGACAGGGTCTGAAGGTCTGAGATCCGACGCCCGATGCATTGATGCTGAATCCCACTATTCGAATCTTGTTGCTTCACCGTTCGTGTCTGCCTACATGTATGACTGTAATGTTGTAGCATATAATAACCACATTCAGTAATCCTACTGTCGTAGACGTCTAAGCAACTTGGCCTGTTAGACACTCCCGGCGGGCGGAGCTAATAGACGGAACCGGCGGCGTGCCTTGATATGGGCACAACTCGGCCGCTCGTCGCACGTTCTCGACAGTGCGTCATGACCTTCGGAGAGCGCCCTCAATCTGAGCTCGGGCCGGAGGTCCTTGCGGGCCACTTGCCCGCTGCATTGCGCTTCGAACTCCGGAAGTGGCGAGAAGCGGAAGGGAGAAAACCGTGAAGTGTGTATGAGCTTGGGCAACTTTAAGCATCGGGATGCACTCGGAGAGGACGATATACCATTTGTCTTGGATTCGATCGAGGGAACAACCCTCCGCAGAACAGAATATGAAAACAGAGGGGCAGATGTGTGACCCGGTGCGCGGGCGCGGCTTGGAGGCGGACGAATAAAAGATGCGGCAACGGCGGCCTACGGAGACTCGCTCTCCTGCCAACCTCCACCACTTACAGACCCCTAACGAGCGCGGATGCTTCGCCGTGCGCGCGTCCTCGTCTCGCCAAAGGCGCTCGGCGCTTACGCCGCTGCAGCCACCGCCGTCGCGGGCGGCGGCTACCTCTGGCTCAACTCCGGACCCACCTATCCACCCACTAACAAGGGACACCGTAGTCCCCCGGCGCCGTGGACGCCCCCTTCGCGCGCAGACCACCTTAAGCGCCTGCGCGAGTCCCGTGAGGACGAATTCGACGTTTTGATTATCGGTGGAGGCGCAACAGGCGCTGGTGTCGCCGTCGATGCCGCAACGCGCGGTCTCAAGACTGCACTTGTCGAACGTGACGATTTCAGCTCCGGTGCGTGTTCGAGAGCACGTTCGTACGCGTCCCCTCGAAGTTGACCGACGTTTCCGCGCAGGCACATCATCCAAGAGTACGAAGCTCGTACACGGAGGTGTCCGTTACCTCCAGAAGGCGGTTATGGAGCTCGACTATGAGCAGTACAAGCTTGTCACCGAAGCCCTCCATGAACGTCTCATCTTCCTGCACACCGCGCCTTACCTTTCGCACATGTTGCCCATCATGCTGCCAATCTACAAGTGCGTTCATCTTCTTCCCAGAGCCCCTATCTCGATTCGGACGGGCGCTTACCGTGCACTTTCTCAGGTACTGGCAAGTCCCGTACTTTTGGATTGGTTGCAAGATGTACGATTTGCTCGCTGGCAAGGAGAACATGGAGACATCGTATCTTATGACGCGCGGCAAGACGCTCGAGACTTTCCCCATGCTCAAGTCCGAGGGTCTCGTCGGCTCCCTGGTTTATTACGACGGTACGTGCATCTCGTACCTACTCATCCGCACGAAATGCTCACGAGTATACAGGACAACACAACGACGCACGCATGAACATGGCCCTGGTTATGACCGCTGTCAAGCATGGCGCGACTGTAGCGAACAAGATCGAGGTCTTGAAGCTCAACAAGGACGCGTCTGGCAAGCTCATCGGTGCTACGGTTCGCGACAACATGACCGGCGACGAGTGGGACGTCAAGGCCAAGGGCATCATCAACGCTACTGGACCATTCGCCGACTCGGTTCTGACTATGGATAACCCCGCTCACAAGCCCATCGTACAGCCGTCATCTGGCGTGCACATCACGCTCCCGGACTACTACTCACCGCGCAAGATGGGTATGCTTGACCCCGCTACTTCGGACGGACGCGTTATCTTCTTCCTTCCTTGGGAGGGAGGTACCATCGCAGGCACTACGGACGCACCAGCACCGGTTGAACAGGACCCCAAGCCCATGGAGGAGGAGATTCGCTGGATTCTCAACGAGGTCCGCAACTACCTTAGCCCGGACATCAAGGTCCGCCGCGCCGATGTACTCTCCGCCTGGTCTGGTCTTCGCCCGCTTGTTCGCAACCCCAACGCGGACCCGAACAGCACGCAGGGTCTTGTACGGAACCACCTTATCTACGTCACGGACTCTGGCCTGCTCACGATCACCGGTGGCAAATGGACGACTTACCGCGAGATGGCCAAGGAGACAGTCGATGAGGCCGTCAAGGTGTTCAAGCTCAACCCGAAGAACGAATGCATCACCGAGAAGGTTCAGCTCATCGGATCCGAGGGATGGTCGCGCAACATGTTCGTCTCGCTCATTCAGCGCTACGGTCTCGAGCCCGAGGTCGCGCAGCACCTCAGCCACAACTACGGTGACCGCGCATGGACTGTCCTTGACCTTGAGCGCCCGGCAGACACGACCTTCGCTGTGCGCGTTGACCCCAACTACCCCTTCCTTGAGAGCGAGGTTCGCTACGCCGTTCGCCACGAGTACGCGCTCACCGCTACGGATGTTATCGCTCGCCGCATGCGTCTCGCGTTCCTCAACGCGCAGGCGGCGCTCAACGCTCTCCCGCGCATCGTCGACATCATGGCCTCTGAGCTCCAATGGGATGAGAAGACCAAGGAGAAGGAGTTCAACCGCGCAAGCACGTACCTTGGCACGATGGGCCTGCAGAGCGTTCACGGCGATGACGAGGAGGTCGCTGCTTCCCTCGACGCGCTCAAGACTGCGTTCAAGACCAAGGCGCAGGTTATCGGCGGCGAGGAGCGCGTACCACAGAGCGAGATCTTGACTCTCGTCTCCAACTTGAAGGAGTTCAAGGGCCTCGGCGCTAAGGATGTCAAGTACGTTCTCGAGGAGCTCGGCTACAAGTCGGCCAAGACTCTCAGCTACGATGATGTAACCGAGGTACGCCACACTTGTCACACGTACACCGTGTGGCCCGGCTAACAACCTGTTAGGTCTACTCTGAACTCAAGGAGGTCGCTCTCCTACCCTCCCCAACCCAGACAAGGTTAAACGTCCGCATCCCTGTCGAGAAGTCCGGCGGTGGTGTATAAGCAGCATCCCTTTTGCATCTCGAGGGCACCCCTCGGTATCTTGACACTCACTCACATTCTAAGCATTGATGTATCCGGATAGTACAGGAGCTGGCGTAGAGATATCTATTGCAGGCCTGCGTCACACGCGTACGAGTTGTAGCTACCATATAATTTGAGGCGCTGATTAATCGCACATGCTATTGCCTCTGTTTTACCTGGCGTGATACTGCTGTGCGTCAACTACGACGAGAGCTGGCGCTTGTTTGCCACGAAAAGATGCACTTCTTAGGAAAAGGTGGAGCAGGTATAAATAGGACCAAGGTATCAGACGTGGATATGATACATGTACAGACAAGCAAACGCCATGCATGAGCCACGGTACTCAAAGCGATGAACCCGGTCGAAACCACTGAAGAGAAGTGCTGTGATCAGGATTATGGTACCCGCTGGTCAACCACGCTCCTCCTTCGCCTTCTCAAACTCCGCCATGTAACTCGCGTACAGACTCTGCCCACGACTCATCCCACCCGCCTTAGGCTCCACCTGCGGCCGTGTCGACTTGAACATACCATTTGGCACTTTCCCAGACTCGGATGCGTGACTGTGCATATGCGCATTGGGAGTTGACTCGGTGCGCGCATGTCCTGGTCCATGCGCTGTATGATTGCCACCGATATGAGAGCCGTAGATTGAGGCCGGCCGCGTATGCGCATGAAGCTTGGGTGCGGGGACGGTATGCGCATGGTGCAATGTCGGCTTGTGTGGGGTGTGAGCTGGTGTATGCGCAGAGGTTGATTGGTTGTGAGCGGAAGTTGGGGGTGTAGTATGAACTTGGTGGGCAGGAGGGGGCTTCGGTGACGACGGCGGTCTATGAGGAAGAGTGGGCGGCCGCTCTAGGAGACTCGACGGCGACGACGAAGCCGATGACGCCGAATGAAGTGCGGTCGAAGGTGTGGGCGTCGTTTGCGAGTGATGCGCTGTGGGCCTTGGGGGCGACGGCCGATTCGGGTGAAGCGGCGGAAGAGAATGGTGATTCGTCGCAGAGTGGGCATGGTTGTGCTCCAGAGACACGGACACGCTGTGGGAATGCGGTCGAGACGGTGCGTTCGAAGGGTGTGCAGGTGGACGAGGGTGTAACGTCGGCGACGAATGAGAAGCGGAGTGATGATGGCTGCTTGCAGCCTGGTCCACGGTCGATGTGTGACTCTGGGAATGCGCATGCTGAGTATGTGGCAAATGCGGATGCCACTCGCTCAAGCTCGGCCGTGGCGAGTGCGATCCCGGATGGGGTGTCTGATGCACAGGTTGAGCTGGCTGTACATGCGGCCCGGAACACGGGGTATTGAACGTTTGAAACGTCACCGATATATCTGGGATATGTGACGACCAGGAGTGACTCGTCGGCGGACTTCCGGAGCCAAATGATGGAGATTGAGCGTGGTACGACTGTGAATGGGCATGATGGTTGTGAGGAGCGGGCGATTGAGGGAAGGATTGTTGCATAGGCGGGGGTGACTGAGGGAAAGACTGTTGCGCATGAGGTGGCGATTGCGCGAATCCCTGCCCGAATGAATGCCCCGGTTGGGTGTAAGATGGCAAATCCGACAAGTCCGAATTGAGGTTGAACGGCATCGAGGGCGCGTACTGCGTGAATGCAGGAGGATGGGAAGGCGTGTGCATCGGTGCGGATGTGTGTTGCATCCCAGCCGGTTGACCTGGCTGTCCGTGTGTCCTTAGTTTGTCCAGCGCGTATTGAGCCGCCTTCTTGACAAGGTCCTGCACCAGGTCCTGCCCTATGTTCGATAACATGCTAGAGCCCGAGCCCGAGTCAGAGTTCGTGTCGCCGCCTGTCTGGTATTGAGCCTGAAGAGAGAATGAGTTCTGGTTGAACATGTTCATGACCGCAGTAGGGTCGGTCCATGTTGACATATCCGCGCCGCCCGCACCATTCAGTGAGGCGAGAAGACTTGACGGGTCGAAGCCAGCACCGGACAGAGCACCAGAAGAGCCCATCATCGATAGGAAGTTCATCGCATCTCCTGAGGGGCTCATCGCTGAAAGAATCGAAGACAGATCCAACGGCGAGCCGCCGGAGGCTGCGAGCGTAACCAGTGACGCGGGGTCGAGCCCGCCGGAGAGAAGTGCGTCCATCTTGACCGCAAACGACTATGAGAGGTACAGCGAGGAAGGAGAGGACGTGACTGGGTAGATTCACTCTCCTTATGTGGGTGCCTGCATGCTGCAGGGCTACGCGCGGGCGCTGTGTTCATCACGTCAAATAAGCCGGTTTGACAGGCTATACCGACCGTTGGTACCTGGATGAGTACAGATAAGGCAGTCCTGTAGCGCCGATCTATGGCACGAGAGCAAGCTCGAGTACAGGCGGAGGAGAGTCAGCATCATGCTCAGGCGTCTGGCCAGTCGATAAGCGTATAACGTAGTGAACATGATCCGTTAGTATACCGGATGCGGCGTGGGCTGGCGGCGGCCCATCTGAGAGACGTCCTAGAAGTACCGTAGGGCGCGTGTCATATGATGACCGGCTGACAATGCTCAGGGTGAGGACTTTTTTGCATAAAGATAAAGTATGGGAGGGAATTTGACTGCAGAGTGTAAGGGTCAAGAGGAAGTCATCGCCAGTCGGGCGTGCGAACAGTTCGGTAACCACCGATTCCCGCGCACCCGAGGTCGCGGCTGTATCGTCCGAACTTCCATGTTCTGCGCCGCTGCCTCTCGACATGAGAAACGATTATTCAATCCCAGGCACTTCCTACATATCAGGAGGACATGGGTAGGGACAGCGTACATCTAAGATCCAATATCAAGGTCTGACTGCTCGCGATCAAACTAGCCAATGTTAGAAATAGGTTACGACGAGGACTAGGGTATCATTCAACAACTGCAACCTCGCTGAGATTTAGTCACGTCTAGTGTCCATCTTCACCGCTCAAATACCCTCCTCATGCTGTCTGTGTTCGATGACGAGATGCATATACCTTCTCCATAACTCGTTGCCCGTCTGCCATCTAACCACTGCGAGCGTAGAATCCGTTCCCTGGAGCCGGGCGAGACTGCCCGGGCACACCTGCAGGGGGAGCGTAATGTTGCGGTCCTTGCATCGTAGGTCCAGGTGTCATAGACGCATGATGAGAAGCGAAGCCGGGCGACAGCATTGGCCCACTCTGAACCTGGTTGGAGGTAAAAGGCTGGTTGCCGTTCGTCATGCAGCCCTGTGGCGATGCATAGCCATAGCTTGGTGCAGAGTTGTACTGTGCGTGGCCCTGAGGTGGCGCGTAGTTCTGACATTGAGCGTATGGAGGCGACTGTCCCCATTGGCCAGGACCTGACTGAGGCCAAGGCGGCATGGGATGTGTGGGAGTCCATGACTGAGGAAAGGGTTGCATGGGAGGCGATGGCTGGAGGACGAATTGCTGTACTGGCTGTGAATGGCCGAACCCAAATGATTGTCGGAGTTGAGTGAACGACGGAAGATGAAAGGGGTTGAACGACGGTGTCGAAGCGGGCTGTTGTATCACGATGATGGGAGCAGTGGGGGTATACTGCATAGGCGGAGAGACGCAGTGCATCGTGGGAGGGTTCCCCTGCTTATGAGACTTGATCTTGTCCATAGCATAAGTAGCCACAGACTTCACAAGGCCTTTGATAACGTCTTCGGCCAAATGTTGCCCCAAAGAGCTCGCATCGGGGCTGGCAGCAGTAGCATAGTTGGAACCACCGCCCGTCTGGACCTGCCCTTGGGCAGTGGACAAGTCCTCGTTCGCGTTAGAACCAGTCGAGATTGGATCGTATGTCCCTCCTGCATTCAGCTGAGCGATAATAATCGCTGGGTCCAACCCGCTGCCTGTTAATATGCCAGACGAGCTGAGCATCGTCAAGAAGCTCGTCGCATCGCCCGAGGGACTCATGGCCATCAAGATGGAGAGGAAGTCCGAAAACGATCCACCAGAAGTTGCGAGCGTAGCGAGCGATGAAGAGTCGATGAGGCCAGACAGGAGTGTCTCCATAGCGTCGTTCGTCTTGAAGGCGTTCGATGTACAGAGGGGTTTCGGAGACTCGAGGCTGGTAGTGTGGGGATGTCGCCTCGATATCCTCGTACGCGTCGGTTATAAGGCTGACTGAAGGTCCAGCGCTTATCATATCAGCTTCCGTCCTGGCTTCCGAGGTTGTCAACGCCCTAGACTGTTAGGACTTGTAAGGGCAATCTTAGGGCTCTTTGAGAAACCCGAAGAAAGCCTGGTCAGACTCAGTATGGCGATCATACCCGCGAGTGCAGCTATGAAAGATGGTTGCGCATGATGATTCGCCATGCTATGATATGATCGGCCGGAACGGGTAGGGTAGCACCTCTCGATAGAGCGTTGACAGGCTTGCATGCCAGACGCCATGTGCCTCTCTCAGCATTTATTAGCCACCAGCCCACAGCAATCCGAAATGAGTGAGCGTACAAATAAGAGAAGGTTCAGACCTGAATAAATGCAAGGCAAGGAAGTATGGATCCGAACAGCCAGGGAGTACCTCGAAGTCGAACGGAGAAGCTGAACGGACATGTCAATCGCCGCGAACGCGATTGACCAATCGTGCGAACAGACCGGCAAGAGCCGATGAGTACACGCACCGCTCCCCACGTGCTTCGCTGCAACCAAAACCATCAGCCCAGGTCTACTACCCGCCATTCCTCATCAGCGTAAGTCAACCCTTGTATCAGATGCGGCAGAATCTTTGAAGCCTAATAACGTCGCAGAACGCATGTCAACGTCTCGCGTTCACCAATCAGGCGCAGAGAGGTCCAGTCTCTGTTTCATCAATGGCCTTCCGCAGGAAATTATCCTCCAGATCTTCTCCTTGGCCTTAGAAGGCATACCTAAGAACCGAAGATGCGAGTCCATCATATCGCTCACACTTTCGCATACGTGCCGCACGTGGTACGACATGGCCTCCGGGAGCAAAGTCTTGTGGACCTTCGTCCCTCTTTTCTCGGTGTCTATCATGCGCTTGTATCTCGCGCGTTCGGACCCACTACCGATCAGTATCCAATACTCCTACCCGAAGTTCAACAATAGACCACGATATGCGGACGCCATGCGCCAAGTTTTCCGCGATCTTGTCCGAGTCCGAGAGCTCATACACGTCGAGATACAGGACGACTGGGATCAAGTCGTCGCTGGATCACATCCGAACTGGGACGAGACTATCTTCAACCACTCGAGCGCTCCTCTCCTCAACACGCTCCATGTGGTCAGGATGAAAGAGCGCGATGCCATTGCGTCCCGTGTTTTTGGTGGCTCAGCGCTCCATTCGTTGCGCGATCTCCGCTTATATTTCTGTGATCTACCCTCCGATCGGGCCCCCGTCCTGTTCGGCCCTGCTCTTGCTCATCTGGAAGTGACATATTGCTCAGATATCTGGACCTGCCTATCCTATTCGCTCGAGCATATGCCCTGTTTGGAGATGCTGAAGCTTACGCAGCACCCCTGGGAGGAACCTATTGATCTGCGGCCGTTCGCGATCTCAGAGACCGTTAAATGCGTCGAAATAACTGCCAGCAGTGCCGTTATATTGTCTTTCTTGGGCGCAGCACAGATACAATCGAAAACCGCTCTAGCCATTGCACCCGTGGACAGCATGAGTGCAAGGAATGCACAGACAAACACCCACCAAACCCTTCCTATCATGATCACAGACCTGGTCGAAGCCGTGTTCTCCCGAATCACTGCGACCGCTGACGCTGGCATAACTCTTGAGCGCCTCTTGATTACCGACGTTGGCGTGGACTCTACGGAGATCAGGGTCTGGGTCGAGTCCCATAAACGCTCTGTGCTACCCTCAGGCGGTGGGGTTAGGGCCTATTACACGGCCTTGAGACTCGCACACACCACCCGCGATCATAATCCCCGACTTGCGTTTGGAGCGCTCATCATAGCTCTCACTCAATTGAAAACCATCCGTGGCTGTAGTGCCATACGATGGCTGGGCCTCTCTCTACAACTTTTGGATGAGCCTCGTTACCTCCATGTTTGGAGAGCTGTGGCCGATTGCCTTCCTCAGGTCGAGGAGATCGTCTTACGCCGCACAGGGCTCATTCGCGCTCTGGGCGATCCCAACCACCACGACATGTTTCCCTCGTTGAAGCTCGTACTTCTCTCTCCGGGCGTTGGCGTCGCCCGACACATTGTTGCGAAAGCAAGGCAGGCCCGGGAAAGTGTGCGATTCGCGAGTACGGACCTGATGCGACGCTTTCCCAACCACAACCTGCCATTCGACGACGACTTGGACTGACGATATCCCTACGGACACGCGACCATCCACGGGACGGCACATCGCTCAACATCGCGGAAAGAGGGCAGCAACGGTTGATAGTACACGTTCACGGTGTTCGCAGCCGAAGGCGTTAGTGTAGATAGAGTACTTTCGCGGTCTGAATTTTGTAATCAGAGATGTAATATCTTGAAGAATACCCGGAACTATTGGCTGATCACGCCTGTTGTATATGTATTCGGCTGTGCGCAAGTTATCGCAGTCGTCACGGCGCCGGCCGATGTGAGAACTATCACGGTGTTTGCCGTTCCAAGATCGCGACATGTCTTCCTTATTGTTCCTACAGGCGACCACCACCATCTCTTGGTGTTATCACGTTGCCTCCAGGCGACGTCTTCAATTTGATCCTTCCACGAGACTGGATTAACATCACTTCCTCCTTGCACCTTCCGATGGCCCATATCACCAGTGCGATGTCGCTACTCTCCGCGGAGGATGGCCCAAACATGCATCCTCGCTGTTTCATCCACAAACTTCCGTTCGAGCTACTTGCCGAGATACTGAGCTGCACGCTTCACTCGGTACCTCGGAAGTCAAGATTTGACTCTTTGATATCCCTAGTACTGTCGCAAACTTGTCGTACCTGGCGCGATGCTGCCATCCAGAGCAAGGCCATCTGGACTTTCATCCCCCTTACATCGCCTTCCATCACCAGCCTATATCTCAAGCGCTCTTCCCCTCTACCTGTCATGGTGCAGTACTCCTCCTCTAACCTCGTCAAGGGTACGCAAGGCGCCGATGCCTTTCTGCGCGTTCTCTACGATCTGTCCCGAGTGCGCGAGATCGTAAACAACGACGAGTGGGACGAGTCAGCGTATGATTCGACCGACACTATCTGCATCTTGGAACCCGCCCCCATGCTTGAGACACTGCACCTATTCAACATCCATAACGCGGAGACACTCCAAGCTGGTGTGTTCGATCGAACGATCTGCCCTGTTCTCACCGAACTCCGTATGGAGTACTGCTTCTTGACCCGCGGAAACATACCCCAATTAGCGATTACGAACACGATTACGCGGCTCCTGCTATCGAACTGCGAGAACATATTTCCCTTCCTGGCCGCGGTTGCGAGATGCCTAGACAATCTATGCGTACTCCAAGTCACCGATCATTTCACCTCGACGCCCATCGGGGAGATCTCCCCCATCGAGTTCTCGGAAAAGCTGGACATTGTGTCATTTTACGCCAATAGCGTTACTCTTTCCACATTCCTCCAGGTCGCTCGTATTCCATTGCACACAACATTGCACACCACTGCTATTGACCACGTCCAAATGGCCGACAATGACACCCGCATCTGGAGTCGCGTGACCTATCGGTCTAATATCGCAACCCTCGTGGACCTCGTATTCGGCCGCCTTCCCAAAGCCACGAAGCACGGCTATACATACGCTTGCTTGGCCATAGCGACGCCTTGAGCGACGCAACACGGTTCAGGGTCATCATGCGCCATTCGTCTCGGGGAGGAGACGACCCACGATCGTCTTACGACGTGTCATTGACCGTGGCGCACAACAGCACTGCCCAATCTCCAGAGAGCGCACTGACAGCGCTCGATCTGGTTTTGTCGCGCCTGAAGGCGCTTCCGGGCCTAGCAGCGGTTCCGACGATGGGCGTATCTCTGGCCCTGCTGGAACAGACCCAATATATACACATCTGGAGGTCGTTGTCAGAGTGCGCTCCCAAGACGACGGAGATCATCCTGTATAGACCTCATACGACCCACGTCCTCGGAAACCCGGATTTCAACGACGTCTTGCCGTCGGTGAAGCTTGTGTCTCTATACAACGAGTCTATCGTAGACACAGCTGCAATTGCGCAGGCGAAACAAAACCGGAAGGACATCCGGTTCGTGCGGCAGGACCTTCTCGAACAGTTCCCGCACCATAGCCTGCCGCTGACGGCGGAGATTGAACGAGCATTACAAGCTTCATAAAATGAGGTCTCATAAACTTTTGTACAGTACAAGTCCCGCATGAGATGAGAAAACGCATATGCATATGCATGATGAAGGGTGTGAGAAGGAATTACAAGCGAAGCGAGGCATAAGTTAGCAGCAGCAGAGCACGGGACAAACACAAGAACGAGACGACAGGAGACAAGAGCGAAGACGAGAGAGAAGGTAGAAACGCAAGTCTATGCCTTGGCTTTCTTCTCTTTCTTCTTCTCTTTCTTTTCCTTCTTCTCCTTCTTGGACGGAGCCTCGCCCTGAGCGGTCGTCAGCACCGGCATATAAGAAGATAAAGCCAAGGAACGCACGTCAACTGCTGCTGCCGCTGCCTCCTTCTTGGCCTTCTTAAGCGCCTTCTTCTCCTCCTTACTCAACTTGACCTTCTTGACTGCCTCTCCATCCTCTTCGCCCTCATCATCGTCGTCCCTCTTCCGCTTCTTCTTATCCTTCTTCGCCTTGACTGGCTCAGCCTCGATAAGTGGTAGCGCGGGCTCGTCCTCATCCATCGGCTCATCCGCATCCGCCTCGTCCTCGTCAAGCGCGAGAGACTCGAGAACCTTGCGCATGGCGTCGGCGTTCTTGGATGGTGGCTCGCCCTTCTCAAAGAATAGCAGGCGCTCCTCGACTTGCTGTCGCAATGCCTCACCGAACTTCGAAGTTGGTGCCTCTGAGATGGTCGTCAGTATGATATGGATAAACTTGAGTGCTCGAGAGACATACCGGAGTAGCAATCTATCCTCGAGGCAATCGAACACTTGTTGGCGAGGAAGCGGGAGATGCGACCCTTGTGCTTGGGTCCGGCACGGCCAATGAAGGACGAGTGGTAGATGAGACCGTACTGCCAAAATCATTAGCACGCGCGAAAGACACACTGCACTGATGAATCCACCTTCGGTGTGTTGCCCTTCGTCTTGAGCGCACGGAAGAGCGCCTTCTCGGCGCCAAGGATTTGCACAGTACTTGCCGGGTACTTGCTCAAGTTCGTCAAGCTACCAGCATGCGAGATGAGGCGAGCGCCGATGCGCTCGCCCAGGAGAGCAGTCAAGCTTGGTGCGACGAGGTTCATCTTCTCCGCGAGGTAGTTCGTGAGTGACTTGCGGTACTCGGCAATAGAGACGACTCTTGCAGCAAACGCCATGATGTTCAACATGTCAATCTCGGAAAGTTGGCTGCCCATTGAGCCGTTCGCCGCGTCGAGGACGTTCTGCGCCCGCGTCATATCGTCACCCAACAGTGCAGCGAGGTCGTCCAACTTCTCCGCGTTCAAGGTCTCCTTCGCACCGATGAACTGCGCCACTCGCGCGTAGTCGTAGTTATCGGGTACGAGCTTGATGAGTTCCGGGAAGTGGTAGCCGTACCACTCCCGTACGCGCATAGCAAATAAGTTGACGTCCTTGTCAAGCTGGTCGAGGAGCGCGATAGCCTGGATAATCATGTTGTCGATACGATTGACGTTGAACTTCAATTTCGCGCGCGAATAGGAGTGGCCGAGACCGAGTTGGGCCTTCATGAGGTCGTCAGCTTGCATGCCCTTGAGCAGCTTGGGCGCGAATTGCCGGATACCGCGCAAGAGCTCGAGAGTCGACTCGGAGGTATCAACGGAGACACCGGTCGCGGCGCGGATGCCATTGGCGAAGATTGGGTCGGAGACACCGAGGACGACGGGCGACTTTTTGGACGGCTTCGGGAGGTTCAACTCGAGCAAGTTCTTGAGGTCCTCGCTGCATGTTCCTATGGGAGAATGTTAGCATACGCCCCAATTCCTTCTGCACACACGGCTATGTAAGTGCCTTTGTAGGATTGATAGCTCGTACTATATTCGCACGCCCAGTAGCTTCAATGAAAGCGAATGAAGTGACTTACCCTCGGACACGTCATTTATGTTCTCGAGAGCATTTGCCGCGCTCTTGAATGGCGAGAAGCTGACGAGAGAGACCATCTTTTGGAACTTGGACTGGTCGGTGACCGACTCCTGGACGGCCTTGGTGAGCGCCTCGAGCTCGGCGCGAAGCTTGACCTCGAAGACCGCATAGCCCGACGCAGACTCAAAGAGCACGTGAGAAGCCATAGTGACAGAGTCCCGCCGCCGTGCAGCGCGTCGAGAAGCGTGGTGTGGCCGGTGTGGTGAGCAGCGAGCGTGCTCTCCAAGATTCGAAGCAAAGCAAAATTCAGACGCTCGAGTACCGGTCCGCGCGGGCCGGAGAGCGCCTACTTATGTCGACGGCGCGTCTTGGGCGCGTCAGCGCGTGGGCATTTTACGCCGTTTACGGAGTTAAGCCCACAAGGGCTGCCAGTCGTCTCTTGACTCTCACCACTGCGTCCGAGAGGGTTCTTCATCAGCTGGACGCGCTTCCATAGTGGCACTGGGAATGGCGAAGCATCTGCTGTCCTAGTCTGTATGAGGTCGATCACTTTCCTTATGCTCGCGCGCCGTCAGGCGGTTGACGACGCTGGGCCGCCCATCGCTGACGCGCTCTCTGGTACCTGGTTAGAAGCCATGGTATTTCCGTTTTTGCACTGCGCTTTCTCTCTTGAATCTGTTCCGGAGAAACAAGTCCTTCTCAAACCGGGCCGTCGTCGCCTGTATGGTACGAGCGGCGGTCACGCGTGCTCTATGGCTCCTCTTGCACGGCTTCCTAAAGCATGTGCACGTTGGGACGGATCTCTGTTATATATCATGATATCATCCTGCCAACGTACATCAGGGTACTGGGCCATATATAAGTGGGAACAGCTGTGACCACTGTTGAAGGCCGGTTGCCGTCTCCTCCACTGTCATGGGCGACGCTACAAAGTTCTCGCGCCGATGGGCGTGGCTCGCCTGCGCGGCGTTATGTGCCGCCCTCATGGCGCACGGCGCAAGTGCCACATCTGACGCAGCTCCTGTCGAGCGAGAGCTACCCTCTCCCGTCTACCAAAAGCGCGACATCGGCGTTTATTCACCCTTTAGCAAGCGGGCCACAGCCTCCTCCGACTTACTCTCTACACCATTCACCGACGAGGTCCAATGGGACGAGTACAGTTTACTCATTCGGGGCCAGCGTATCTTCCTCTAGTGCGTCGCGTTTTCATGTCAAGCGAGTTCTTGAAGCTGACATACGTGTAGCTCGGGCGAGTTCCACACCTACCGTCTTCCGGTGCCCGACCTTTGGCCCGACATCCTGCAAAAGATCAAAGCCGCCGGCCTCAACGGCATCAGCTTGTACACTCATTGGGGCTCCATCAACCCAGCCCCAGGCGACATCGACTACGACTCATTCCGCGCTCTCGCGCCTGTATTCGAAGCGGCGCGCGCAGCTGGCATCTGGATCGTCCTGCGTCCCGGTCCCTACATCAACGCCGAGACTTCTGCCGGCGGCATCGCGCACTGGGTCACGTCAGAGGTCGCGGGCACGCTCCGTACCAACGCGTCCGATTACTTCGAGTCGTGGCAGGACTACATCCACAGTATGATTGAACAAGCCGAGCCTTTCCAGGTGACGAAGGACGGTCCTATCATCGGTGTGTATGCGGTCTTCTATAGGGTTAGGGTTTGCGCTCATGTCTGACCCAAGCGGTGCAAATCGACAACGAGTACAGCCAGAGCGCTTCGACTGGCGCTTACTTCGAGGCTCTCGAGAACGCGTATACGAGTGGTAACATCGCGGTCCCGCTCACATACAACGATCCGGGCGAAGGCAAGAACTTTGTGAATGGCACGGTACGCCTATCTGAAGTGTGTTTGCCTAGCCGGTCCTAATCAGAGAACAGGGCGCGGTAGATATCTACGGTCTCGACGCTTACCCGCAAGGCTTTGATTGCTCACATCCGACGGTGTGGAACCCGGTAACTACGAACTGGCATGATTATCACGAGAGTGAGCTGTCAACATTCATGCCTGCATCGCCATCGGTGTTCATCTCCCGGCATAGATACCAGCCCTAGCGAACCCTTCTACTTCCCTGAGGTTTGTCCAAACACAACCACCCCCTTCCTAGGCTGATCCAAGCCAACACAGTTCCAAGGAGGCGCATTCGATGCATGGGGTCCAACTGCGCCCGGCTACGCAAGCTGCCGGGAGCTCACCGGTGCAAACTTCATGAGGTGCAATCGTGTCCTGTCCTAGGTGGCGTTGATGAGGCTGAGCACGTTTGACCTATCAGTGTGTTTTACAAGGCGCTGTGGGCGGCGAATGTCAAGATGGCGAGTTTCTACATGATCTACGGGTGCGCTCCTCGGCTTGGGAATTGGACATCCTCGTGTGCTGATCCGTTCATAGCGGCACATCATGGGGCGCGATTCCCTTCCCCGGCGTTTACAGTATGTCCTTTCATATGTCCGCGGATCCTCGGCGAGCGCTGACTGACCGGTGTCGTACTGTGTACAGCCTCTTACGACTACGGCTCCTCCATCGAAGAGAACCGCGCGCTTACAGCGAAGTTCATCGAGCTGAAGCTCCAGGGCCTCTTCTTGCGTAGCTCACCTGAGCTGTACAAGACGGACTGGATCGGCAACAGCACAGCCGGCGTTGTGCAGGTGTCGAACCCCGACGCCTTTGTGGTGCACCTTCAGAACCCAGACACGAACACTTCGTTCTTCATCGCGCGCCAGACCGACTCTACTTCAACGGCTGTCACAACCTTCACGCTTACTGCCACAACGTCGGCAGGAGAGATCACCCTTCCTCTGAGCGTCGATTCAATCAGCCTCGATGGCCGTGAGGTATGATACCCTTTGCACCCCATCGATTATTGCTCACGTCTGCCATTAGTCGAAGACCATCGTTACGGACTATTCCTACGGCAAGAGCGGCAACCTTCTCTACACCGCAAGTCGGCCGTAAGCTGGTCGTAAGCTGAGCGGCGCATCGGGACGAGGAAGCGCCGTCACCTGCGTGACGCCCGCGAACAGCTGGTTTCCAGGAAGCTGAGGACATATCAGCACACTGGCACCAGTTCACCCTGACTGCCAGCTGGAGAACAGAGCTGGCTACGACGTGTCAGTGCGGGTGCTTGTCAAAGGGCGGGATATGCGGAAGCTCCACAGAAAGCCAGGGTCGCTCAGTTTTCATTTCCAAATTTCTGCTCAAATTGGGTATTTCATTTTTCTCCTTATGGTCACTGCGAGTATAAATGCAATATATATTCCATTAAATTGAACGAGTGTGTGTAATAAATACAAGGTAGCTACTAACGTAATGCAGTGTACCGACATATAGAGTGTTACAGCGCAGACAGGGCTAGACTACGTACAATTAGGGGATCGCCAGCGCGACGATAGTTTGGGAGTCGACTCAATGCCCTTCCTTTATTCGAGCCACGAATCTCAGCCGAGTATGGGATCGCGAGTGCGGGCGAAAGCACCCGGCACGGAACAAGGCGGGCAGTCACAACGACACGAAGGGACCAACAGAACTTGGCAGGATGCACTATGTACGCGCGTGCTGTAGACGGGAAGAGACGGGTGTTCGCTGTGTCACAGTCCGCGCAGAGGACTAGAGCCGGAATGAGCACAATCTGAAAAGGGCAGTCAGTGACGGGAGGGATGGGCAAACAGGGAACGCACGTACGTGAGCCACGACGGCCGTTATATACATCTCCGAGGCCGGGCTGCGCGTCCAGGCATCCTGTGCCGCGTACGAGAAGTTCTCGTTATGCGCGGGCAACTCTGTCGACAAGATGGGGCACACCCTGGGTGTGCGCTGGATACAGAGTCGTAAGAGCTGTAGCCACATGGAAACGAGATGGCGGTTCGCGCTGCGTTCTTCCCCGCGTCAGCTCGGATCCAGCTGCTCCTCCAGACCAGCGTCACCCATCAACGTCACGTTAGTCTCAGGTTTCAGTCGATTTGCGGTGTACTCGACTGCCCAGATCCTCTTCGCGGGTACCATCGGTGATCGCGATGTGCTCTTCGCCTACGGTTCGGCCGATCAATCCCACGAGTTCGCCACCACCGTCCCGAACGTCACCTATGCCTTCACTGCCGGAAACTTCAGCGGGCTTCAGACGTTACAAGACAGCAATGACTCGCTCATTGTATTCGCAGATACCGTTACGGCCGGCACGTTCTTCGCCCCTGTGTTGGCCAGTAGCGATGCGCTTGGCGCGTTCTGGGGCATTGGAAGCAACGAGACCCTTCTTGTAGGCGGACCCCAGCTCGTGCGCAATGCGACGCTCGAAGACGGCACACTCGCCCTCTTCGGTGATCTCAACTCTACCACTACCCCGCTCACCATCATCGGTCCCTCCACCATCAGCGCCGTCACCTTCAACGGTCTTCCCGTGACCGTCAGCGCCAACTCCTCGTCCTCGAGCATCTTGGTCGGCACCATCTCTACGGACATCCCGGATATCAGCGTCCCTGAACTCTCGGGGTGGAAGTTCGCCGACAGCTTGCCCGAGGCCAGCGCCGACTTCGATGATGGGAACTGGACCGTTGCGGATCATACTACAACGAATATCCCGGCGAAGCCGACTTACGGTGATGGGAGGGTGCTGTACGGATGTGACTACGGTTTCTGCGAGAACATCGTGCTTTGGCGCGGTCACTTCAATGCGACGGGTTCGGAGACGTCTGTCAATCTCTCCATCAACGGTGGACAGGCATTCGCTGCGAGCGTATTCTTGAACCAGCACTTCATTGGGACTGCATATGGGAAGTACGTTAGGATTTTGTTGTCGATCCGCCTGGACTGGCGTACTGATAACCGCGCTTAGCTCCACGAACGACGATAATGCGATCTCCGAGGTCGATCAAGTGTACAACTTCACAACCGACCAGTTGAACGTGGGCAGCGATAACGTCATCACTATCGTTCAAGACAACATGGGTCTCGACGAGTTCGGTTCCACTATCAAGTCCGCCCGCGGCGTGCGCGGCTTCCAGCTCAACCCCGAGGGTAACTTCACTGAGTGGAAGGTGCAGGGGAAGATTGGCGGCTACACCGGCTTCCCCGACAAAGTGCGGGGTGTGGTGAACGAGGGTGGTCTCTTCGGAGAGCGCGAAGGGTGGCATCTACCCGGCTTTGACACCTCGAGTTGGGAAGACCGCGATTTGAGCTCTGGCCTCCCAAACGCGACGGCCGGCGTCGGCTTCTTCGTCACGACATTCGACCTCACCGTTCCCTCCGGTGTCGACGCGCGATTCAGCTTCAACTTCGATAGCAACACCAACTCAACCGACGTGCCTTACCGCGCCTATCTCTTCGTAAACGGCTGGATGATGGGCAAGCGTGTTGGAAACCTTGGGCCACAGACGAAGTTCCCGGTCCATCAGGGTATCCTGGAGTTCAACGGCACGAACACGGTGGCGGTGGCGTTTTGGGCTATGGAGGATGCCGAATTCAAGCCGACATTGAGTCTCGCCCTTGATGAGGTTGTATCGGGTGGGGTCGGGCCTGTGTCGTCGAACAATCCGACGTTCGCAGAATTGCGGTCTTGAATGGACCTGAAGTGGTGTCTTGTATAGGTTGTGGACCAGTGTACTAGCCTGAAGTGTTTCATTGTATCGCTGTCATACGCATTCATCCCAATTCTGATATGGCTCTGTAAGGCTCTGTCTGAGAGCATACACCTTGTTCCTTGTGAACCTGGAGGGAACGTACTGATCGCATACCGGTTTAGCTCGGTAGTTGGCTTTGACACTTCTAAAGGCTGCTTCTAGATTGTTGCCCCGACAGAGCCTCAGCGCCTGTTTACACCAACGGGTTTTGTTTCGATAGCATCTATCCGCGTTGGTACACGCCGCCTGATACTATCATCGACAGCAATCTGAACAGATCTCGGAGCATTGCGCGTCTGAAGGGCGTGGGATTAGATCAACTCGACAACATTACGATGGCACGGTCGTTTGCGGCTTGTCATCAACGTCGTTGCGTCGAATGTCGTCAGGATTCATCGTTGAATCTGGGTTGTGCGCCCGACGCTATGTCTTTCGAGAGCGATGAGGGCGTTGAAGTCGGTCAAGATACCGACAACATCGGGCATGGCAATACTAGCGAAACGTGCACCTGCAGTAAACGGTGGCTGCGGAACGCCCTCCGGCTCAACCGAAGGGACCAGGCGCCCATCGAAGTCGAGGCGCTTCTCATGACGAGCAGTTGAATGCCAGCACAATGGCCGATGGGAGAGGCGGAACGATATTTACGTTGGTGCTCAACCCGGTCCAACACTAGGATGTGTCTGTCTTCGCAGACGGTCTGGCGATCATTGACACAACATAGGCACCAAGAAGGCTTGCGGCTGTACGCCGTACACGTCTTCAAAAAAAAGTCTTAGATGGGAACAATGGGCGCGCGTGATGGCACGTATTGCCCTGGAAGGCACTTTGTGAAAAACCGTTAGGCGCTCCTACACACTGCTGTATCCCATGGAACTTCCAGGCGCTATCGTGACATACGAGGCGTATCCGGGGCTAGTCCGGGATGCCGCACCCGAATCCGGTCGAGATCGCACGAAGGAGAGGGAACGGTTCCCGAACGATAAGCCAGATCAGAAGGGAACAACGAGCGGCTGCTGGCGCGGTCATTTGACGGCGGGGGAAAGGGAATCTGCCTCGTGTAGGACTCGAGGTGCTTAACTATACGTCCTCACTTCCGTGGCCCCGCACGCTTTCATCACCCTCGCGGTGCTACAAAACCCTCCACCCGGCGGCTCGCGCGATTTCAAGCGTGCGCGTCGAACCCCTCGGCGTGTATGAACCAGGTAGGATCTACGCCTGCTGTCACCCAGTCGCTCGCATACATCCCTACTCCGCTCCTAACGACGTCTCCTTCTCTTTCGCCTTGTTCTGCCACTGTCCACGATCTCCACGTCTTCACGTTCACTGCATCGCCGTCTTTATTCCATAATCACTTGCCATCAATCGCGGCTCAACCATGGCTACTGCTGTACATTCGCGGCCACTAACTCGGCCCCCGCAGACACCGTGGATAGGCAGGACCGCTTTACCCCAAACAGGTCCTGACATTATGGTCCAACCCTATCGAACTGGCTACGAGACGCCTCAACCTCGCCGCTCTTCTTACGACCACCGCTCTGCTAGCCCGATGCCTGCCCCTGCACCTTCTCGCAGGCACAGTCAACGCGCTCCTCAGCCGTCTGCACCTGTTCAGCATCCAGCTTGGCTTCAAAGAGCCATCAACTCTGGCTATCGTCTCGATCCGAACGGGGATAGGCGCTACGCCAATCCCCCGCTGCTAAGCAGCGACAATAATCGGTCGTGGACTCTGGACGCTCAGAATGCAGGGTATAACATCGACACGGAGAGGATGATCATCATCCCGCCGCGTCCTGAACATCAGCGTCGCCCGAGCGCTGCGAGTCATGACGATGGGTATTCTACTACGCCTGAAGCTGGCTCCATTCCATCTTCGCGCCAGAGGCGTGGCTCAGACGCTATGTCACGTCCGACGACGCCCGCCGCTACGGCTCCTGCTCCCAGAAGAGGCATCCTCAAACGAAGTGCGTGTGACTCATTGGTAGCTCGTGCTCCGAGATAACGAACTGATGGCCTCCCGCCCAGTCTTCTCTACCAACGATCGCGCAGCAAGTACCCCACCTACGGAAGGTCGTCCCAGAAGTGGATCTCAAAACCGCGCAAGACCTATCCTTCACATACCCGAAAGTAAATCGCACCGCCGTCTGCTTGATCGCTGTCGCTGATGGCTGCTTCGAATCAGGCGAGAAGATGAACTATGCCTTGCACTGGCAGCTCCTGCCCTATAATGCTCAGTCAGGCAAGCCACGCATGTACTACGACATCCGATTTCCGGCCGAGTACGCCAGTCACGTTCATGACGGGCAAGGTCACTTCCCCATCTCCCGAAGGGAGCTCGAGAAGCCGGCCACTAAGAAGAACCTGTCGTACATGACCTTCACCGCTTGGGACCTGCCTATCTTCGACATCGAAGTGCATCGACACGAAGGTGTACGGGTTTGCGACGTCTTAGAGCGCGTATACGAGCACTATCAACTTGTGCTCACACGTACCGAGAAGACTCTCCATCGTGATCGTGTGGAACGTGCTCAATGGTACTACGAGGATCGTGTTCGGCAGGAGCTACAGCGAGATCCCTCATACGTCGACCAGGGTATGCGCCGCATCGACTTGATGGAGGGAAAAGTCGTGTTTATTGGCTGTCAATGGCGGCATCCATGTGAGGAGTATCCGGAGGGTTCGTGGACGTTGCTGTTCTTGCCGCCGCCAAGGGCAGCACCACCTTCTGCTCCCGCTTCCGCCCCAGTCCAGACTTCGCGTTCACGTCGTCCTTCGTTTGACGCCGGTATACCATACGCCGGGAGCTATTCGCACGCCGCTCCCCACTACCATAGCACCACGAATTCGACCACTTATCCTCAACGCCCGCGAGGCGGCTCTTTGAGTACTTCTCCTAATGGCTATTATCAGTGATCGTGCAACCTTTGTCCTATCATGACTTCGGTGAGATTCGTCCTTGCGGCTTCAGAGCGGCAGATGCTGATGGATCCACTATAGGGCTGGCCCAATTATGCGTACCTTAACGATCCTCTGTATGACCCACCACTCTTTCGCTCGCCTTGATAGTCTAGCGCCTGAAACTCTTCCAAAATTGAGTTTTGTCTGTGTTTCCTGCCCATATTATCGTTGCGCCACTTACCCCGCTACTGCTCCTCAGCCCTGTCGCTCCTCCCCATCCGCAAATGTTGTCCTATCCCCTACCCGCTATCCTGCCAACCGCGAAACTTGTATTGCACTTCCTCTTCTGAACACTTCCGCACTGTACCTTTATTCATAGTCACTATATTCATAACTCACGACCTCGCCTCTTCATTGCACATATCCCGCACCTCACACCCCTCGAAATCAAATACCATTCACCACATGATTCTTACGGTGCATCTCTCGGCAGAGCCGGCACGCCGAGCGATGAGCCCGAAGTTCAGGGAGCAGACTTTCCAGAATATGCTGCGAAATGAAGTTTACTTGAGCGACCAACATGCTCAATCAACAGCAGGCGAGCTCATGTCCGGGGAGCTCCTCAGGGTGCAGTTGGCTGGGTGCAGGCCATGTGCCGTGAATGAAGATCTCCGGCCGCTGGCTCGGGTTACGATGTCAAGATGTAACTTCGGCGAACCTCAAATACCACCGTGTTTCCGACGTCCTGGTATCGATACGCGCGCGCAATCTTATCGACAGGTAGAACGCGCAGACTATCACGATGAATGTCTCCTTCAATGAATCTAGGTACGCGCGAAAGACTAGACTTGTCACCGAACTGCCGCTTTCAAAAGCGATCTCGAGCTCGAAGCCTTTCTATCGTTATCGATGCAGCTCGAAGGAACGCGGCGGCCCAGCTCATGACAGCGCGGCGTAGATTTATTACTCGAATCAGAAGACGCTGGACTCCGCAACCCTTGACACCAGGTCATCCATCGTCAACTCGCAAAGGTAGTTCCGGTGAAAGGGTGCGAGGTAGACGCGTTCCTGTGGCGAGGCAGCGAGGACATTCTCGAAGCGGGGCCGTCGGCCTACACGCTGCTGAAGAATGGGCACCAGGTGGTGCTAGTGTGCGTAACGGTGGCATAACAATCCGCCTTTGGCTACAAAGGGTAGCCGCTGGAGAAGAGATGTGAGGGCGCTACCGTTATCGGATCGCCAGGGCTACGCGCGAAGGGCACGAAGGCATTGCACCAAAGGCGCTGAGACGCGCGGAGGCGCGAAGCTTGAGCACGCGACACCAACGTCAAGCTTCGAGTCGAGATACGGCGATCTTCTCGGTGCTCATCGTATCAGAGCAGAGGCAAGCGAGGAAAACACTGTGCGCGCCGTGAGGTTGAGCACGCCTCTCAGCGCAATCACAGTGTGCCCACGTTAGCCCGCACTATCATGCGAGTGCTTCTCAGGTCTGTATGACTTCACGATAGCAGAAGAAGTCTGATCGGTTGCCGCAGCGGCGTAGTGCTGTCCGGCGAGCACGCGAAGGATGGGGAGCAGGAGGGTAAACTCGGGATGGTCAGGAAGTGCCAGTGTGGCGGCTTTCAGATCGTGGTCGTGGGCGTTCTGGAAAGAAAGACACAGCAGACCTTGAGGTTAGCTTCGCGCTTGACACATCACGATGAGCCAGTCATGTAGACTCCCTCCCAGCTCAATCAAGCACGTCTGCTGGCGCGCAATCACGCCATCGGTCGCCATCGGGTCGCCATTGTGGCTCACGACCTCGACCACTCTCACAATGGACCACTCGGCGTTCGCCACAACTCGCGCTTCGACGACGAGGACGGTCATACACGACCTTCCGGCAGAGATTATACTATCAGTCTTCTCGCATATCGTCACAAACGACATATTTCATGGAAGCAGCCACGTCGCACCAGCCATTGTCATCTCCAGCCAGGTCTGCAGCCGATGGAGGTCCATTGCACTGAGTCACAGCCAGTGCTGGAGTAACGTGGATATATGCGCGCGATACTGGTCCAAGCTCTTTGCTGAGCGAGCCGGAGGCCAGGCTCTGTCGCTTATTGCCCGACGGCCCGTCTCAAGCGAGCAAATGCAGCTCTTTGAGCCGTATTTAGCCCGTGTGCGGGGGCTGGTACTGGGCTCATCCGCCGGAGGAGGGAAGCGGTCCAATGCGGAATCAGCGCCAAACTTACTCTCGCCCTCTGCGACACCTCTCCTGGAGTCGCTTCACCTGGAAGATCAGCCGCAATATGAATATCACGCAACGGCGCCGCCCAGCCTCCGCCGACTGATCTTACGAGACGGTTGCCATATTTCGCCTCTGTTCCCCATCTTGAATTCGACGCTTGTACACCTCGAGCTGTCCAGGTGTCATTCAGTTGAAGCGGCAGGATCCGACGTCGTACACGCTATCCTTCTTGGGCTTCCGCACCTCCAGACTCTTGTACTGGACTATGCGCGGAAGTCCCACGTCGCATCCCCATCCGCGCTGCAGGCGAGGCCCGCTACCTTACCGCGCTTGCATCGGCTTCATATCCGCGACACGCTCTCCAACCTTGTTCGACGGTTGCAGCTTCTCGATATACCGAGCGAGGCACAGATAACTGTGGCATCCGAAGAGCCCGTTAGTATCGCCACCTTGGGCGCAGTCGCGGCCCTCACCAACTTCTTGAGTGGACACACGTCTGCGGTGTCGCACACGTTAACCGTTGACGCCCCAACGCCTGGTACATGCACTGGCCGCATTGCGTTGTCGTATCAGAGTTGTCAGGGAGGTCGTGAGCTTTCACGAATGGAGCTGGCGACCGGCGCAGGTCATGCACCTATGCCATGCATCCTTCGCAAGCTCCTGGGCTCTGGGCAGCTGCACGTGCATGACCTGCATGTCAGCCACGGTCACTTCTTTGCTCCCTGCGCGTGGACGGACCTCCATCGCCTGACACCGGATGCCATGCGTATCACCGCCATCGGACAAGCGAACATTGTAAACGGACTACTGCAGGTCCTTCACGATGGAGCGTACGCTGGCATGAACAAGCTCACGGTCGCGAACGTTGTATTGGGCAGCCAGGCAGGTCTCGATATGACCGCCTGGGCCAATGTCCGAGCGAAGCGAGCGAGTCTTGACATGCAACTGGAGGCGTGCGTCGCCCGTGCTGAGCCTCTGCTCATCAGATGCGGCGATTTGGCATATTCGGACGCCTGCTGGCGAGGGCTGTCTTGACTGAACGCTCGGACTAGTAGTCTTCATTGATACCACCACCATAACCTCTGCATTGCTGTTACTTGACCATGCTTTCCTCATACTCGATGATAACCCATTTGTATTTTATATCTATGGACGCTCTCTCATGAAACGTGTAACATAGTATTTATAGTCTCATATTGTTGCTGCTCTATTATTGACACCTCGAGACCGCTATACTTAGTCCACGAGTGTCTGGCCGTCGCCCAGCGCAAGTTTCATACCAGGGGACTCATGAATACAGCTGAGCCTTATACCGTTGTGATGCTACTGACTGGGCATGTTGAACCTGTGTTGAACGATGTGGACGCGTCTGGAAAGAGGGTCACCGATTCGGATGCTGTAAAGCGTTTAGCACACCGAAGTCGATCGCGGTTGCACGGTGCGCGTCATGTTTACGGACTTTGTCCCGCACGGTCACCACGATGCTCCCTAAACCTCCTCGTCCTGCGAAGCCTCTTACTCTGAAGCAGAGGCTTGCGGCGCTCACTCAGGCGCCTTCATCGCCGTCGTCTTATGTCGAACCTATATCGCCCATGACACCGGGATCAGCGTCAAGCAAGCGCAAGTTCAATGCGCCTTGGGTGCGTCGACAAGACAGCGGCAACTCTGTACCATCGAGCGAGGAGAAACTGCAGGACATTATGAGCAGAGTAATCACCCAAGCAGGGGTGGACTACGAGTGCGTACTTGTGGCTTTCTCGGAGACTAGACACTGAATGATAATGGCTGATAGGACGCGTCCGATGTGCGTTGGCTTGGCTTGGCGTTCACGTCGCATAATGGACTAATCGCACTCTGGCACTCACAGGGTTGTAGTCAGCGCCAGTGGACTGCCGAATCCGAACCAGGAGGGCGTCAATTACGATCAATTGCTCGTGTGCGTACCCCTTTCTTGCCAGCGGCTGCTCTGCTTAGTTCGCTCTCAGTCGCATTCTCTCGTATCTGGACCTCTACGGTGCGCTGATACTCTTATCTTCTACAGCTCTTAATTGACACATTATAGTCGAGTCCGACTACACGGTCGTCTTCTTCGCTGCAGGCAACAGGAACTCTCCCGGGTGGAATTGGGTTTGGAAGGCGTACCGCAGTCTCAGTAGGAAATACCGGAAGAATTTGAAACGATTGGTGAGTGAACCAGCCCGTCTGCGCTTCCCATGCTTATGTCAAACTTCAGTACATTGTGCATTCCAACTTCTTCTCGAAAAGTGAGCGCGCCCCGGTTTACCTGCGGATCTCAGAGGAGGGTCTTTACCCGACTGCAACCCTGACTGCAATCGATTCCAATGTCTTATACCAACCATATGGCATCACTGACATGCATTTCCAGTGTTATTCTCGCTTGCGGGAGCCTTCATCAGGTAGGTGTAACGCTGTTGCTCGTCCTGAATGCCTCACTGACATGAGTATGAAGCCCCAAGTTCTTCAGGAAGATCACCTACGTCGACACACTCTCCGAACTGGCGTCTTACGTCCCCTTGACCCAGATTGATGTACCACCGGCAGTATACCAGTGCGTATACGTGCTATCTTCGAGACCAAGACTGACCCTTGAATAGAGAGAACTTGAAGCATGAACGGGAGATCACTCTACCGATGCCAACTCATTCCAGTCTCTTCGGTGTACCACTCGCAGAACTGATGGGGTATGATGGAGAGAAAGGTGGCATCCCTAGGGTTGTCAAGGACGCCATTCAGTACTTGAGGGACACAGGTGCGCGAGACCTCCATGACCTCGATCTCGCGCTGACGCAACACAGGTTTACAGGAGGAGGGTCTTTTCCGAAGATCGCCCAGTTCGGCGCTCTTGAAGCAAATCAAGGAGGCTTACGACCGCGGGAATGTAGTCTCGTTGGAGCACTTCAATGATCCTCATTTGGCGGCAGTCCTCCTGAAGAAGTACCTGCGCGATTTGCCCGAACCGCTCTTTCCCGAGGCTGTGTACAACCTTATCCTGAGGTGTCCTGCGCCAACATACGAACCTGATGATTGGGCGTCAGTACTCTATGTCCGCGAGCACTTGTTTCCCGCATTGCCGAGGTGTAACTATATCTTGCTCAGCCATGTCTTGCGTACGTTCATTATTTGAAGACGGCGACACCCCGACTGACATGCCTTGCAGACCTGATGCACGAAGTCTCGCTTCGTTCCAGCGCCAATCTCATGGACGCTCACAACCTAGCGATCGTACTGTGCCCCAACCTCGTGTCAAGCTCTTCGCCTGCTCGGGACATCGCGATGTGCGCTGTCCCCTCTGGCCCACAGTTGCATCCATCCATCCCCACTACGTCGAACCCGCAACCTGAGGGCCGCACGACGCTCGGAGCAATCATCAAGCTGTGCATCCAGCGCTACTATGAGGTCTTCGATGAGGTCGAGGACCTGCTGGAAGCTCGCTACCCTCGTGCTGAAGCGGATGCGCCTGCTACACCTAGTAGCACTAGTAGCTCCTTCGGCTCGCGACCCGCGCCGCGAAGGCAGTCCGTACTCTCGAAAGCGAGCTCTTCGGGCACGCGTGACAGTCGGGCACTGGACGACGACGACAGTATCGACGACGCAATGCTCGTCATGCCCATCGGTCCTGCGGGAGGTGGTCCACCAAGTACATGGAGTACTGTCGGGGCTGGTTTCCGCCCACGCCACCGTACAGGACTGTCCGGCGGTGGCGGCAGCCGCAGTATGCATACAACTGCGGGTGCCGCCAGTAATCCCGGGACTGTTCGCGCTCGTGCGACTGCGAGCGTAATGGAAGCACCGGGTGGATCACGGAAAGGGTCCATTGCTGTCGGAAGGGGTACGACGCGCAAGTCTACGGGGTCTGCTGTGCAGGCTGTCGGAGTCACTGCGTCCGGGTTCTTCACCCCGCCAGAGGGAGCACCTCCGCTTCCCGACAGGGAGACGTAGGTCGCGTTCTCGTATCTTGGTTACCTGGCTCATATTTATCTACTGCTTGCTTCCTCGTCGGCCAATGTATGGCAGAATACCATTTGCTTACAAACTAATTCATGACATGACGATCTACGTAGAAAAGTTCTTACGTTTATCCAGAGTATTGGAAGATAGAGCATTGTGTAGTGCGATCATGGGTATACATCGCAACTAGTGTCTCTGTGGCCTACATGGTGTTGTCATCAGCACTAGACGTCCGGAAGGTCTTGGGCTCGAAGACTTTGTGCACCCAAAACGGGCCTGAATTGAACATCAGAGTAGATCCTTCTTTACAAGGACCTTGGAACATACCAATTGGATCATGCATATCATGAGTGACGGTCGTCCAGTTCCCGAGCACACCATATGGCGAACGTATGCTGCCAACTTGCACGCCTTCGCAACTACACCGTTCCGTCAACATGAGTCCATACGAAGAAAAGGCTGATGTATTACCTCCAGACCGGTGTCCCGTTATCGCCGCCATCCTGAGGTTCATTGAAGGTCTGTCAAGTTCAATTCATGCTGCGAAGTGCTCTAGGGAGATAGACTCACGAAGTGCCAGCGTACGTCGCCGTGCCGCGTGAGCTCGACCTGACCAACGAGGGTGTACTGCCCACATGTGCCTACCAGGCGTATCCGTGGGTGGTTGGGATGCAAGGGGTCGGGCTCGAACGCGGACGCATGCAGTTCACAGGCAATCGCACGGAAGGCTTCCATGAAGTGTGGCTCGGTTACGAGGGTGGGGTCAAGTGGGCCGTCGGGGTCATCTCCGTGCTAATAGGACATCAATATGCGTAACGTTCAGCGCTCGGTGATTCGGACGGACCTGTATTCCATTATACGCGATGAGGGCGTGATGATCCATGAAACAGAATACTATCTGCCAGCTGCCTTCAAGGCCGGCCCAATCTCGGCCGAGCTGTTCTACGGGCGCGTCTAATATGGGCTGGCAGAACGGCATGCTGAGGGGGAAGATAGCATAACGATAATTTTCAGCTTCCTCCGGTATGTCGACGAGATGCACGCTGATACAGTGGTGTATGGCCAGGACTTGCTCCCAATCGACCCTCCAAGAACCGTCTGATCGAAACGGCCCGAAGTAATTCGCGTACGAGTACCGCCGAAAGTCGTACACCCGCGCGCGTGCGGCAACACGGCCGGGCTTGGTTACATCGTTGCGAGTGAGGCCGTACATGGCGTGTAGCTGCGCGCGCAACTGCAGCTCCTCCTCCGAAGGCTCCCACAACTTCTGTTCGAGAAGGGCACCCCCACGCAAGGTGGCAGCGACCCAAAGATGGTTGAGCGCTATGTCCTCAGAGTTGATGTCATCCATGGGAGGGACATGACAGGCGAGATCCAGAAGCGCGCGCAGCACCTCTTCACGTTCGTGCGGCTTGCACAGGCGCGGATCCATCGCGACCACCTGCGCGCGCTTCATGCGCGTTAGGCGCCCGCGCCAGTCGATCTCGCCGGCAGGTTCGAGAAGCGTCGAAAGGCAGCGCCGAGGGTCGTCGAGGTCCTGTTGCAGGTATAGGTGTCTCCACAGATGCGAGTCGGGCGCTTCATAGATCAAGGCATGGAAGTGCTTGCAGGTCTGTGCGAAGGCGCCGACGTGCAGAGGGTCTAGCTCCAAGAGTATCTGTTCCACCAGTTCGGCTGGTAAGTCGTAGAAGTTCGTGCTAGGACGAGCAATCGGCTGTTCCAAAGACTCCATAGCGTGCGCAGAGGTAGGTGATGGTGGTAACAGGAGGGTTCGCTTCATGAATAATACGCTTCGGAGTTTACCGAGTGCATTCACTTCGCCGCGCGCTCGGCCGTTATGACGTTGAACTTAACCGTCACCATATCCACATCTGTCCGTGCTATAATCCAGTGCCCATGCTTATCTCCGTACGACTACGTCCACACCCGGACCGCAGGCAGAGTGCATGCACGGTTGGATGCGCTCACCGAAATGTGGCGTTGCGCCGCGACCTACCTATATCTACGTGTGGCGTCTTTCCCTCACTCCATCGAGTACAATGGCCTCCCACGAGGCTCATCTAGTCGCACGACGGCTCTGTATTCTTGGACGGGTACCCTCAAAGTCTGTTGGCACACACACGCTACGTTTCGAAAGTGAATCGAGATTGTTATAAGGGCCTCAACGGCTTATAACGTGTTTCACCTGAACTACTGAACTATGCGCCACATCTTCCAGAAGAAGAGCCTCACGCGCATCGACCTCATCGATGCCCAATCTAAGAGGCCGATGTATACGCTACAGACATATAACATTTTGTTCGGGTGCAGAGCTGTACTATCCAGGTGTTCACAAAACAACGACGGAGACGAAGATAATGACGAGGTTGATGAAACGACCATCCGCGATATCTCGTCCAACAGGATCGTCGTTGGCAACGTGAAACATGTGGCGAAGGAATGGCTACATCAGGACGGGTGCGCATCAAGCTCTTAATTGTGAGCTCTGGCTAAGCGCGTCTCAGATCGAAATGGACCTTTACAGCCGTCAGTGGCGCCCACTATATATGGTCATCAGCAGAAGACGACTTGCTCGTAAGTATGCTCAGTCCCAATACACAGTTTTGCGACTGAGATTGCTGGTATAGTTGCAAGGACCGGGTGGCTTATCCGAGCTTGCTCGTCTTCATACAGACAAAATTGACTCGGTCAACGCGTACCTCGATTTCAGCCTACCGAGACAGGACGAGGACGAGGTGCTCATGAGCTGCGTCTACCTGCGTCTCCGCGATGCCAAACTCGCAGACTCAGTCGATGGAAGAACATGTGGGTGTATGCTGTTGGTCTTTGCTTTACATCTGGCTGACGAAGCTCAAGTGATAAACGCGATCTTGGTGGCGGGACCCCACAAAGGAAACGATCTCAGTGCACGACCGTGATGGTGTACTCCGTTGTGAACAACGATGACGCGTGTGTACGCTTTGGCGGACGGAATCAACAGAGTATATGTTGCTATCTATATATGGCCTGCATCAGCGCTCATACTCGATTGAGAATGCATCGACTGATCTTTGTGTGCAGTTCTACCCGCTTGACGAACCTTACACCGTTCACTGTGCCCAGACTCTTCTCCATCCGTAACATCTTTCCCGCACTATTGAGGCGTATCGCAGAGTTGCTTCTCATGGCTTGGTCGGATGATGAGCCGGCGCTTCTTCGCGGGTTCCTTGAAGGTCTGCTGGTCCATAAGCTCTTCGACTCTGCTGCAAATACTGATTCGCTATAAGGACTTGAACTCCACGGGGAGAGCGTATCGTCTCTCGCTCTCTCGCTCTCACGACCATCAATCATCAACTATGCGGCTTATCTTCCAGAAGAAGAGCATCATGCGTGTCGACCTCGTTGACGCTAAGACGAAGAGGCCTGTCTATGCTCTCCAAACCCATGACGCCGCGTTCGGCACAAAAGCTCTGTTGTCGCAACGCTCTCAGAATAACGATGGAGACGAAGCAGACGATGAAATTGGAGAGACAACCTTTCGCGATATTGCATCTGATAAGATCTCCGTCGGCGAGATCAAACATTCAGCGAAAAAGTGGCTGCAGCATGACGGGTGCGTTGATGAGCAGTTTCTTGGTGCATCCGGGTCTGATATACAGTAATCTAGATCCAAATGGTCGTTTATTGCCTCAAGTGGCGCACATTACGTGTGGTCGCAAGCTGGGGAGGACTACATTGTGAGATCAGAGCTCGGATCGGGGCGGCGTTTGCTCACTATCATCACAGTTGCAGGGACCAGGTGATACATCAGAGGTTGCCCGGCTTCACACAGACGGCACCGATCCAGCCAAAGCATACTTCGACATAGATGTCCCCAAACAGGATCAGAACGAGGTGCTCATGAGTTGCATCTACATCCGTTTGCGCGAGGTGAAGAAGACCGAATCGGCGGGCGGGACTACATGTCAGTTGGGTTCATCTCAATATAACATTCCACATCCGGCTGACGAGTATCATATAGTGATCAACCCCATCTCTATCACAGGATCGCACGCAGGTGGGGGATTACTTGGAGGGCATCACGATCCGCTTTCAACCTGAAGCATCCTGAAGTACGTTGATTAACGAGTTGTAGGATTCCGAGTCTCTACGGCGTCGTATGTTGTATCTAGCGATGTCCATTCCTGCACTGTCCTTGACACTGGCACGCATCAGAACAACCAACACCAAGCGAGGCACAACCGCATGATGACCCGATGTAATTAGACATCGCGCATCCTCCGGTGCAGGAGCACTTCTTGTTTCCCGGATCCGCCCCCGGCGGCGGCGTATACGGGTTCATGCAGTCGCCCTCGGCACCCCTGTTCATGACAATGAGATCAAAGAAATAGCGTGTCAGTGACAGGAAGAGACTACCTTCCACCGCAACCACAGGCAACTGAGCAAGCGTAGCCGCTGCTCGCACATCCGCATCCTCCAATCCCACCTCCACGAAGCTGGCATCGCCCACGGCAGGAGCAAGTTTTCCCGCCACGTCTCACTTTCCAAACATGCTGTGGAGCTCCTTCTTGACTCGCATACTCCACAGCAGCAGCTTCGTGGCGAGCGCGTTGAGCAGCAGACGGCGTCCACGTAGAGGCCGCAGGGGGCTCCGTGGAATACACCCACATGCCGCGTTGACTAAAATTGGTTGATTAGTGCTCTCTATTGTACAGAGAGATACGTACTCACCTGCAGTTGAAGCACATATGATAGCGCGGCTCTCTACCCCCGTCGCTGACGCACCGACCCGTCTGGCTGTCAAACGTCCATGCAGCTTCGCGCACTATGCGGCCTTGCGCGTCGCGCTCGAGAGGTCTTCCAAACTCATAGAAGTCTTGTGTATTGTTGCAAAGCTCGCAGATGAGGATAGCCATGAGAGTCCAGCAATAGGGCTCACAGCGAGGGTGGGTGCGAGAGGTAAGGATGTGCTAACGCACGAGGCGCGACGCGACGCGAGATTAAACGGGACCGAGAGTCGACGCGGTCACATGACCGCGAACTTCGCGTTTGGCCGGGTTTGGCCTGTATCCCCGATCAAAGCCTGCGTGCCTATCTTTGCACGTTCGTAGTAGCAACAGGTGGGCCCCAGACCCATCGAGACCAAAGAATTTTGGCTACTGGCAGGCATCAGCATTGACCGGGAAGTTAGTAGGCCGTATGCGTGCACGTGCAGGGCACGCTAGACGTGTGGGACTTTTGAACGGCTTGGCAAAGCGAGAAGTTGTGGTTGTCTTTGTTTGCTTCCCACCGTCGTCGTACCATCCACTAACTCTCTTTACGAGGAAGCAGTGTCGATGTGCACCGCCCGTTACCAGCGCAGATACACCTCCTTTATGGTCCTTGCTGTCGGCAGCGCAAACATGACAAACACCGACTTCCAGCTCTGTGGTTGATGTGGTTGATATGTGCGTGCCCTTTCACCTTTCAAACAACTCACTGAGGTCGTCACTAAGAGTCATATAGTATAAAACTCCGAGCGCGTCTACGGTTACAATCGGCGTCTCTGCCTCCCCTTCCACTCTTGCGCCACCCTCAGCCACACCCATGGCCACCATCCGCTGTGCGCCCGGGGGGTCATACACGGCGCATATTCTACAGCGCAGGGCGCCTCGAGTGGATCTGGACTCAGCCCTTAGTTCGACCACGACGTCCGACGAGGCATCATCCGATCTTGTACCCTTCGTAGCTGGCACTACGTCGTTGGACGGTCTCGTGAACGATCATACCAACGAACGGCATTCGCGCCTCGCCAATCTTGGTTGTAACTCCGACATATTCCCCGACGGACTAACTGCGCAGAGCGCAATACTCTTGCCATCCAGTCCTCGAGTTCGGACGTCAGTACGCGGTATCGCTGCGGGTTTCAAGGAGAAGGTTGGACGACATCTTCGAAGATTGTCCAATGAATTCAGAGGCAGGAGGGGGGATCTCGCGGCACGTCAAGCTATCGCAGCCAACCGTGATCGACTCCGTGATACGCGATATGAGATCCCACTCGTCAGCCCAGCTCTTGCCGAAGTCTCGTCCACGGTAAGTCCTCCTCCCATTCCCTTCGCGCCAATGTGGTTCTCATGGCATATTGCAGACACGGTCGAATCTCTCTAGCCGGGACTCCACAATCAGTGATGATGGCCTTGCTCCGTCTGCAGACCGTGTGATTGGCGAGCCTGCAAGAGTGGCCGGGGTAACTGTGTTGGATGACGGCAGAGTCACCTATCAACCTTTTGCGCCCGCGGGGGAAGGCGGCTTTGCCTCCGTCTTTTACGCGCATGCCCACCCGTACCTCGCCAAGAATGAGAGCTTGTACCCGAAGGTGGTCGCGATCAAGGTCTTCAATCGTCGGCGGCTCGCGGATAGGGAAATCAGTATACGTCATGTCGGAGACGAATGCAAGGCTTTGCAGCATGCGACGCGTTCGCCTAGCCCGTTCTTGACCCGTCTCATCTCAACCTTCTACGACGATCGACATATCTATGCTGTTATGGTGAGTGGGCTCTCACGCTGCTAAGTATACGAGCATTTTAATCAGCTCCATAGCACGCGTACGTAGGCACCCTCGCCGACAGGCTTTGCGATACCAACCGACGGATGCCGGCGCATGAAATCAAGCAGCTAGCGTCGGAGTTGGTGCGCAATGTTTATGTTCAACTCATCCCCAAGCGCTAACTTCGAGAAGATCGTAGGAGTGCAGGCTGTTCACGGGATGAGTTACATCCATCGAGACTTGAAGGCGGAGAATGTCTTCCTCTCTCCAGCAGGACATCTCGTTATTGGCGATTTCACGACCGTCATCAATCCCGCTCGCCGCAAGCGTCCCGGGTCAAAAGATTGGCTTTCAGAACGCATACGTGCAGAAAGCCAACCTGTGGGAACTCCCCTTCGTTACGCCCCCGAGCAACTGAGCGCCGAGTTCTACACGTCCAAAGTCGATCTCTGGGCTATTGGGCTGATGATGTTCGAGCTGTTTCGCGGCAACTGCACCGACGTCGTCTTCTGTCCATCAGAACGCGACGAGCATCCTGGCTCCGTTGAAATCCTCACCAAGAATCTACGGCCAGAGATCGATCTATACGTTGACGAAGTGCAGGCGCGACGCCTCGTTCGTCGTCTGCTATCTAGGGATCCTGAGACGCGTCCGTCGATCCGCCAAATGATGAGGGACTCGTACTTTATCCCGTCTGGACGTGAGCAGGATGTGGAGGAGTACTGGGGGAAGATCGAGCGTGGCGATAATCCCGCATTCTATCCCCCACCCAAAATCGTCGCCCCCAAAACAAGCAAGCTGGACCTCTTCTTCAGGACGCCGGAGCGTGAGCCGCCTCAAGCCCCCGAGGTTGGATTCGATCCCACATATCCTGCATATCACTACGAATGTGACGAGTCGCTTCTGATCCTGGATGAGAACGTGTACGGGAGACTTGCAGTGGTGGAAGTCTGATATTTTTGTCTCACTCCCATATCATTTGTACGATGGACTTTGTTGTACCCGTACTATACCCTCGTTGTACCACATTCTTTGTGATGATCATCCATTTGACCGACAAGAGTACTTATCGCATACTGACGAGGGCCATAAGCACAGTAAATGTCAAAAGCAAAGGTCATTATGACGTATCATTCAATATACTATACATCGCTATCTGCACCAGTCGTTATACCGTCCACTTAAGCGTGAAGAAACCCGATCTTCTTCCAGAAGTCAACATACAATGCCACGTCCTCTGCACCCACTGGCGACATCTTCGCCAGTGTGGGCGAAACCTTGCATGCGCGCGTCGTGGAGATGGAAGCGCCCTCCCCGAAGTTACCCTCCTGGAAGAACTGCGCCAGCGCGAACGGCTGGGTGTCTTCGGAGCTCGTGTTCCTCTCGGCCGCCGCAGTAACTCGAGCGGCCCACTCCTCGTACTTGATCAGAGGTAAGTTAAGGCGTTCAGCGAAGGCGCCGAAAACGGTCTGCCAATCGGATGCGACGGGCGCAACGAGGTTGAAGCAGGGCTCCTCTGAGCGAGTCATGTCGATAAGCGCCGTGGCAGCGATGTCGACGGGCACCCAGGTGACAGGCTCATCGCGCATGGGAAGTGCTTGCACGATTTGACCGAGCCGGGCAATAGCGCCGACCCACTCCTGTTTGTTCCAGCCTCCTACGCGGGTGTCGCCAGACATTTGTCCAACGCGTACGGCGGCGGAGCGCAGACCGACCGCATCTCGCGCACGAAGCAAGAGCGTCTCTGCGACCCATTTGCTCTCGGCATAGCCGAAGCCGGCAGAGATGCGAGCGTCCACGATGGGCTCTTCCAGAGCGGGTCGATCCGAGGGCGTACCTGGTCAGTGGTAAGAGGTGGAAAGGATACGAGAGGTTGTGAAAGACGTACTAAGGAGCACAGAGATAGAACTCACGAAGAGCAGGCGCGCTCCGCCGGGAACCGGCGAGTTACTTGCCAGTTCGATGAGGCGACGTAGGCCGGCGATAAGGGGCTCAAAACCGGAGAGTGCAACGTTGAAGTCAACGCGCCAGGCTGTTGGAGATTGAGCATGGCCGTTGCGAGACTACGCTTGAAGGCATGACGCACCGTTGTGAATGATTGTAGTGACCTGACTCTCAATCGCGGCGTAGGTATCGGCGTCCAGTCCCAAACGTTCAGCTGCATAGTTGCTGGCGAATAGAGCGAGCTTCTCGCTCTGGAGAAGAGTAGGATCGAGCTCCCAGGTTTCAAAGGCGTAGCGCATGCGCTCACGCAGGGCTTCAGGAGACGCGTCTCCACTTGACGCTCGGTTAAGAGCGTAGACGCGGTGGACTCTCGGGTCCTGGATGAGCTGGGCGAGAAGATGGCACCCTAGTCGGCCGGTCGTCCCGGTGACAACCACGGTCTCTTGCTCGGGTAACGGTCCACCGGCCTGAACGCGGGGAGGCGGGAAATCGACGCTGTACTTTGCGACCATAGCTTCCATCGCATGGACCTTTTGCTCCAGGATGGCTTCGGCGTCCGGCTCGAGATCGCGACCAGTCACGAGCGCGAAGACGAAGTCGCTGAGGGCACGTATAGAGGAATGCTGGTACACCAGGGTCTGAGGAACCTTGCGCGATGGATCGACGTCCGACACGGATGGGGTGGTGCGAAGAGCACGGATGATGTTGTTGCGAATGGTCGATGCCGCAAGACTAGGCAATCGGTCAGTTGCAGTATATGGACTCTTAGTATGCGCGTACCTGTCACATCCGAGAGAGAACAGTTCGTCATTCTCCGATACCTTCTGACTCAAGGCCATCTCCACTACAGCATGGACGAACGCGAGCGTCGTCTCAGGAGTCCAAGTGGCAGGTCGTTGCGGGCCATCGTGAGAAGACTCGGCTGCCTTGTAGATGGCCTCTATCTCGTCCTCGTACTTGGCAAGGCTGACATTACGTCTCACAGTGCCTTTGGCCGTCCATTCCAGTGGTTTCTCGGGGCTTGTGACAAGAATCATCTTGAAAGCGATGTAAGAATAAGAGACATCCAGCAACGCTATTGCGACCACTTGCCTCCTTAAGGACGCGAGAGTGTGCGGGCGCGTACTCGTTCATGCGACATATAGTAGGCCAAATCGCATCGCGAAACGCTTGAACCTTTTCGAGATCGTTCGAGTCAAAGGGCGTCGCTGGCTGGACTATGACGCCGTTGTTGAAACGACCTCGCCCAAAGAAGACTGCTAGGGAGACTTGCGGGTCTCGCAAGAGAATCCTCTCTGGAGCGACGTGAGTCGATCGTGAAAATGGACAAGATTTATGCCCAGAACTCACCTAATGGAACTGGATTGGTCTTCTCTCCCGTTGACAGCATAATCTGCTCGTCGGCGCGACCAAAGATCTTGTAGATGCCCTTGTACAATGGGTGCTCTTGGACAAGATCGCCGGTCGCAAAACCAGGTTTGCCGTTGACGGTGGTGTTGATGACGTTAGGGCTGAAGTGCTCTCCGACCTATGCATTCTATGAGCAACGGCATAGCCTACACAGTTGGCAAGACTTACCATGGCCACAGGCTCCAACAGCCCATCCTGGCCGTCGTACGGGACTAACTCGACGGGGATGTGATCAGGGTGAGGAAGACGGAAGTAGTCCCATTCAGCGGGGCGCGATGTTTCAAGCCCTATACTAACCATTGGGCCAACCTCCGTTCTAGAATGTTCCCCATTAACACCAGTGCGAACAGCTTGAAAGAAAGAGTACTCGCATCCCATAGCCTACATCAAGACCGATGCCTTGTGCTTGAAGCGCATCGCCGACCTGCTTGTTCAACGGACCTCCACCAAACACGATGCGCTCAACATGGCGCTTGAGTAGTTCGAGGTTCGCTGGATCGTGCGACCATGCCTGAAGGATGGAGATAAGTTTCGCTATGGGCGCACATCAACTGACAGGGCCGACCTCAATGTGCGCTGGAACAGTCATGATCCGTTTCGACTTCGTTTCGACGACATCGCGTAGGAAAGACGATGGATTGGCTAGTACCGGTGGGCGCACAGGCTTGTAGACCGCGAGTTCAAGGCCGCAGTAGACGGCCCAGGTGAGAATCATCGTTCCCATGGCGTGGAACATCGGTACTGCCTGAGAACCCCAGCGAGTACCGCATACATCGACTTCACCATAGTCTACACGCATTCTCATTAGCGACGAGAATCGAGACATAAGGAGACACTCACAGAAAACGATGCCCCAGGACCTAAAGTTGTGGTTGTTGACCTGAATGGGTTTCGGAAACGCGCTCGTGCCACTTGAGTGCAGGACGAGCGCGAGAGCGTCCGCAGACAGGGGCGCAATACGAGAATCCTCGAGGGTCGGACACGGCGGTGTCGTTGAGCCGTACAAGACTTCGAAGCGGGGTAAATCAAGCAGACCAATCTCGTAGCCGTCCTTCGCCAGGAGGTCAACGGTCTCGGATGCGAGAGCGCGCATGGCGGCATCCTCGCTCAAGAAGACCTGACGTACGCCTGTCGTGCGAATCAAGTGGGCAATTGCGGCCGCTGAATTGCGCGTAGAGATAGGGAACGGTATAGCGCCGGTCTGCTGGATACCGAAGAGCACGGTCGCGTAGGTCACGGTATCTGTTCGCCCGAATTAGTCCGGGAAACTATCAGAGCGCAGCAGTGACTGACCCGCGCTCGCGAGAATGCCGAAGACGGGACGTGCGACATCACTGGGATAGAGCTCTTTGCCGGCTTCGAAAGCGGCCTTGACGATACTTGCGGCAACCTTCTGCGCGCGGAATGCCGTGGCATAGTCGATGGACTTGATGATGCCATCCTCGGAGTAAACAAACAGTTTATGCGTGGCGCTATGCTCGGCGTGAAAGGCTAGAATCTCGGCAAAGGTGAGGTTCCTGTCAAGAGGCGGGGTCGTGAAGGTCGTGCTATGAGCGCCCTGTATTGAGGGAAAGCTTGGTCGGGAGACAGTAGGGGACATATTGTGCTGTGTAGATGGTTGAAGCAGGATTCATGCTGGGACTTTTATACCTAACCCATGGCAGCTGCCGTTGCCTAGTACAGAACGACTGTCGGGGTTGAGTGACGATAGCCGACTGATTGCGAAAACTGAAACCCACCTTACACGGCGGACCGGAGTCTTCTCGTTATTCCATTCAGCCGTCGGTACGTGTCAGTAGTTGGGCGTCCACAGTTCCTCACGGGGTTCGGAAACTTGGACAAAGTTGCTTAGATTCGCACGCATCGGGACACGAATCCCCTATTCAGTAGCACTATACATCACAAGCATCCAAAACCAATGAACGATTCGAGACCGAATGGCCAGTAAGTACGCGTGAAGGATAAAGTAAATCTAGTCCGAAGTCAGCCTGGAGCCCGGGGTCCCGGAGATAATGCAACGTACGTTGACATTGCTATAGACACCCGAGCAGTCGGAATTCATTGAACACACGCGTGTACTACTTGCGTATAGAGTGTTCAAAAGAGTACAGTCTCGCCCAAAGCTGGAACAAGGAATTCGTCATCACGTACTCCCGCACGCTCGCACTCTTTACGCAGGAGTTGCGGAGGCTCAAGTACAGGCTCAGTCGTCAGCACCCAAGTCCTATAGCATCATCGTTAGCCCAAGATAGAACACGGTAGCACTGAAGATCCGCACCCCCAGTGCATCGCTAATGCCTTCTTTGCCCGAACGTCCCGCATCATGCGTACTGCGTCTGAGGGAGACGCGTGTAAGTTGCTCCACATCCAGCGCGGCGAATATGCGCCGATAGGCAGAAGCGCAACATCGACGCCGCCGAAGCGCTCCCCGACCTCTGCGAATGCGGGGCAGACGGGGACCTTGTCCTCATCCTCGCCGTTGCGTACGGTCCGATATCCTGTGTCGCCAGCGAAGTATACAGTCTTGCCGACAGTGTCCTTTTCCGGCTCCGGCAGCTCTTCGATGACCCAGGCGGCCCATAGTGATGCCCAACGATCAAACCCAGTACGTCCTCCAACATGTTGTGAAGGGACAGCCGTAACGCGGACACGTGAGTTGGTGCCGCCCAGCGGGATCGTCATGACGCGTTCATCCCACCATTCTAGCTCGTGTACCCTCTCGGCGGGAAGTTTGAGTGCGTTTCTATGTAGTTCGCCGCAATTCAGTCCAACGAAGACGTGCGCGTCGCACTCAGGGTTCGCCAGCAATGCCTTCAAGGTCGGTATATCAGTGCTTCAAAAGGGCATCAGTTATAGCGCGCAATGGGAGGATGCATACAACGTACTGATCATAATGGTCGTGCTACAAGGAGGCTCAGCCAGCTGTATGACGAATTAAGCCAGAAAGAAACTCACTGAGAGGACAATCGCATCGACTACCGGGACATCCTCGATCTTGCAAGGAGTATCTAACCCTTTACTTAGACGCCGTAGGCAGGGATCATGAGTGGATATACATACCAGTATAGCGGGCTGGGCCAATCCATTGGTTTGGCGAGCACCGCTTGGAGAATACGGGATCGAATATGATTCGTGGACCACGTGTAGCACCGGGAGGCGTGGGCAGCTCCAGCAGATACGAGGCATGACTGAAAGGTATCAATAGTCAGTGACGAAGTCCTAGGCAAGGATTCGCGCGCGCACGTACCCAAGCCAGGTCAGCTTCCCGTCAGTAGGTTTGTCCGTTCCCCAGGTAGGCGTTTGTGATGGGATCTTAGTCTTGATATCTGGTCCAGGGCGTGGCCCCTGAGTAGCGCCTGCATAGAAGCCCTTTGGGAGTTGTGAGTAATTGACTACTGCGACCACTGCTATGAGTCTTAACGTACCTTGAACCAGTCGCTCGTCTGTTGGTAGCTTTATTCCGGAATCAATAACCGCATCCGCCGTTCCACCATCATTGCACTAACCGGAAGGACGGCCAAGGAGGATAGAACTTCGTTGCTGTTCCGTTCAAATGATGGGCAGGACGCGCTCCATTCTCTGACAACGATGGCCAGCGCCGTGGAGGCTCGACGACAGATATCGGAGTGGATGTAGATTTAGCCATGGGTGCAGTGCTATGTTGTTGTCGTTGTGCGCGTCGAGGTCGAATGAGATGGCGGAAGATGGAAAGACGCATTCGCCCTTTTACCAAGACTTGGCTGTGGCGCTGCTACTAGCGCTTATGACTTTGATGCTAGAACGCGCGGCGGTTCGGCCTTCCTGGTCGAAGAGTCTTGAGCCACTTCAGTTCGGAATGAATCCCCGCGGGAATACCGTACCATCGTCACACTGTACAGTCACGCCCACGCGACGCGTATGCTCTTCAGTGTCGTAGAGTCCTCCAGTAGGCCGCTCTTGCATAGCTCGCCTCGTCCACATAGTATACTGAGTGCCATCGTCGCGTTGACTAAGTGCCGACGAGGGAGACCGTAGACGAGAGCTCAACTGCCAGGCACCCGACGGAGGGTTTCCGGACCGTGATCCGAAGTGAACGACCCGTGCGTTGATCAGTTTTGGTTGAAGAACTTCGTGGCCTGTGTCTGGTCTGTGCATTGCGACCTGCTTGTGAGACATCCGAAGAGATTCTACAGGCTGAGCGTGCTTCACTCTGAAGACGGAGTGCGGTGGTGTGGCACGGGCGCCTTGCAGCGAGCCAACAGCTTCCCCACCGCCCTGGGGCGATTGATGCTGATTGATAACCTGAACACTATGCACTACGGTTCCCTATGCGCGCCTCTTCATGTCAAACCTGTTCGGCATAGAGCTCAGCTGTACATGTGATGCGGTTACGCATACCCTCGTGGAAGAGGAGCCGCTGCTCAGGTATTTCGTGGGTCAAGCCATCTTGATCAAGCTGTAGCATAACCCGCAACACCACTGTAACTTTCCCTGTGTCTAGTTTAACACTTTCGCAAAGCTCTTGCTGCATGAAGACAACCTGTTTCAGTACCTGTCTTCTAAAGAGACTCGCTTGTTGCTATGCGCGCTTCATTATCACCGCCACCTCACCACCTCGCGCCACTCCATCGACGTCACGCCCTGGCGAAGCCACATATATGCACCCTCACCTCTTTACCGGCTGGCCCATCTCAACACCCCACTCTGACCGTCACCTCACACATATACCAACTCGACACTTCGCACAATGTCTGGAATCTTCAACGCGCTCGGTGACACTTTGACCAGCGTTGGAACCGCCGCGGGGTCGGGCGTCTCTTCCACAGGCACTGCTGTCGGCTCGGGAGTCGCAGGGACGGGCCAGGGCTTGAGCGATCTCAGCCAGGGGACCGACCAGAAGGTGATGCGCGAGGCAGGACGCGGTGGTGACCAGCTCGTCAGGTTCGTGGATGAACTATCTGCTCTCCCGATCCTGAGACTGACGATAATCGCAGCGGAGTGGCGCAGGGCCTCGGACAAGGTCTGGGTGCCGTCGGCTCTGGACTTGGTACAGGTCTGAAGAGCCTTGGGAAGGGCGTAAACGACACTACCGGTCTATGATTGAAAGGTGCCGCTGCAGCTCGTTTGGTTACAGCCCAGAGTACTAACAGAATAGCAGGATATCCTGCATAACATATAGAAGTTTATCTCGGGAGATCGTGTACCCTCACTGTACCATACCAACGATGCTCTTTGTCTTGATCGCCCATTATTTAAGCAGATAGAACGCTCTGACTTGTATACTCAACTTGAGCTGGCACCAGAACAGTGAGATCACTGCAGAAGGTTATGACCGGGAAGGCTCTATTCATTTCCTGCATTATCAAAGCAATGCGTGCGTGCGTGCGCAGATACGTGGGACTCGTACAACGAACAAAACATCATGCGGGAGGCGTAGGACGGGGTACGGGGGAATCGACGGAGGGATATCATGAACTAGGTCGTGGATGCGAATGTGCTGACATGGACGGGACACGGGGGATTGATGGACACTATGATACAGCTGCCGGAGTCCGAGGTGGAAGTAAGGCAGGGATGACAACGATGCAGGAGGTATGGGGAACAAGACGGACGGACAGACAGATGTGACTTGTGCGATTACAGATCGTGAAAAGACAAGATTTACTCGCCCATGGCAGCCGTGGAGGCTTGCATGACGATCAACGCGGCGCGCACATCAGTGACAACGAACGCGCTCGCGACATCGCCGATCGTCTTGCGCACGTCGCTCGTGAGGTGCTCGCCACGCTCGTCGCTGAGCTCCTTGAGCTCCGAATGATGGTCCTCGACTGCCAACCGACGCGAGCGACCAAGGACGACGAGAAGGTGCGCGTCGCCCTTAGCGCCGTTCACCGCGCCATGTGAGACGACAGCGTGTAGAGGGACAGGCGTCGCGAGATCCTGTAACTCAATGCGCGACAGAGCACCAGCCACCTGGGGCTCCAGACCCTCGCCATTGCGGGCCGCGGGCACCGAGTACCGCTCCCAGGCAATCGTATCCGCCGTCTCGGACTGCAGGACCATCTGCGTCGTGTGCGCGCCATACACGGTGTCGGGGAATTGCGTGTTCTGGCTCATCGCGGTGTGCTCGTTCATGTCGCGTGCCTTCAAGTGGCTCTCGCCGCTTCCGGACAAATGCGCTGATGATGGCTCCTCCGGGTGAAGGGGCTGCACATCGCGCTTCACCACTCGCACGATTGTTGCAGTGACATTCGGGTTGGCGCATAGTTGCACGACGAAGTCAAGCGCGAGACGATCATCCGGTCCACCAAAGAAGGGGAAGAAGATGTGGTGTGTAGTCGAAGGCGCGGGTGCGATGTCCATAGAGTTGGAGCTCCTGTCGACAAAGAGCGCGACGTCCGTTCCCGCCTTTGCGAATACGCTGCGCACGAAGTGCGAGTGCGAAACGTTAGCGGAGCGCTCGGTCTGTGCGGAGCGGAAGAGAGCGTCAAATGGATTGTGCGCCTTGGGCGTGTCGTGTGCGCTTGGTGTCGAAGCGTTATGCTCGCGTTCGGCGGCCGCCTGGTGGATACCGTGCGGGGGTAGCCAAGGTATCAAGACGAGGTGCGAGCCCACGGACTGCGCATGCTCCGCCACACTCTCCGCGAGGTCGTCGTACGGGACGATGCGCAAGCTTGAAGTGACCGGAAGTCCGTTGAGAGAGCCAAACATGCGGAAGATGTTCAAGAGCGGATCGGTGTGTACGAGCGAGTCGGCGACGGAAGCCTTCATGACCTCGGAAGTACGGCTGAGCTCGATGAGACGAAGCGCGTCCAAAACGGGTCCACGGCGAACAGTGCGGTTCGGGATCAAGACTTCGCGCGCCTTGCCATTCGACGGTGTAGGACTCTTCTCGCCGCTGGTTCCGGATGTGAGGGTGCTGTCGGAGTCGGCCGCGGGGTTGTGGATGATCTGAGAGAAGGCCATCATTCCAGGCAGATGTTCGATCTTGTCCAGAACGACTGTGAAGCGGCGCTTCCATCCCAAGCCCTCGACGCTCGACGTGCCGCTCTCGCGCCTTGAGATGGCCGGAGTCTCGCCCGCGACATTGTTGAAGTTCGGGCCGGTGGCACTGACGCGAACGCGATGCTCTTGAGGGTAGAGGTACATGACCAGAGGCGTGGTCATGCACGTAAGCGTGACAGCTTCCAAGACGAACATGGAGAAAACACGCTACACCAGCCAGTCAGTCAGTGAAGCAAAATCACGAGTTAGCGAACAGCATACCTGCGTCAGAATGCCGGCAGTAAGGCCAACGTTCAACACGATAAGCTCGATGAGACTACGACGGAGATTAACGCCAGATCTGATAGTAGCCTGCGCATGACATACCCTTTGCAACTCATCAGCGCACCGATGGTCGAAGACTCGCGCCACCCAAAGCCAACGCAGCGCGCGGCAATAGTGCACCCGCCGAACTTCCCGACGAAGGCCAAGCTGCAGATCGCCACGATGTATCCCCAGATCAGACCCGTATCGAGCAGCCGTAAGTTGGTGGAGAGACCGGAGAGGGTGAAGTACTGTAGAGATGTCAGGTCAGCATGGTCGTGGAGCAACGAACATGTAAACGGTGGTTCTCACCAGTGGCAAGAATATGATGCCGACCATATCCTCGAGCTTCTCCGTAAGAGCGATGGTCAATCCGCCCTCGCGCGGCACGACTAATCCGGTCAAGAAGGCACCGAAGATTGCATGTACACCGATGACGTCCGTAAAGAACGCCGAGCCGAAGAGCGTCAGGATCGTGATGGTCATGAAGAAGATCGTCGGCCCGTTCTCCAAAGACCCCGTCTTGCGAGCCAGGATGGCGAAGATCCAGCGGACGGGGAAGAGCATGACGAGTGTCCAGGCGACACAGACCAAAAGGACGTAGAGTGCCGTGAGACCGGATCCTGCGTTGACGAGCGCGACGGAGAGCGCGAGCAGAACCCAACCGACGATATCGTTACCGACGCCGGCGGAAAGGACAACCACACCGACAGTGGTATCGAGAAGCTTGAGCTCCGTGAGGATACGACACAACACCGGGAACGCCGTGATGCAGAACGCGACACCCGTGAAGAGCATGAAGTGCGTGTATTCGACATCACTGCCAATGTATTCGTTGTAGAGTGGCACCGCGATAGCTGCTCCGAGGCCAAACGGTAGTGAGATACCGGCAATGGCGATGGCGATTGAGTAGCGTGCATTTTGCTTGATAGTCGCCGTCTCGATTTCGAGGCCGACGAGGAAGAGGAATAGACAAAGACCGATGTTGGCGACGAGCGAGAGGAACGGAAGGCCATCCTCCGGGAAAATATGTTGGCTAAAGCCAGGGATAGCGCCGAAAGCAGTGGGACCTATATTCGAGTCAGTCGCGAGTACTGTATATGTAGATGATGTCGCTCACCGAGGATGATACCGCCGAGGACCTCGGCAATGACCTTGGGTTGCCTGAGTCTGCGAAGGACAACCGCGAGAAGTTGGGTCGTGATGATAATGATGCCTGATCCGCGGGTCAGCAACTGCCGTATTGAATACCAGATACGATAGCCAGGGCCCGCGCGCGAATCCTCAGCGCCTATGCACTGACAGGCGGGTACCACGGGCTCATTGCGCAGATGAATTGCGCGAAAAATGGGGTGGTTCCGTTGCGCCGCCACGTTCGAATGGCAACAACCCCTAATTGTGGCGAATGAACGTGTACTCACCGACTTGGATAATCCAGAGGCGGAGGGGGTCCGCACTGTTGAACGCCGTTGGGTCTTTACCCGACAACAAACCGCCCTGTGGAGGTCCGGATGAGTACCGAGCTGAGCGGTAGACCTGTGAGACCAGTGGCGCACCTGTTCCGCGGCGGCGCGGGGGAGCAGCGCTCTGCCTACGCGCATCGCGTTTGTCGAAAAGTCTCCGGGCATGATGGTGGGGGGAAACAAGGAGCGAAGGAGTAGAAGAAGGAGGTAGGGATGTTATCGACGTCCAGGGTATTAGCGTGGCGCGCTGGCCTTCTTCTTCGAGGGCACTGGCGGGTTGTGGAGAGCGGAAGCTCGGAGCGATCAATTGTTGCGCGTCACGCTCAACTTTATACTTCCCCGTTCACGCCTGTCACGCAGCATGTTGGCAGGGTCGCGGGGCTCTAACCCTGACTGTGAGGAACCCGATGTGCTTCGCCAAGGAATAGGCTATCGCTGCAGCCCTGGCTCGTCTCTACCGACGACCCTTGCTTGCGGCCTGTACAAGAAGCTATAATTGAAAGATATAGCGCCTGCAGGCTGTAACAGACGTCATCGCGTAACTTCGGACCCACCGAGCCACACGGGCACCAACGCGCCACCGCCGGGTTCGTGCTCGCGAGTCGCAGTTGAGTTATCTATACCCACGCGTAGCATCACATCTTCCATTGCACTCAGATGGGACATTGATAATGGGATCTCCGCCGGGCTCTCGTACGACTTGGCCCATACTCGAGGTCGGGCAAGCGCTCTCGCGCCACCCGGGCTGAGCTCAGCGCAATAGTCAGCAAAGTTGCTAGTCTTTCTACTGTTCGGCCTGAGTATATGCAAGCCTTATGGGCCCGGGAGAGAATGTATTGCGCACGACTCGTAGGAGAGCTGTTCCTCCGACGTCTCCAGGTGCTTGAACATGGGAACAATGCGAGTTGCGCCCAGACTTTTGGACTTGAAAACATCGGGCCAATCGTGCAGGGTCTGCCTGAACAAAGATAAATTTGCTCAGCGCCCTACCACAACCATACTACGCTCGGCATGCATGATCAGAATTCGGATCGCAACAGTACACCAGCGTGAGTAGCTATGTGACCCTCAACTCGCTCAAAAGCTGGCAGGCGGGTTGCTCCCTGCGATATTTGCTGTTTGGCCAATGGAGTCAAGACCAATCATAGTCTTCGCGCTACGGTCCATTGGGATAGTGTAGACCCAATCGCGCGCTAGGGTGAAACTGTGCAACCCTGTAAACGAAAGACCCGAAGCATTCCGTCGCGAGCGCTCATACCTACACTGAACGGAGCTAGATGGGCATGTGTCCTCGAGCGTGCCTTGCGCGCGACCGAAAAGACATCGAAGAACGACGCTGTGCTATGAACACTCGCCGAGGAAATCTGTTCATAGATCGTGGCAGGGGGTCACAGCGCAGGGTCGAGGTGATCTCTGAAAGCGCGCGCTCCAAGCCGGTGGCACGCGTCCTATAGGTGTACAGAGAAGATCAGCTAGGTAAAGCGTGCAGGTCACAAGGATCCAGTGGAGATTGCACAATCGGGCAACCGCTCAGCGGGGCCCGTGGCTAGTGGTAAGAAGACGAGATGCCGGTTGGCGCAATGTTCATAAAGACTCGGCAGAAGGTAGTAATGGGCGGAAATGGACAGAAAGAAGTACAGGAAGTGACAACATTGAGGCATACAGGAGGGGGTACATCTGGGTATCAAGAGAAACATGCACACGCTGCGTGCGGCTCAGAGTCTTGCGGCCGTGGAACGAAATGCGATATCGTACAGAATGCATGAGGGGTCTCGGAGTCCGAACAGTGGAAGCGAGAAATATGGTGGGAGGAAGAGAAGAGAGACGTAGTCGTTTGTGCATGGCGCGTAATCGGTTACAATGCGAGTTGAGGATGGAGGGGATCTAGACTTCGCCCGGGCGTACACAGATACGCCGGTGCTCGTCCCAGTCGTTATGTTGGCATTTAATAGAGCAATACTAGTTTCATCGAACGTAAGAAAAGGCGAGTGGCACGTGGAGAGAAGGCGGCACACCTTCACGAGTTTGCACTTGCTGCAGACTTGCCCTCGTACTCCTTGCGGAGCATCCACGGAGTCCGCGCTGGATCGAGAGCTCTCACTGCCCTCCGGTATATCGTCGATGAAGCTGACACCGCAGTCGATCCAATTGCACATCTCTTGCGGCCGTACGCGCTTGAACGGACCCGAGCGACCTCTTTTCAGCGGCAACACGGCGGCACCCTCCAATCCACGACGCGGGAAGCGTATCATCTCGCAATCCTCCGTACACGCCGGATTCGGGCATCCAGACGGAAAGTCGAAGTATATCTCCTCGGCGGGCACGAACAGGGGATGTGCGAAGAAGATCTGGGAGAACGAGGTGGTCTGATGGCTGAAGAGTATGATGAACGGCGGACGCCTCTCGGCCAAGATCGCGCGAAACGCGAGATCAATCTGCGGGAAGCATGGCGTGCGTCGCTGGTGTTCGAGCGTGTGCTTCAGTTTGACGTCTGCAAAACGGATGGGGGTCGGACGTTTGGCGCTGGGATGGACAGAGTTATAGGAGGTCGCGCTCACGCTGCTGGTAGATCTCCCGCTCGAGGCTGGCCTTGACTGGTGCGTCGCCGAACGTGTGTTGACATACGAGCTGGAAGTATTTGGTGGCCGCGTCCATCTCGGTGCGCTTCATGTCGGTCACGATGATGTAGATGTCGTCGCAGCCGTGATCGTGCATGCCTCTCAGGAGCATGAGTTCGGGCAACTGGTCACAATTAATAGATTACAAGGCGTTTTTAAGATCGTCACGCACCATGGTAAAGACTACAGGCATCATAGAGAGCTTTCGATCCTGCATAGAGCGATGGTGGTAGACATGGGTGGTCCAGGTGCGATCAAGCGGAATAAGGCGCCCGGTGTCGACAGTACGCAGAAATATATTCTCTGGCACAAAATCGCCCTTGTTCCAGATCAAGACCTGCTCTCCGCGCTGTGGCTGCATCTGCAACGCGCTATGCCGCCTCTCGCGGACGCGCAAAAACCAGTCCCAGTACGACTGGTTGTGATGCTCCAGCCATTTGTCGATCAGCACGTCCGTCGCGTCCGGGTCCAGCGTTTTGCAGACGAGCTCGGACTCTGCCATCGACAGCGACGGGCGCTTGGTTGGCGAGTAGTGGGCCGGCTTCTTGGGACCGGGCATGGTGAGGCAGGAGAAAGAGTGCACAGGCACGCGACGCGGTCACGCTCTCCGCTTATAGTGATTACATAACCCACCGCCTCGGTCGCAGCCAGTTCGTTTTGGCCCGCCGCGGCGGAGCCGAGCGCACCACAAAGGCTTGCTCCTGACCGCCATCCTATTGCCCAAACACAATTCAAGCGTCTTACATAGCCCGAGACTCCCGAACGCTGCGAAGCCGAAGCAATAATGCCAACAATAATTCCCGACTGCGAATCCAGGCTTGGGCAGTGCCTTCGCAGGTATGACAACTTGGCCGCCTGAGAAAGCATTGCGCCAAAGGAATGGACTAATGGCCTTGTCTATATCCCATCTCCTCTTGTCCTCCCAGGGTTTTGTATCCACTACGGCGGTGGCGCATTCTTATTCTATTGTTCGTCATTGACATAAAGGCCTCTCTGACCAGACTACTAGTCCCTCAAAACCACAATCTGATGACACTCGTTCCTGAAGACAATGATATTCTGCGGGATGCTCATGGTCTCCACCGCGATACAGATAGCGAGCATCTGGCCGCCTGGAGCATGTTCTGGGGGAAGGAGATCGAAGTGGAGGAGCAGGTGTTGTGGACCCAGTGGCGGGATGGTGCGCTTTCCTGATACACAGTTCCCGATTAATTTTGACTCCCTGGAGTAGATCTCGATGGTGACGCTGAGCGCGCTGTCAATGGTCTGAGCGACTTGGCCTGCGCCGTCGGCGTACTTGACGAGTCCGATAGCGGGGGCTGGCCTCCGTGCAGATTCATCAAAACACCGTGGAAGACGACGCTGGCAGCCACTCGCGGCTGCATTATGACTACGGAAGACTACACACGCATAGATCAGTCCGCGAATGGAAGCCTCGACCACCAGCGCAGAAGGGGCACCGTCACCATCACAGGGCAGAGTGGATGTGGTGAGCTCTGGTCTACATCGCTTTCGATGCGTCATTAAACCTGTTCAGGTAGAACATATCTAGCCCACTATATGCTGGCTCGTGCGCTATCGCGTCGTCAAAGCACCTTATTCTACTGCAGAGGACGCGTAACGTTCTTCCACAACCTTGGCGTCTTCAGCGGCAGTGATTTCAGACCTGGCTACGACGGTTTTCGATTTTGGGAGATGAGGGAAGACTACCCTCGCTTGATCGTCGACGTCGATCGAGAGAATGATCAGTCCAAACTGCTGATGTCTGGAATGCTGGACGATGGGTTCATGACCGTTCGGCTTCACGCCTCTCGGTCCCACTCCAGAGCCTATTTAGAATCGCAGGAACTCGAACTGAGCTATGGCAGGTTGCACTGGACGTCCTCTCCCCTCGCTACGTGGTACTCGCGTGAGTCAACCCTTCGAACTTGAGGACTTTGGTCACGAGGCTGATGTTTGACATTCTTGTAGGGCGATGCTTCAGGACTGCGCAAATGCTACCACGCCCTGCCTGAGAGCACTCCTGGCATGCTTACATGTAGCGGGCCCGCACCTTCGATCTTGTTATACCTTCAATCCGGCCGCTATGCGTTCTTCTTTGAACCATTACATTGCGTCGTTCGATGCGAAAACGTTACAAGACGCCTGCGTTTGGTCACGGCTTCTTTTCCTCGGGTTCGCAGCAAACTTTATGGCACGGGATGGGGACGGCCCCGATATTTTTTCCCACAGACGGGACATAGCATGCGAAGTTGACGTCTGTCGATCCGTCTTAGCGTCGCGCTGGATTGTAGGCGAGGTTTTTCACATACATGGATATCCAGGCCTGCGGGCCATCGCGAACATGGACGTTGTCTATGATCATACTCTGACCAGTTATCCACATACGAGGTCGTGGCTCTTTGAATATCTATGCCATGCCATGCTGCTTGCTGGAACAGAACAATACATCTCTCGGCTTCAGCTAGTGCAACACTTCCCTTCCGGCGCCCCAAGACGTAGGGGTGCGCTGACGCTCTCCGACCTTTGTACACCTCAACGTGGCTTGAAGTTCCTCGATAGCCGGTGCCCCCCTGCCTTCGATCCCGCTTCATACCATCTCGTTGAGACCCTCCCGGACGATACGTTCCATGCCGTGATACATGCCAGCCATGGTGGAACTTCATCAAGGCGTCATGCTCCCACGGCGTCTATCCTACCCGAGCACCAACGGACGTTGCGCCCTCGAAAGCGAGTCGCGGAGATACAGCCCAACCGATCGCGGACAAACCGACGTCGACTTCGGGCGGAGAAACGGCTCATCGTCTTCGTCCAGAGCGCCTTCGAACGCCCTCCTACCTTCACAGACGACGGACTTCGACGCGTCGATGCCATCATGCGTGCAGATCCCACGGCCGAGTACTTCTTCGTGTTCGTAACGGGAAAGTATGCGTCTCTTGATCTCAGTGCAGTGCCTTCGGCGCTCGTGAAGCGCGTCAAGTGGTATCAGCTCACGCTTGACTTCAACATGTACGAGCGCCATTCTATCTCTAAACCCTCTCCTCCCACATCTCCTGCGCCATTCCTACCATATTCGCCGGAATGGTAGTTGGACATCTAGCTGATCCCGGATCAAGCTTGTGCCAGTATAAGTCTCAATACGTACAACGTTGTGGTACATACGGCTGTTTCCTGTACTGGCAAACCAGGCTTAATGAATACATAGATCAGATTTCCTGAGCACGCTAGGATTAGGGTTGCGATCATCATGTAATGAACATCACGTCAATCGAAACGCGGATGCCCGTGCAGTGGTATATTAGCGGCCATTCCAGTACACTCCATAATATCTGTTGCCGCAGGAAGGAATCTGTGGTGTCAATGAGCCTCCAGTATCCCTAGCTGGGCTGCGGCTCGCATTCGAGTTCGGTTCCGGATCCGTCAGCAAGGCACGCAACGCCGACGCCGATGCCCGCGGCACCGTTACACCTGTGTTCGCCGCTCGCGACCGCCACTTAGCATATCACCAACACCCACGTCGGTGGACACTGGGGACAATCCCGATAAAATGACTGTCCCAGAGTACCTTGGTACTGGACATATTCTCGAATGGACATTGTCGCGCAACTGCACCTGTCCCCGCCCACACCAGTCGCGACCCGACGCAGTAGACCGAGGCTCGCATATGCGATATTCTCTCCCTCTGCCGTTTGTTCCCTTTCAGTCTAGTGTGCTTTGGCTCACATGACGGTTCCGGTGGCGCACTATACTATTGTCCTCGTCTTGAGACAAGAGCTATCAGTGACGTGTAGACGTCCTCATTCAAACTTCATCAGCTCATCTACGATCAGTCTACCATGTCACCCCGTCTTGAAGAGAGGGAGGCTACGTTGATAGGATTCGGCCTCGCGCGTGTCACAGAGGGCGAGCACACAGACGCGTGGAAGGATTTGTGGGGGGAGGAAGTGAGGTTACAAGAGCAGCCGGTATGGAAAGAGTGGTCGGATGGTGCGTGCAATTATATCTGGAGACTGCTATCTTGCACTGAAATCCATACCAGCCCTCAAGCCTCATAAGCGCAATGCCTCGATCACGGATCTGGCCCTGGCCACTGGTGTGCTCGAAAGCTCCCACGACGAGCTGTCATCGTGCAGGTTTCTGGACACTCCTTGGAGAGATGCTTTGACAGCTACCTACGGCCGGATCCTGGTCACGGCAGACTATCAACGCCTTCAGAGCAGTATCGTGGACTTGAGCCAGACTGCAGGCCGTGACGATGTAGTCGTAGGCGGGCAAAGCGGCTCGGGTGAGTGTCACCACGTATACGCACGCAATTTGCTCCCTAAACTTGACATGCTCTTCCAGGTAGAACTTACCTGGCTTATTACCTGCTTGCCCTTGCCCTAGCTCGTCAGCAGAATGTCGTATTCTTCGCCGGATCACGTGTAGTCGTCTTCAGTTCGCTCGGTGTATTCGATGCGCCTACATTTAATGTCCCTTTGCCATCTCTTGCATATTTTGAGAGGGCTGTCGGAGGTGAATGTATCGCGCTGGTGGACGTTACTCAAGATAGCGATATCTGCCCTTCCGAGAAGAATGTTCTTCACCATATGCATATGTCCATTCGCAAGTTCAACTCGATACGAAGACTGGGGGCTGGACTATCGTTCAATATCTCTCGCTTCAGATGCCTTCTCAGCTCGCTCCATTATTTCAGCGCAAGGTCATCTCAACATGAGTGGGACGTCTCCGCTGATATGTTACCTTAGAGCCACGCTGCAACTTCGGATCAAGCCCGCCAAACAATGCCTACTGCAGCTCCTGAAATGCCTTGCGATTGCTGGTCCTAATCTACGTGCATGTCTCTCGTTGGACGCCCACGCCTTACGCGCTTCGTTAGAGCGCTCCATCCTCTCGGTTTCTCCTCATACGCTTCTCGATCTGGCCGAGACGGCGTCATTCGCACCGGCATATTTGATCGATGTCGCTCGTGCCACTAGCATAATCGGATTATTCTCGTATAGAAAGGTCCCCGAGAAGGGCTGGGAGGGCATTCTTCCTGCCATCGCTTCCCGTCCCGTCATCGGATACGTATCCGAGATGCATGGCTTATCCGGTTTGTCTGCCCTTCGGTCTATGCAGGCGGCTCAAGATCCTCCAGACGGCTTCGTGCAGACCAGGGAGTGGCTATTCGAGCATATCTGTCACTCGATCTTGATGGACGGGACATCGAAGAACGTCTCTGTTGCGGCGCAATGCCCAAGACAAACACAACCACGCGTAAGACGAACGCGAGCAGAAGGAGGGCTAGTCTGAGCCCACGGAGGAGAGACACGAACACACGTATACAGACGTGCGGGAGAATGGTGGATAACTAGACCACAGCAAAGAGTCCCGGACAGATGTCAAGCGGGCACGGCCTTACTAGCGCGAGGCAAGTAGCTAGACCGCAACTCAAAGTTAGATAGCTTCTAGATAAAATACAACAGAGACCACTCACCTAGACCGCAACTCAAAGAGGCTGAGATGCAGATCTAGGATGAGTTTGACAGGCTTTTATAGTATTCTACCAGTCCTATGCCGAGGCTGTGCCGTACGCTGCAAACCTGTGCCGTACTGCCGAATGCACTGCCGAGCGCTGCAAAGCTATACCGTACTGCCGAACGCTGTAAAGCTGCGCCGCACTGCCGCAGGGAGGCTACGCTATAGGTGGAAGCTATGCCGAGAGAATAACTATGAACCGAGGCTATGCGAGAAAAGAACAAGTCCAAAGAGAAGCGCATAGGGCATAAACAAGCATACACATAGGCCAAATTACGAGTCCATAACGAGTCACGAGACTTAGTCCGAATCCGTCCGAAGCCACACGCGCCACATCCGTCCATCCCCGATATCCCACGCTCGTTCTACGAAAAACATAGCGCCACCGCCACAGTCTCGCGACTTCATCTCTCTCAATGCTTCCCTTTCGGTTCCTCAAAACGAAGGGGCGGATTGAAACTTGTTCATCTACATGCTCCCCGACGCGTGGCGAACATCGATTGTAGGGCGAGGCTGGAGTTCAACACCGCCTTGTATCATATCATCGATACGCTTCCGGACGATACCTATCACGCCATAGTCCATGGACGGCCTACGCAAACCCAATCCTCATGTTCCATCTTATCCTCTACCCCCTACTCTCCCTTCAGTACCCGCTCCCTACGACCTCGTAGACGACTCGCCGAGATCATCACCGATGGCCGACCCATGAAATCGCGCAAGCTTGCGTCAGAACGACGGTTCATCATATTCATTCAGAGCGTGCTCGAACGCCCTCCTTCGTTCACAAGGGACGGCCTCGAACGAATGGACAAGATCATGCGATCTGAGCCCGGGGCTGAATGCTTCTTTGTATTTGCTACGGCGATGCATGCATCCGTAGACCTCAGCGCTGTCCCGATGACTTGGGTGAACAGGCTGAGATGGTATCAGCTATCCGTCGATGTGGACATGCATGTCAGGCAATATAGATGCTCGCCGGATCTCACGCCTCCGGCTTCGGCTGCTTCATCCCACTCGGATGCCTGAGGTCACTGTTACTACCTAGGATCCGGACTGATTGATGCTGTATCATGATAATATTATACATATTTCTCGAAGCGCTCCGCCCATTACATGTGAAGGATATCGCATGAGAGAGGGAGAGCACACTGATGAGGGCGTCAGTGCAAGGGGTTAACTTGTGAAACAAGTCCACGGCCTCAACTCGAACTTATCGCCTTGCCAGCCGTGGGAGGATAACGCATGAGCTGATTTAGATTAGATCCAAGGTGAGAATCGGACGGTAAGCCCCGAACGCGCCACGCGAAGACTTGCGCAAGTCCAACTACGCATCCCTGAAGGCACGCATACTGCGTCTTCTGAGAAAAGTTGACCCCGCGGCACGCGGGCCTGGAAATATCTAGTACTTGAGTGCAAAGACTCGGAGTTGAGGGTGGCAACTTGGAACCGTTTTACGTAACAGACTTCTTCCGGTCACGCCGAGTTGACGTTCCGCGCGTCTCTCTCATCGACTTCCATGGCAAACAGTGTCGAGGCTCGGGAGGCAACGCTGAAGACCCTCGGATTTTCTCGAGTCAATGAGGGCGAGCATCTGGACGCTTGGACAATCTTCTGGGGAGCCGACATCGAGTTGGAGGAACAACCAATTTGGAAGCAATGGCTTGATGGTGCGTTCGACACTGTCGTCGGCCTCTTACCCCGATGCTCAAGCTCAGCATAGCCTTGAAGCCGCATCGGCGCAATATTGCTCTCACAGATGCAGCTGCGGCTGTAGGCATCCTCGGCGATCCCGACTTCCCCGACCGAGCGTCATGCACCTTCCTCAGCACTCCCTGGACATCTACCCTATCCCGCACCAAGGGCCGAATTCTGGTGACCGAGGACTACAAACGCCTAGAGTCACAGGCCTTGGATTATAGCCGCACTACAGATTGCAGTAATGTGGTCATCGCGGGTCAAAGCGGGTCAGGTGCGAGCACATCCCTATCGCTGTACACACAGTAATTGACGCGCTTTACTTTAGGACGGACATATCTCTCCTACTACATACTTGCGCACGCTCTGTCCCGCCGTCAGAATATGGTCTTCTTCACTGGCAAAAGTGCGGTCGTCTTCAGTCCCTTGGGCGTGTTCAGTAGCGACAGACTCGACCTCGACTCCGTTACTTTGGATGATTTCAACGATGCCATCGACGGCCACGCTCTAGCACTGGTGGATGTTGCCAAGGACAATTACGAGTTTGGTCCCCCGTCAACTCTATTCTTCTCCATCCGAGTATACCCACCTAGCTCACGCTGGTACGAACAATGGATCGAGCGCTATCGGCCAGCAACCACGGTCCTCGACGCTCTCCCGGCTCTCCGGATATTATCAGCGTGAGTGGTCTGGCGTACTTGGAGCGAATTTATCTGACGTGACTCAACAGTGCTGCGTTACATGTCGATATAGCTGCCACACGGACGTCTTTGCAACAGCTTCTGACTTGCATCCGCATCGCTGGCCTCAATCTTCGTTTTTGTCTATCCTTGGATCCATCCACTCTACGTGGTGATCTCAGGGATTATATCGCAAGCTTGAGCACTGTCCGATTATCTGAGATGGCCGCGAGAGCACGCTTTTCACCTCATTCGACGGAGATCGCGCGCCAGGACGATGGTCCTGATATCTTTTTGCTAAGGCGCGAGATTATCACCTTTGAAGCATGCCTGCCTACAATTGCCTCACGTCATATCCTCAGCGAGATTGGGTCATTTCACGGGTTTCCTGGTTTATCGGCCCTCGAGGATATGGAGGTGGTCAAACGCTGCCCTGATGGGTTTTCTGAATCAAAGCAATGGCTTTTCGAGCACAGGTGCCATATGCTGCTGATGAGTGGAACGTCAGATAATCCATCACGATTCACACTGTCGCAATGCTTTCCTCCTGGTGCCCCAAGACGCAAGGGTGCTCTGAAGGCCGCCCATATATGCCCCAGTAGGAACTTGAATGCCTTCAACCCCAGAACATCATCGTCATTTGACACCGACGTTTATCACTACATTGACATCCTTGTCGATGGTACATTGCACGCCATAGTTCACGCTCGACCCGACGTTCGATCGTCAAGGAAAATCACACCGGCCAGTGATTCTACTCTCAGAGAACAGAGGCGTAAACTACGCCCACGAGATGGTGACCGGGCCTCGCGAGCGGTTGGACCAACCAGGCGGAGCAGACTAACCGCGGCAAGGCGTTTCTTGATCTTTCTCCAAATCGTCTTTGGATCCTCCCCTCAGTTTACAGACGATGGAATGGAGCGTATTGACCGAATCATACAATCAGACGCCGATGCCGAATATTTCTTCGTTTTCATTACTGCGCCTGACTATGTCCTCGATCTTAGCGTCATTCCTTTACCTTGGCTTAACCGTGTCAAGTGGTATCAACTCTCCGTAACTATGGCTGCCGAAGGCGACCACATAGCATGACGAATTTCCCCTGATTCTCAATGTACGTAGTATAATAACGCTATGATATGTGTCCGACTTCTATGTACCGATTGGGCACACTTTGCCGCAATGAACAAGCCCTTATCACACCCATCGTTACAATGACCTTATTTCTCGAAGCGATTCGCCCATGACCGTATTCCTAAGCCGTTCTAGTCTGCGACAGCAGTGTCTGAGTATTTCGGCCTTTCACATGGGAAGAAGAACTAGAGAGTCCACTATATCTTGTCGCTTTTTGTTTGTGATATTGGTGGTCATTCACATAGACACAGCAGGTGACGGTCAAGAAGCGCGGCGACTGCTAGTCGACATCGGGACTTCGGGGCAGCCGCCGAACGCTTTCGGTCCCCTTCGGTCCACCCTGATTAGGTAATTGATGCCGGTCACGCTCGGTTGAGAACTCTGCCTTGACCACGAACGCTTATCGACATCCGGTCCTCGGCTTCATTTCGGTCTTCCGTCGACCATCTGAGCGGCTCTTGCGATATGCCTCTCAGCGACGAGAGAGTAGAAGAGATTATCATGGCCTTCGGCCTGATACGCCAAGCTGAAGGCGAACACCTGACCGCTTGGGAGACGTTCTGGGGGGTGGACATACAGGAAGAGGAACAGCCTATCTGGAAACAATGGCAGGAAGGTCAGTGTTGTCTCAAGTCTCGGAATGCCTGCGCCCTCAATCACTACACAGCTCTGAAACCCATCAAGCGGAATAATGCTTTCACGGACCTTGCTAAGACGCTTAGTCTGATTATCGAGGACGCGGACCTCGATATACCCCCATGTCAATTCTTCGAAACCTCCTGGAAAACGGCTCTTACCTCGACCGAAGGGCGAATCGCAATTTTATCTGAGTTTCGGCGCTTGGAGGCCCAAATCATCGAATGGCGGGGCGAAGATGTCAGCGACGACGTGGTGATCATAGGGCAGAGAGGGTGGTGAGGGAAATCATCCCCATGAACATCTGACAGGCATTAACACCAGCTGGCAGGGAGAACTTATCTGGCATACTATCTTCTTGCCCGATGCTTATCTCGTCAGCGGAACATGATTCTTTACGCCGAGAAACGTTCCGTTCTCTTCTGTTCTCGAGGTGTTTTCAGTACCGACACGTTGATTTTCTCGGCATCTAGCCCTAGTAAACTTCAAACGGCCATCGAGGGAGAGCCATGGGTCATCTTCGACGCTGATGAAGACGACGACTTCTGCGGGCCACCCGCTGATGCTCTGTTCACCATCCGATTGTTTCCGCCTTCAGCTCATCGACTGGAACAGTACCTTAGAGACAAGAAACCAGACGTGTTGGTCCTTGACCCACCCCCTGCGCGAACGATAACTGCGATGTGAGTGATCCAACAGCATGCCCTGAGACAATACGTTCTAACGCCCGAGTGTCAGTGCAATCCTTCAGAATAGCGTGCAACCGACTAGAGCGTGTCTACGAACCATATTGTCCAATTTAAACCAATTCGGGACAAATCTGCGTGCTGCTTTGGCTTCCGACGCTCCGGCGTCGCGTCAATCGCTACAGACGTACATCTCCAGCCTTTCTTCCACCGATTTTTCTGCATTAGCCCAGAGCGCCCGATTTAGAGTCAATCCAACGGAATCCGTTCGATCAGGGGGCGGGCCCGATATTTTTGTACTCAGACGCGATATCAAAGATTATGAGGGCCACCTACCCACTATCGCCTCACGCTTCGTGCTGCACGAGATTTTCCAACACTATGGACATTCCGTCCTCCATAGCCTGCGTGTTATGGAGAGGGCCGGGCGGCTAGGACTAGCAGACCGAAGGCGCGATGCTTGCCTCGGTGGTGGTC